TTTTGCCTTCATGATTTTTCTATGCAAATGTTTATTTCTGGGAATGGGATCAAATCAAATTTGGATGGGAACTAATCAACAATTAATTCGATCAATTGGCAAAAAAAAAAAACTTGTTAATTATTCACACGCCGTTTATAATGTCACGCAGTGTTAACTTCACTGTTCGTAATGCGATGTTCCTAATGCGCTACTCGTATGCTCAATTCTGCAGTTCTAGAATTTTGCACGCTGTGTTGTATTATTACCGGCAGTGTTAACTCTAAGCAAATTATGAGTGCGAAAGTGCTTCGCAGTCGAAAAAAAAAGTGCGAAAGTGCTTTTGCCGATTTTCACAAGTTATGTGCCCTAGCCTTTCATATAACCCATTTAAAACGGCATAGATACTCGAAAAAGCGCTCCTCCGGTTAATATTATGAATTAAAGAGAAGCCTTTTCGTTAACCGAGTTCCCTTTAAGCGAATTCATGTTTAATTAAAACAAGCGAATTCATCGGCAACGAAATAACATCTGCTAACACCTGCCGCGGACAAAACTTTCATGCAATGTATCACCGTGTCAGTTGCTTACTCGCCTAAACAGCAAAGACTTTCACATTTGTTACTCCTTCCATCTAACAGACACGAGGCAGGCTGGAAACCATATTAGTTACAGGGTGGATCGTTTGTACAAATCCCGTGCAAAATAATCCCCCAAATATAAATAGCCTAATTAGGGTTAGGTGCGCTGGAAATTCAACTTTTCGATTTATCCCTAAACCTTATCTGATAATTAATAATTTTTGATTTTGAACCACTTTGAAAGTCGCCACCCGCTGTTTTAAAAGATAGGTTAACCTACGTTCCCTCCGAAATATTATGCAGGATACTCCCCTGTTTTAGGAGATAGGTTGACCTACTTTCCTTTCCAACTTTTTTCTCCGAAATATTACACAAGATCACTTTGAAAATCCTCCCGTTTCGTGAGCTAGCGTGACCTAATTCCTCATTTACATTTATATTATACTATTTCAGAGCTTACCCAAAGACAAGTAATTTTTAAATGTCGACATGCCTTGGTTTGCGTGCGAGTTAGTTTAAATCGGGCAGAAAACATCATATATTGGCAAAATGTTCAGTAATGTCATGTACTTTCAACATTCATAAATAGCACTCTTTGTAACGCTGCTGACCTAGTATCAAATATTCGCATCACAACGCCACTTGCGAGGTTTCCATATATTTCAATTACACTAATAGGAACGATGACACCAAAGAGTTTTCTTTTGCGAAGGTACACTAAATATAAGGAGGGTGATTCTTGAGAAAAACATGAATAAAAAAAATAAACGAATGATATGATAGTGGATCCCAAATAATTTTGACAGTGTCTCGAAATACCAATCCATTTGATAAATAATTTTTATTCGACCACATGAACGCTGATATTCTGAAAATTAATGTTGAAAGAGAATTACGCATTCTCAGATATCGGACATCCAGTCGCGATATTCAATCGTTCATATGCACAAATCTCACATTAATAGTAATTGCTACCCAAGTTTGTAAAATTTAGAAACCAACAAACAGAAAATAACTTATCCTAAAACACAATTAAAATTCAGTCGGCAATAAATTCATCGCCAAGACGATGCCATACAAAACAAAAGAGATTTGGTCGCGAGAGTTACGTGAGATGCTGCCGTTGATTTTTAAGCAGAATGAAAAATAATTTATAATTAATAAACGGGAGTTACGACGCCCTTTACACATCGTGTGTATTAAACTTCCCTGGTAAGTACTTTGGTAAGTACTAATATTATTGTACTTATACACCTGTTGGGAGTATTTCGGACAATTTCGAATTTAAAATAAATGAAAACCCGACATATAATAAAGACGCAAAAGTAAAATGAACATTTATTGAAAAAGTTATTATTTAAGAAAGACAACATGATCGTACAATTCCGCCAAAACCTCGATGTTCGCAAGTGAGATGATAAATAAATACTTCCCTGTATTCGATCAATTAACTTTAGCGTATCGTTGTTCTGCCAACAAACAAACAGCCGGGTGCAAAATATTTCAGTCCTGTGATATGCTCACAAATATTCTCGATATTAATATCATACCCTCGCGTATGTACTTTCTATTAGCTCTTTAGTGATCCCTTCCATCCTTGGCCAAGTCATGTTTCGAATATGTGAACATTTTATTCGACCATACATGGCCGGCGGGATGTTAAAATTGTAAACAAGAGAGAGGTAAAATCAATCGCGAATTTCGTTATAACGAATCGTTTACGAATTGTTGCGCCTGTTATCGTCGAAAATGATTACATTTGTTGTATTTTGAGGCATTTAAGCAGAAATAATTAGGGCATGACATCATCAAAATCGTCAAGTGAGATCTTGAAATTGCAAATTCCGTAAATAAAATTGTGAATTATTCGGTAACGAATTCAGCTTTAATGACCGTCGGGGTATTGTTTTGTTGAAAATTATTATTAATGTGAGAGCGCCAAAAACATACAGTCCATACCGATGCGACTGCAATTTATATGGTCGCAATTGGTGTGGTGCGTTTATTAATAGTGTAAAAAAAAATTTAACGAATATCAATTATAACCAAGCCTGTCAGCGTGTTTATTTTCTGTGGGCAGGAATCGTAAAATACCATCTTGAGACAAATTCACTTCTATCATAAATCTTAATCGTAATATATCGTATAATAAAATCGTAAAAAACCGCCCCCACACTCGTCCAAACGTGTGTCGAGCTTGAACGACAGGAACAGATTCATCGACGACCTTAATTAGGGAAAATATGTATTTTATTGGGAATGCAAAATAAATGTAACAAAACGCATTTTTTGTGATATAACTTTGTATTTTCGGAAACGGGTTGCCGTGAAAGGAAAAATTTGATCTAAATTAATCGCAAAAATGTTTTATTTTAAATGTAACAAAACACATTTTGCGATATAACCTTGTATTTTCGAAAACGGGTGTCCTGAAAAGTAAAATATGATCTAAATTAATCGCAAAAATGTTTTATTTTAAATGTAACAAAACACATTTTTCGAGATACAACTGTATTTTCGGATACCGGGTGTCATGAAGAGTAAAATATGATCTGAATTAACGGTAAATAATGTTTCATTCCAAATGTATCATAACGCTTTTTTGCGATATAACTTTGTATTTTCGAAAACGGGGCGTCACGAAAATTAATAATCTAATGTTTTATCTATCGTCTAACTAACGTCTGGAACACATCATTTTCGGGGAGAACTCTAGCCCGCGAAACGTCATTTAATTTAAAATAAAGAATGTTTCACGCATTTCAAAACGGAAAATCACCAGTAAGTGGACAGGGATTCAACCCTCCGGATTCAGTATTCTATATCCCCGTGTCAGAACTTTCTGAAGAATAGAACAAAGAACCCGTCAAACTGCGGCGGAAGAATGGGAGTATTTTTTGCACTAATACTTAGGGCATGACAATATCAAAATCGTCAAGAAACTGGTGAATTTGCAAATTCCATAAATAAAATTGTGAATTGCTCGGTAACATTTTAGCTATAATTATCGCCGGGGTATTGTTTTGTTGAAAACACGTTGAAACTTGAGGGAATTAGTTACAATTAGCGCCTGACCTCTATTAGGCACTCGAGCACTCGAAAAAAAAAGCACTCGAGCCCAATCTTTTTAGCATTAAGTCGCATACGTAAAATATCCTGTAAAAGAAGTGCTGTTCATTAACGCCATCTCGTCTTATGACCACGCAGAAATGCCTTTATTGCCGAATTATTCAATCACTATTTTAAATCAACATTCAGGATTGGCACAATTTCAGGTTTGCGAAGTTTATCACCATAGAAATACATGACAAAGTTAATTATCGTCTTAATAAATATCTGCATCACGGTATGGACAATAATATTACCATTCCCATAAAATCGGGACGGTAAATTTACAAATCTTGATAGGTAATATTAAAGCCAACGCAAATGTTAATTTGAGTCCTCAATGTCTTCAACAGCTGTTGCCGATGTGAACGAACGGGTAAACCCGAAATATAAAACTTTGATGACCGCCGACCCACAAGAATTCATATTTGTAAAAAGGAGAGGGCGGGAATATAGATTACCCAAAACCTGGATATCGCCGCCAAAACGATCGGTGACAAGAACAATTAGCCATTACAACGGAATTAACCAGTAAAAAGGCTTTATTGCCGATTTTTTAATGTTTCCACCACGTTTATTCGGTACTCCTTAAAAATATTCGATTCAAAAAAATATTGAATTTTGCCCACCTGTCCTCGCATATCAATGAGGAATAGTTGTGTAAATATCGCAAAATTCCGGAAAATGCCACGTCCTTTCAACATTGTGATTACAATAAAATGGCACTTAATGGTATTTTGTGAATTTGGTGATTTTGCAAATCTGTGACATGCTGCTAAAAGTTTCGTCTGATTTGAAAATCGTGCAGTTTGGTCACAATTCATCCAAAGTGACTATAACACGTTACGAACACTTTTATAGTCATTTTGAATTCATCGATATCATTGATAGTCACATGACCTTCAAAGAAACGCACTGCCTAGTATTCCAACATCTGGTTTCAAACACCCGGGAGCGTTTTTTGCGGGAGAAGCGGAATCGGTGTGCTTGTATAATAATCATATTATAAACAAGAATTTTGCCGTTAATGCAAAAGCTTTATTTATCTCCTTTGTCTGCATCTCATAGGTTAAAATTCCGATAAATATCGTTATGATATGCAGAATTGAGTTACAAAAGTACTAGTATGTTACTTATTTGTCAACTTAATACTCGAAAATATTTGTTAACTTTGAATTTTTATTCCATTCAAAATCGGAAAAAAGTGCTTTTTCTCTTCAAAATCGGAAAAAAGTGCTATTTCGCAGTCCCTAAAAAAAGTTGCGAAAGTGTTTCGCAATTTTCGCAAAAAAGTGCGCTAATAGTGAACACTGATTACCGGTACATTTTTTTTATAATCTTAGTTAATATTTCCTTACATATGATATTCCAGTATTTTGATACTCACTTAGTTTGACAGAAACTTAACTTACTTTAAAAATGACTGAAGAGGAAGAAGAAAATTTCCCACCAGAAATCCAGAGACTTGTAAGTAGATGCTTAACTGTTTATAAGATGATAGATTGAAGTCGATTTATATTTAATTGTAGTCTAGAAGTTGCAATGCCATATTACTGTTCTGTAACATGGAAAACTTGATACAAAATGTTTAATGATATGTCTGTATGTGATAGTCTACTAAGCGATATCGTATGAAAACTTCATTTTTAGTGACCCTCAAATGATCCCTAATATACTGATATAATGCTTTTTGAAACAACTGAAGTCGCTGGTTTTATTGCCACAATTCAGTATGGCTCAGATTCCAAGAATAGCCCTCGCATTAAAAGACATAAATTATAACATTGAGTGCAAACCTTTTATTTTGCGAGACAGTGTGGGCCTTCATACAGTCATATCGCCACAACTCAACTGCTCAATAAACTAAAAGGAAGCGCAATCTAAAAACGTCACATTTGATTCCTCTGAAAAAAATAATCCGATTCACTGAAGGAAAAAATTTTTGACCGAGGCGTGCCAAAAGCCCTCTTTTTAGAGACAAATGGAGAGTTTGTTTTATTGAACCAAAGTGTTGGGGCATCTTGAAATCAGAGAACTGTGCTCCTTGGTACCTCTGCCCTTTGTATCTTCATTTCTTGTAGGCCTACTTTTATTGTTTTGTTTTATGCCAGAGCGATTAAAATTGAATTGAATATATCAAACTATTAAATGACGTTAGGCCTATAGTTTCTCTCAATAATATATGATTAAAACTTTTTTATTGCACAAATTTCCATTTCAGCCTACTGAATTTTCATTTCGTGAACTGACAAACTTGAAAGCTTTTGTATCAGAAAGCCAACCTGAATATGCCACAACACGCACTGGCCTTCTTGCTGTTGCTAACATCTATGGATATGTCCTTATTGGAATGCCTGATGGCTTGAAGGTAGCTCATGTTGATTTCTGTGATGAATGATAAACATTGATGAAATAGTAAAATTTATTTATCTATGGAATATGTTTGCTTTTGTATCGGACTCAATTAAATGCTTGTAACGCACCTATGTTTATGCTGTCAATATTGGATAAATACCATAGTAAATTCCTCTGTATTATATTCTGGACTGTTGAGTTTAAACCAAACTTCAAACTCTTGGACATTAAAAAAGGAATTAGGATTGTCAAAAGGACTTCAGCTTTCGATTCCAAATTGAAGGAAAATTTGTCTCCCCTTGATGAGAAATAATTTGGCGTATGCAAGCTTTCTTGTATTATATGTTGAGATGACTCAACTCCAGATTCCCACTCAAGGGAGGTATAAAATTAGACCGAAGCTCAGACTCCAATATCAATAAAAGCATGCCAAGCCTGCCTCAATTCACAACCCTAAAATAGCTAAATGTTATTCACTATTTAGGTGCTGACCTCTGCTGACTTGCTTGAAGCTGGAAAGAAGAATTTGAATGTAATTGACTCAGCTGTTGCGACAATTGATCTGAGAAATCCACCAAACTGGATTGGAATAAACTCTGATAATCTCACTCTCTCTGTGTGCTGTAAAACTAGTAAAGGACCACAGATATTATTTTTTGATATCAGGAATATTATCAACAAGGTAAAATGAAATAAAGAAAATACTCTGATAGCATTGTTGTACATTAATATACAATGCAAAACAAAATGATATTATATTTTGATATCAGGAATATTATAAAGGCAAAACATAAATCAAGAAAAAACTTAGATGTTCATTTGTATACAAAAATGATGGTCGTATCGGAATATGGCAATACATTGCCCTCGTGGTTGAAACGTTAGACTCAACTGTGTTGGCATCGCAGATTACACATATCAGGTTTAATTTCTGAGCTTGACTAAGATTATAGATTCTCAAAGTGCTCTGTGAGAGAAACCAAGCGTCTTCGCGAGCTATAAGTTTACTTACTAAAATACTGACTTGGCTAATTTTGTGATTGTCTAGAAATGCAATAACAGCATTAAGAAAATTTGACAATGGTAAATAGTTCTAATTTACTCTTGACAATTATTTGGTAATATACAATGTGTTTGTTTTTATTTCTATGTCTAGTAGGGCTCCACAAATAATAGTCAACCTTTTCAGGGGCTCCATAACACCAAAAGTTTGAAAACCACTGACTTAGATAACCTTCCGACTTGATTTGTGACTCTGAGTATAAAGACTTTTAGCAATCTTAAATAAAGTCCAATGGTCTCAAGTGGTATATCATATAAAAAAAATTGTATCAAATTTGCCAAGCTTGTTACAAGCATATACTATAATATAAACTGTAACCACCACTCCCCAGTGTAATATAGTAGGGCCCACGATGCCGACTCGAAAACATTTCGGATCCTTCCAAATGAAACTTCTTGCATATCGTGAGATATCAGTGGCTGTTTGTATATTACCTTGTTCAGAGGGAAAAATGTGAATCAGCAGTCTTTTTAAAATTCATATTCTGGTAGATGCTAATTTGTTAATGTCTAGTTACCAAAGTGGTGTTAGGAGAGATTTTGTGCAGAAGAGATATTCTCTTAACGAATTTATATAAATACTTTTGCTTTTTAATATAAATTTATATTATGATTGTTATTTCTAAAGTAGCAAGCATTCACTCATTAGAATTTACCTTGTTTTTTTAATTTTTATGATAAAATGTACTCAAAGCTCAGAAGTAATAAAGACACATCAGCAAAGTTAACTGAAATGCTGAGGGCTACTGAAAAAATATAGAATAATGGTGGTGCTTATGATCAAGAAAATGTTGATTGACATAAGACTTGAAGTACTTAGTGGTCAATACAATCAGTAATACAGCTATGAGATAATGTTTTTTACATAAAGGAAGTTCTTACTACATACTGATCTTGTATGCACCACCGATCAGAGTTATGCGAGAATAAGCCGACCCCTTTTTTCAGCAACTTTTGAGTTTCAAACTCTGATTATATGCGAGGATATATGGTAAATAAATTTAATATTGTCCATATTCTGGGCTTACACCGAATTACAGTTCTCATTTTCTATCTCTTACAGTCAAAACCTACCAAGACTCCATTTCATAGTATATATTTGAACAAGGATCCAAACTCATATGTGGTTAGTATGCAATGGAATCCTTCACCTGTTTGGCCAAATCTCCTTGCTATGTAAGTAATGTAATATTTTTATTTATTCTGTTTTGTTAAAAAACATAATTTGAGCATATATTTTGACCAGTCTATTTGATTATTATGTTATTTAAATCACACTTTCATATTAATTATAATTTTAGATTGTTTATAATTTTTTAATCAACAATGTCGTGCTTTTGCAAAATGACTCTCTGACATACCTATATATATTCATGCATTTATGTATTGTTGCACTACTAAATATACATATTGTGCAAAAGGCTTTGGAAAAATGGACTTGTGGGCGGAGATCGTTTATTACACAACAGAAGACTGCTATGTGCTCTGTGGCCACATTTCATCATGTATTGAAACAGATACTTATTTGTGTAATAGCGAAAAGTGTGTGAACTCCCTTCCTTCCTGAATTCACCCCCAAGATGGGTCAAATTTAACCCCAATTGATAAGAAGAGATAGATAACTTATAACAGATCAAAAATCTAGTTACCTCTTGTTTTCCAGTTGCTTGTCAAGCGGAAGTTTTCATCTGTTGTCAGTCGAAGATACAGCAACGGAAATTGCCATAAGGCCTGATAATTTTGGAGCCACAACTGGTATGCATCGGCCTATGATTTTTTAAACTTGCTGTTTTTGAGTGCTTAGAGGGAAAAAAAGGATAAAAGATGTCGCAAATTAATAATGATAATACATTGTTCAATGTATGGTTTATATCATGTATGGTTACAGTTTATATTATAGTTTATGCTTGTAACAAGCTTGGCAAATTTGATACAATTTTTTTATATGATATACCACTTGAGACCATTGGACTTTATTTAAGATTGCTAAAAGTCTTTATACTCAGAGTCACAAATCAAGTCGGAAGGTTATCTAAGTCAGTGGTTTTCAAACTTTTGGTGTTATGGAGCCCCTGAAAAGGTTGACTATTATTTGTGGAGCCCTACTAGACATAGAAATAAAAACAAACACATTGTATATTACCAAATAATTGTCAAGAGTAAATTAAAACTATTTACCGTTGTCAAATTTTCTTAATGCTGTTATTGCATTTCTAGACAATTACAAAATTAGCCAAGTCAGTATTTTAGTAAGTAAACTTATAGCTCGCGGAGACGCTTGGTTTCTCTCACAGAGCACTTTGAGAATCTATAATCTTAGTCAATCATTGAATGGAGTCTACTGGCAATTAACTGAGGACAAGACTGGATCATTTCATTTGAATGGGTCTTTGATAATTTTTTTTTTCAAGTTAATGATTTGAGCCACCTTGGACTGGGTCACATCGTTTCACATACATGATTTGGCCTTTAACAAACTTGTGAATACAATTTATTGATAAATTACTTTTCATTCACAGTTTGCTGGAGCCCAAAGGGAAAACAAATGGTTGTTGGAAAAAAGGATGGTAATTTGCTTCAATTCACTCAGGTGCAGTAATGATATGTACCATTCATAGAATTTTTATAAACTGATTTCTACCCATGCTTGGCGGTGTGGCGCATCGTGCTAAGCGTTAGGAATACGATAGCCACCGCACCTCTGATTACCGTGTGTGGGTTTCGCAGGTTCGAATTCAATGCGAGATGGGTATGTGCGAGAGGATTGCTGGACTCCTCGTAGCCGTAGGATTGGTTCACCTAACCACTGGTCAGTTACAGCTTCCTCCATCATGAAGTCCATGCATCCAAAACAAATAACTGGTTAACTAACCTCGTACCTGACATGGTCTGGTGACCGGACGAGAGGCTGTGGTTCACCATATAGTTAAGCCATTTTATTGAATTTCCTCTCCCCCAGAGTAAATATGTAAATCCTATCCTAAATTGAAATATTTTTATTTCAAATGAGGTTTAAACTATTTTTCTAAAAAACCAGAAACTGGAAGTGAAACGTTCAATAACGGTAACCAATGTTATCGACAGTCCTGTTCGAGCTTGTGACATCTTGTGGTTGTCAACTCACCATATTGCATCGGCATACGTGGCAACAGCTGAAGAAGAAGAAGCTCATCCTAACTTATTTCTTGCTGACATACCTTCAAAAACTGAACATCGTGATATCATTTGGAAGAATTATGAAGATCCTTGCTTTGGTAAGAAGAATTTGAATTGTTTTGCGGTCGGTTCGTTTCACCGATATGTTATGCCAAGCAGTTAGTGCCATAGTCTATATTTTTATATTATTCGGGTCATAGTTGTATTTCATAGTTAAGAAAGTACTAAGCGTTGAGAATTACGGTACCTTGCCACCGCAATCTCTGATTACTCTGCATGGGTTTACATGTTCGAGTCCCGTGGGGCATAATTATGTGCAAGAGGATTGCTGGGAAGATTCCTCGCTGCCGTAGCGTGGTTCGCGTAGCCGCTGTTCAGTCACTGCTTACTTTACCAAGTCCATGTTTTCAAAAACAAATAACCTATCTAAATAATCCCCTAGGCGTCATTCACTGGTAACTGGACAAGAGGCTGTGGTTTGTTTTACAAAAATCAATAATTAATACTGTCTGTAATACAATTCAGTAAGCCTTGTGGATAGAGAGATGGGATTTTGGCATCACAACTGGTTGAAGATATTTTGTTCAAATCCCATGCCAGACGTAATATATATTGGGTAGTAGTAGTAGTAAAAGTAGTAGTGAATTCTTGTAGATAGCCTTTTTTGGGATGGAAGGTTTGATAATGCCTTGTAAAAAAGATGCCATAATGATGTATTAGCGCTATACAGATAACAAATACGCTATAAAACTTGGTGATGTATTGGTGCAATATCATCTATTTAATAATTAGCGTTTCTAACTTATAGGCTATTCATAATACTCGAATAGTTTTTATAACATGTTCAAATATTTAACAGGCATGAATGAATCTCGAGATCCACGATACTTCCTTGAATTCATTGACCAATGGCAAATGTTCATCAATTTATCATCAAATTCTACTGATACTGCCGTCATCGCAAAGAATAAGCAATCTGTGAGTAATTTTATGTTATTATGGTGTGATAATAGATTTTTTATTCATCTGTAATGCCACCATAGAACTGTTGAAAACATGTTTTATATTTGACTTTGACATGACAAATATAATTTTCTTGTTGTACTCAAGCTGAAATTATCTAAACCGTGCAGTCAGTTATATTGCATTGCAGTTAATGTTTCAATTTCACATGGATTTTCTACTCTATAGCAAATGTGGGAAATCTGGACGCTTGACGATTCATCACGGGCTACATTGCCTTTCTCTGAATATACAGAAGATGATCAGGCACCTATTGGGTCAGCTATTATCACTACTGCAACGGAGAGAATTATTGTTGGTATGTGTTTGTTGGATTAAATCGTACAATGCATTCATTTTGTTGAATTATTTTTTTTGACGATTCCAATTATTTGAAATATAAATAGTAATTATATATAATATGTATATTCATTTCTTAGTTCATTTCATGAAGTATCATTTTTAACTAAATAATGATTGTGAACAGTTTGACTCTCAATCAATTTATCCTGATCTTTTTGTTTACTATCTTCAGACGATGTGCGTGAATGTGAGCCAATGCCTATATTCTTAATATTAACGAGTGAGGGATTATTATGCATGTATCATATGATAAACTTGATGCCTGATTATGAAAGTGTTGTTTCTATACCCTCAACATTGGATATTACTGGAGAAAGGGCTCCTGTAGGTACAAAGGTATGATCTTGTATTTTTTTGGTAGTAAAAACATATTTTCAAGATTTTTCCTATTAATAAGTTGAAAAAGCCAAAATTTTTATCTTTCTGTAATATCCATACAATTTTTTTGGTATTGAATAACAATTTATTACTGATAAGGGTGCAAAAGTATTTTCGGAATTAACATATTTGTTTCTTATTTGGTTACCCCAATTTGATCTGGTTCGAATTAATTTTTTTGTGAATATTTATCATACTTTTCCTTTGAGCAAGGCTTTGTACAAGCAGCCACTGTTCAGTTCACAGTTTTTATTTATTCTTTTAGTACGTTTAGTTTGAAATTTGACATCTAGATTTTTTGTTTCAGAATTCAAATATTAAAGCCACTGCCTGTTTCATCACCTAACAATTTAAAATTAAAATATTTTTAATTTGAAATCTAAGTTTTGTGTAATTTTATTTTCTAGGGATCTGGTACTGGTGAAGGTGATAATAAACCATCTGGAAGTCAAACAAAACAGAAGTTATCTGCAAAACCATCTATATCATCAATGAGTACTCCTAAGTTGGGAACAAGTTCAGTAAGTTTTATTTGCATTTCAAATTTCTTCAATGGTTTGCAGTATTTTCTGAATCAATTCGTACATTAGATTGTGTAATCCAGCTGTTCCCGCCCGCAGGTCAGCACAGCTTTCTGCCGGTCTGCGAGAAATTTTGTTGTTTTTCTGCCGGCGCAACCGCTCCACCAAAAGGTGAAGTTGTGTGTTCAGCAAATTCAGCCTTGTTGCTAAAGCACTTTATTAAATCACGCTAGTGTTAAAATTGTAAAAGTTTGTTTGTAGAAAGTGCATTTTCACATCTGGTGAAAAGTTGAACTACGGATTACTGACTGTTTTTTTTCTTCATAGCTTGAGAACATACCTACTCCATCAACAACAACCACAACAAAAAAGTCTTTATTTTTGGCTTCGACTCCAGCTGTAGGAAAACTTCCACCCTTTACAGAAGGTCCTTCAATTATCCAAGGCAGTGCTACGAAACCTCCAATAAAACCACCATTAATGAGAGAAACGTTGCTAAAAGCTTCAGCGTTTGCTCCAGCAAAACACACTGCGCTTGATGAAACCGTGGACACTGTTTTTGACAGTAGTCGTACAGGATCGACCGAAACTGTTTTTACAAAATCTTCAATGATGAAGCAACTACCCAAACCACCAATAGCAAAGCAGATTCCTCCAGAACCTTATTTTACCCAGCAACCCAATCTTAAACCTTCTCAGCCAGCCCCAGCAACCAAGCCTAATGTTACAAGCGCAACTCAGCCTAAGATAAATGAACCTTTCCATACTGGTCTCGGGTAAGTTAAATTTCACATTTTTTACCAATCGGTGTTCAAGTGGATGTTGATGTTAAATTAAGTTTCGATGTGAAAGTGATTCAGATTCTTTGATATATTGTTATAGACTTTTGGATTTTTATTTTGTATCTTGTTCTAAAAGCACCTATCTATGCCAAACTAACAAGCTTTTAGTGCATCCAAAAAACAGCAGCTCTCGATTTAAAAAATCTAATTATAACTTGGTCATCATGGTTTGGGCTGATAAGTCATATTTTTTTGCTTAAATCACCATGCTCAGTTAATATCATAATTCTGGGTTTTCTATTTCGAGATAGTTTACACTTTTGCTTTTAACAAGTCTTTTGGACAAGCTGCAACATTGATACATTAGGATTTACTATGTTTTAATTTTTGAAAACAGGCTTTTATTTTTTTCCCAACCGAAAATAGGTTTTACCTTTGAGATTATCATGCCAGCATAATTTATTTACTGTTAACTATTTACCTTATTACTTGTATGAAAATAGTTTTAATTTTTTCAGGCAAAATAAAACACCACTGATGAAAACTAAGAGCATCCTTCCTGGCAGTAAGTTAATTTTATGCTTAGATTTCTAGACAAAAATAAATTAGAATACGGCAGAAATTTTAGAAATTCTTCAAAATGTGTGGTTTATATAGGTGAATACTGGTAGGCCTATTTCTTATTATTAGATCAACAGTAGAACTAAAAATATTTATTTATTTTGATGAAAATAGGATTTTTTCATTTTTTCTTGGTGGGGAGAAAAGTCTTGGACCTCCAGAAGTATGTGCACCAGGATGACACACAACCTGAACATAGTATGTGTGTACCGGTTAGGATTCAGGCGATGCGACATCTTGGTGCACATACTTCTGGAGCACCAAAGTCTTGAATATCAATCATATGACAACCACAGCCTCTCATTAGATTACTGGTAAAGACTAGATATGGATATAGCGAACCGGTTTATTATTTAATTTCCTACTGCAAATAAGGCCAACCCATTATTGAATTATTTTGAATTTGTTTAGTCAACTCATTGGCTTTGTTCTTTCTTAGTCTTAACACTTATTTTCTTTCCATTGCAGTGACCGAAATACAGTGTTTCTTTTATGACTCACCAGTGCAACTAGCGTAAAATATTGTTTTTTCAGCTTCTGTATCAACATTCCCACCATCTAAAGTTTTACCAGCAAAATCAGGGATCACCCGAACCATACCAGAACAACAGCCTTCAAAATCTGGCCTTTCTGGTGAGTTAATGCAGGGGTACACAACTCAAATAACGATGAGTGCCAAAGTTTTTTAAATAATCTCGTTGCATGCCAATAATTGTTGGTATTGAGAACAAAACCATTGCAAAACGGTGACCGTACATTTGAACCCATGCGTATATCCACGGGTTCAATCTATATGTGGGTGCTAAAACCCATGGGTTAGGGTTAGTATGGGTTTAACTATCCGTGAAACAAAAAAAATTCCATAGGTGCAATAGCATACAGGTGCAATTGTCATGGGTTCAAATGTACGTGGGTTCAAATGTAATGGAACCTTGCAAAACACATACAGTATCAACGAATAACTATTTACGCGAGCAAGTCTATCAATGTCTTGAATAAATAATGTTCTGAAGAATTTTTTGATGGTGGTTTATGTAAATGTGAGTTATTACATTAGGATATATTATGAATATAAGAATTACTTTAATACGTTATACCGAACCGTCAGCATGCCTCGTGTTGTGCATCCCTGAGTTAATGTATCGTCAGAAAGTTTAAGCATGAATGAACATAGTATAAAAATATTACTTATAAAAAAGCTGCATAAAAATAGTATTTATATAAAATTGACAAGTTACTACTATATAGATTGGTTTATTAAAATCCGGATATAAACACACCGTTGACAAAGGCTTACCCCGATATAGATGGGTAGATTTGGGTTGACATGACAATTGAACAATTCTAGACAAAAAAAAATTTTTTCAATTTGATAGGAGTAAGAAAGTCCTCAAGCTTTAGAGGAAGCGAGTCAGATTTTAAAATATCATTAGACGATGTCACAAGTTTCGATAAAGAACTTCTCGAATTTCAATCAACAATTTGTACTTTGGAGGATGTTCAGGTTACTATAGGAGGAAATGACGAAAAAGTTAAATTACTGAAAGTAAGTTTAAGAATAAATTGATAATAATCAGACTTTCATGCTGTTTTTGTTTGAAACAAAGCTCTGGATAAGCATTGTTGCCAAGAATTCTAGCTTGACATGAAGAAAAAGATATTTGCCTTGAACAAGGCTCTAACCAAGCAATCATTACCATTAATTCTAACTTGACAGCAAGAGAGAAACAGCTAGGCATACTTGATATTTTCAAGGCTATTGCGTCTTAGATTCATACAGTAGATTCTAAAATGGTTCATAAATGTAATTTTATTATAGTTTCTAAACTCATATCTAATTTACTGCAAATATTTCCTGTCGTTAAATAAATAAGTATGCCAAAATTTTCTCTAGAACTTATGTTTTTTAGAGTTTTCTTCTATTTTAATTATGAATTTCAATTCTAAGATGGTTTCGTCTTCAAAAATGAATATCAATTTTCTCACTTGCGAAATGCTTTTTTATAATATTCTCAGGAGATTGACGATGCGTCATCTTTTTCGAAAGAAATATCACAAACGGCTAAAGAATTGAGCAATGAAATTCAGGAATCGACCATGTCGTTGTCAAGCTTAATCTCAGAGACAAAAGATGTCGAAAGAAAACAAAATCAAGCGACAGTTGGAGCATACAGAGCATTATTGTATAGAAGACCCTTAGATAGAACTCAAAGGCAAAAATTGGAGGTAAGTTTTATGTTAGTTTTTCTATTTATATTATATATCATTTTAATTTGGCATTTATTTTGAGACAGTTTTTCACATCTTTCACTCTTGAAAAGTCTCTGTACAAGCTGCCACTGTTACCTAGTAATATGCAAAAAGCTAACGTTTTTTGAAAAAAATGAAATCTTTCCGGTTTGGCATTGCCTACCCAATTTATTACGTCCTAAGTGAGGTGGTGTCATCGTATTTGAATTCTAGACACATATTTCGGGATGGCCATAAGGTCATTGTTTTATTTGTGTTGTTTCTTACCAGTTGATCTATTTGTCTGATGGTTCACAATTTCTAACTTTTGATTAAAACATGCATTAAATTATTCCTAAATTCGAAATTTACTATATCGAATATAATGAAGTATGAATGTATTTGAATATCCAACCCCTTTTGGACTTCCATGCCCATATCGTTAAATATTGTGACTGCTTATACAGGGTCTTGTTCGTAGCGAACAGCGTGAATACTTCTTTTACTATTCATCCATTTTCTTATTGCTAATAATGTTCTTATGTTAAATTTTCGTCTGCAGGCAATAAGAGGTTTGCATCAATATGTGGTCAGCTGTGTTCGAGAAGCAAATATTGCATTAGATGCTCAATGGGAAGAAGCAAATAAAAGGAAGAAATCTTTAATGGGACCTAGAGACAATAGGAGAGGAAATTTACAGGTAATGTACATTTTGTCATAAAGTATATTTATCAAGTTATCTTGATCTTGAAGTTTATCGTTACGAACAGTGAAGTGTGTAGCGAAGCCAGTCTATCTTCGTGAATTGTTGTTCTAATGATTTAATGTTTTTCTCTGAGAATAGACTGTTTTTCTCTGCTGTATTAGTTACTATTAGACTTTCGCAATTGTCGCTGCTTGTTAACCGATGTTTCTCACGCCTTCCTTCTTCCTGAAATTTCTTCATTATGTTTTTCACATAAAGTGTATTTTCAGCATGGTCAAAATATAAAATACTGAACTCGAGTAATTTTTTTGCCAGATGCCAGATTGAAAACATTTTTAGCGCAATAAAGTAGCACGGTTTTTACTCTGAAATATCGTGGGACCCATGCTAGTCCCAGACTCACTGTGGCCGAAGTTACAGTGGACTAAGACCGGCCCTCGATACATGACGTATTGATTTAAAACTTACACCCCTGACAAAATATAAAGACAGCTGTACTGCTGTAATGTTCTTCCGTGGTTTAAGTATTTATTTCCCATTGAATTTGACTGAGAAATCATTAAATGAGAAATCTTGCTCATAAAATAACACCCAGTTTTGAATATGTTATTGGCAAAATTGAAAAACCCAATATTTTTTCTTCTTTGTGATACTAATACAGGGTGGTGAATGGGAAGCAGCTTATCAAGGACTTGTTAATAATATGAAGATCCTACATAACCAAGAGATGAAAATCATGTTGCTAAGCCAACAACTTGATAGGTACTATTCCTTCATTATCAAATATGTTACTATTTTGTCCCCTATGAATTTTCTTTTATATAAATATTTTGTATTTTTGTCTCTCGGCACCATATCCTATGAACTTTATGCACTCATCTGTTTGGGGGTAATAGCCAGGATAGGTTTGGGGGTTGGAAACATCCCCTTTTTAAAATACCCCCTTTTTAAAATGTAAAAAAAAATCAGTTTTTTGAAAATTTTTGGCTACGACCCTGCCTCTGTTCGTAGATTGTGCTTCCATTTATATCCAAACCGTCATATCATTTCCATGTGGTTTGGTCACTTAGAAGTTAAACTACCAATTCTAAAAACTATTAAAGTTTAGCTGGATATATTGTCCAATCTCCAATGTACAACTTTCTTAGTAACTGATATGTTTTAAGATAGGATGGTTATTTTAAAGAACTGTTGAATTCTAATTTGTTACTTTGTACTTTGTAATTATTTTTTTTTCTGGCAATAGGGAATTGTATATCTGTCTTTTATATTCTAGATTACGATTAGAAAAAACATCAACCAGGTCATCGTCAAGAAATCGAGATACGACTTCTTCAAAAGTGAAATCTGGGTTAGTTTTTCTAATAAATATGTCAGTATTGGTAAGCTAATATATAGAAATTCCGCTCATGTTGAATTTTCTAAATCTATGGCATTCAAATATTTCAGCACTGACTTGCAAATGTTGGCAGATTCATTGCTTTTGCATAGAGAACCGACCACACCTTCAGCACAGAAGTCTGACACAGTTGATGTAATGAAAACATCTAAGCAAACTAAAACTAAAATGTCTCCTAAAAAGCAAGCACAATTGGGACAAATGTTGGCGAATAGGAGAGTAACTCCAGTCAGAAGCTCAAGTAGGTTTTTCTATAAAATCCTAAATTTTTACCTATCATTAAATTTAGCTTCAGACATATCGAGCGGCACAAAAAAGAAAAAGCGTGGGGGCAGGAGCACATACCAAGCATCCCGACAATACTAACAACAACAACAATTTAGCAGCACAATTCATATGTACACTTTGTGTTTAATAATGTCCTTAGTAGGGCTGGGCAAAATATTCGAATCGAATATCAAAATATTCGAATGGCATTTTACTATTCGAATATCCGGTACCACGTGACCTGCGCCGCTTTACTTTAACACGGAATTCGCGCGTCGCCAAATCAATCGTGAATTGCACGAGAATTCACAAACGGCGCTCGCTAACATACAAAAGCGACAAATTTTCTTTGCGGTATGATGTTATTTGCTTTCTTTTCACGCCTAACGTATCGTTTCATTTCCCTTATTTTGTAAAATAGGTCCCCACCGTTGCGTAAATTTATGAACGTTCTGTAAATTATAAAAGTATGACGATGTATTTAAAAAATCGGAAATTCTCATTGCCGTCTGTAACAGTCATCGCGATTACGCGCTCGTTAAAGAGACGTTTTTTCGGCGTATAATGATTTTTCTGTTGCGTAAAATGATCAATCCATGACAACTACGGGATTCCTAAATGTCTTTATATATTAATTTATTTATGTCAAACGTAACTCGCGGTTGCTTCTTCTTAAGTCAAAATTAAAACATTACTTCTCTGAAATGCCACGGCGATCTGTGGACATAAAAGTATGAGATAAACTGCCGGGTGTATTTAATTTTAATACGTATTTTTGCGAACTCGTTATCGCCGTTAGAAAAATTTCAATAACTGATATAAAATCCCGTAGAGTACAATTTCATTTCGTACAATGAAAATACATACAAAGTATATCGTTTAGTCAAAAATACATATATATTCATCGCCGCGATTAGGCCACTTGTTAAAAGAGCCAACTTTTACAATGAATAACGAGTTTTCTGTTGTGCAAAGTAATCAATTTGTGACCGATAAGGGCATATTTAAAATGTCTTGCTTTATTATTGTCTTCAATTTAACCAGCGGTTGAGTCGACAAAATAAAATCTTCACAATTTTAAAATACTACGGCAATCTGCGAACATAAAGTGTGGTAAACTGCTCGAACATATAAAGCTTTGATTTTTATTTATTTTCAGGACTGGTAACATCAAAAAATCCATAAATCTGCTGTAATATCTCAGATTAAAATTTATTTTAGCACAATAGTTTTGATTGAATATACATTTGATTGATTATCTTATATATCAGGAATGGCGAACCTTTTTCAATGAATGGGTCAAAAACTATAATTTTATCGCGGAACAGAAGAGAGTGGGTCACAGATATTTAATTCACGTTTGTATCTATAAGAAACGTCTGAAACAAATCTTATAAGCTGGTGTTGGTGTAGTTTTGGGCTTCACTTATGCAGCACTTCTATCAGGGACTTTTTATGGCACTCGGTAGATTTTTATTTCAAGTCTGAAAGTTTTTGTTTTCACAACGGCATTGTAGGCGAGAAACTAATAAAATGCAAAGTAGCATCTAGTTCTCGTATAACCCCTGAAACAGTCTGCAGATGGACTTCCAAAAAAGACAGGCGTTGCGAAAAATGAACGGATCAATTGTATTGTTATGTCATAAACGATGTCAGGCCCAATTGCTGAATAACGGTACACAGCGGTGCATACATGCGTACAAGATTAGGGGTTTTGAAAATCACCATACCGGCCCGAAAATCAACATTTTGAACATGAGCGATCGCAGCCCTCCCTGACTGTACAACTGACGGTACATTATAATAGTTTAGTAATTGTTAGATTAATTTAAAGCCGGTTTTATCATTTTTCATCACTGATATGTTAGCATTTTTTTTATTTCATTCGTGGTTCAGTGGTTCGCCATCCCTGTTATATATCATCACAACCCGGGGAAAATTGTCCCGTTATTCGAAAATATCCGTTATTCGACTATTCGGTATTCGTAAAAAATATTCGAACTATTCGATTCGAAAAAATTATTCGATTTTGCCCACCCCTAGTCCTTAGTCTGTTCAACTATTTAGACTTTGTAGTTGAAAAATTGTGTATAAATTCATGTCATCCACTTCACCCATTATGCACTCGATTGCGTTATTATATACCAAGCCGGAAAACCTACAAAAATATTGTATTTCTTACGTATAAATGATACATGCATAAAGCATCTCTATGCAAAAGAGTAATACACTCAATGAAGAATCGTAATAATGAAATGCTCTTTTGTATAATCATATCAGTATCATATTCATCAGGTAAGTTCCCTAGTCAAGTTTTGAGACCAGCCAGTAAGAGTTCAAAGAACAAGGAAAAAGCGCAAAGTAGATCGGGATCAGAATCTCAATCCGATAGACCCAGTTCACCCAGAGCTGAAGAAGAGTCTCCATATGAAAGCGGTAAAGTCGATGTAATTGCTATGTTAAAAACGTTAAGAGACTTTGGTTATAGTGAAATTTGAAATTGATGTTAATTGGTAGAAATGTGTTTTTAAAAAAAATAGATCACAATACGTTTTACTGTTTTTTTTTTTTTCAATTAAATATTTTGTAGTAAATTTTGATGTTCCCATATTTGGCAATAATTAATGTGGTATTTACCATAATAATGGGTGCTACCGTAGTATACATACCAGGTTGGGGTTAGGATATAATTTTATTCAGAATTTTCTTATTTTGGTTCTATTACGAGTTCGGGGACTGTCTGTGTTAGTCAAGTGAATATCCCCGTGCCCATAGGTTTTTGTCCCTTTACACAATTTGATGTAATGTAGGCGAACAAAATTGGTTATCTCCATATTGGTACACACACTTCTGGAGCGCCCAATAATGTGGTATTTGGCTACGTTTATGACATTCAAAATCAACATTTAATTGCATTACACCTATTTATGTTGGCATCACAAGGTAAGAATATCAGTTCAAGCTAACCCAAGGCATATTAAATTTGGTAGGTTATGCCAAACCAAAAAGATTGTGGTCTGGGTCAAAATAATAGCTCTCTCATATGAGTGACTGCCCATAAAAGGCACTGTTAAGGTTAAATGGATGAAAACTCTGTCCAAAAAATATATACACAATGATCATGGCTTGCTCGATTCATTTTCAGTTTTCGTGAATTTCACTGAGGGTAGGATATCCTTTCTAACCACGTTGACAATCGAGCCTAAATTTCCACATATAATTCTGTTATACCAGTTTGGCTCTTCATGATTATTATAAAATATATTTTAGAAGAAAGTGGAACACCAGATTCAATGTCATCGTCAGCACCTTCATCTGTTGGAGGTTTTACATTTGGAACCAATGCCGACTCTGCAAAAACAGATATGGCATTCGCTCATAGAAAACCAGGTGAATATTACAATAAAGCAATGTTCAAACAAGCTAGAAAGTGTCTAGGATCTCCGCTGATAATCGAGGCAACCGCGATCTGTTACCACCCACACAAAATTGCACTTATACGACGGCATACAATGGTGAACATGTTACCAAGATGGCCAGTCCGCTTTGAGCGCTGCACGTCTAGGTATCCTTGAGTGTCTGTTTGTATGTCGCTAATGATTAATAACGTTCACTTGAATTCCTAAGGCTTTTCCCAGTTTGGATTATCGAGATAATAAATGATAGAAATCTGATGATTATATGATGAAATGGTTGAAACGAACGTCACATGAATGTGTGGCCAGGTATTATGAAAGGCAGCAAAATTTGGAGTGAAATATCAGTCCTTATTATACTGTTAAAAAAATGTAATAGCCTCCTAACGTCGTAGTGAAAATTCAATCAATTCGTCTGCACATAATTTTTTTCAAGAGGTTAAACCTTATGATTTACAATATTTTAAAAAAATTTTAAAAATGGAAAATTCACGCTATATTTTCAAAATATTAAGTCAAGTATAAAAGTATAACGATACTTTTGTTTCTGTCAAATAACTGAGAAATAATTATTTTTAGAAATTTATTCATCAATGCCAGGGACAACAGCCCCATCAATGATTCCACAAGGATCAGCAACACTAGCTTATGGAGCTCCAAAGACTGTTTCTGCTGAAACAAAGCGAAGAGAATTATCAAACTTTCCAACATCTGGAAATATGGAAGCAGCGTCAAATCTCAACAACCCACCGCAAGTAATTGAAAAAATAGTTGTTTTCAAATTTATTTTTTATGTTGAATAGGGAATGCCTGAGAATGAGAGAGTGTGAGTGTAACACACACTCTCTCACCCTCGGGCATTCTCTATAGCCCCCTCTTCAGCGTTTGCTCTTCACTCATCACCTTGAATGAGTGAGTGCTTGATATTTGACTAGGGTGACATCGCGGTTTAAAACTCTGGGGTTCGAATCCGATAGTCACCAACTCACCCAGGGTGTATTACATTGGGCATCCTTCCAAAATGAAGTATCTCTTAACATATCAGGGGGGGTTTGCACAGATAACCTTGTTCTGAATTGAAGGCATATAAACATGCCATATACAAAAAAATTGCTGGCGCATTCTTGTCACTTCATCGTGACACTGACATCTCTTATTTGAATTGATTTTGAGTTTTGTTGATTTTATATCTTCCGACCCTTTTGTTATTCCGTGGCTATGAAGCGTTTTGTTATTATGTTGTTTTTTTAGTATTTCCTTTCTTATTCTTATGATAAAATAGCTTTTCTCATTACCTACTTACCGAGCCGATTGCTTTGAAATTTTCAGTGGTTACAGATTGTATTTGTTGCTCGAAGGCTATTACTTAATTTCTGTGCGCTCTATGGGATTGCCTTCATGTCCATATATTTGAACATTGCTTATAATTGTATTTTGATATCATAGGTTGTCAACATTCAAAAACTTCAAGAACAAGCTTTGGTTCAGCCAAGACTGCCGGATAAATTTCAACCAAAGTGAGCATTTTTTATTTAGTTTTTTTTTTATTTCTCTTGTAAACAGATTATGTGCTATTAACCGATGAATCTTTTTGTGGTAAGCTGTATTGCCAGTCATTCCAGACTAATAGCTGATCAAATGTGACTGAATTTAATTAAAAGAAAATGTTGTTTATAAAAATCCTACAAGAATATTGACCTTGTGTTTGCTTGAATCGAATAAGTTGGTATTTTTTGTGCGTTGATATTTTGAATATGATAGAAAGACGCATCTGGTTTTTTTGTGGGTAATTGAGGACAAATATGCATTCTAAGATTTTTTCGAAAATAATGTATTTGGTAATTTAACATTTAAATGCGAGTACATTATAGTTAAAATGCCAATATACATGTGTTGATAAAGCACATTGTTATATCTATATATATATATGTTCTTGTAGACCTGAAGTTCCAGCAGGGGCAGTTGAAGTTGTACAAACTGTTTTGAATACAGTTAAAGCAGAACAAGAACAGAAACCTAAGACATGGAATTTTGAACCAGGTGATTGTAGAAATATTCTTCATAATAGGATTTGAAATTTGTGAAAGAACAATAAGAAGAATATTAATATTTCTGTTTCTGATTGAGTTTTCACTTTGCTGAGCTTTGATTTTGTACCATATTCTTTGATTAAGCACTTGGTACTTCACACAAGCTAGCTGTTAGGGTATTGTGATGTCACAGGCATAGATAATAAATCCGATTCCGTCACTCCACTATAGGCTTTGCAAACGGATTGGAATTACTCGCCCGTACCAGATTAAACTAAATTGAAAATTTGGCACTCATTCGCTGGCGGCACAATTTTTTCTTGTTTGCCACATTTGGAACAGGGGCTGTGGGTTACACACCCCTGGGTTAAAGCGTTGTACCTGACTCTGTTGGCATCGCAGTATCAATATTTCGGGTTCAACTCACATGTCCACCACTTCACCCAGAGTGTATTAAGTTGAGAATAGGTTCTACATTTCAGTGGCTACTTGGGCCGAGCCTTCTTGAGAGTAAAAATATGACAAAAACGTCTCTTAAAAAATTATTAAAAATCAATTATAAAAACCAAGAAAGTTTTCTGTATTAAACAGACCATTATTATTATCCATAATTATTTTTATAGATAAAGCACCACCATCTTTTCTGTCTACTGCTGGTCGGCCTGAAACTGCTGGTGCATTTGCTATTGGGAAGTCTGCAAGCGACGGTGGTAAACTATTCAAGAGTGGTTTTAATTTAGCGCCGACAGCTGCTGTGGGATCAGTACCTTCATTGCTAACTGGACACACGACTCTCGGTCCAAAAACGTCTAGTCCGGCATCCTTTGGTGCAACAGCGGCATCTGAAAATATAGAAGAAAAGAAAAGTAGTGACGCCGCACTGCTAAGACAAAACTTGTTTTCGACTGATGCTGCCATCTCATCTTTGGAAACTAAAAATATTTTTGGATCAGGTAAATTGGTGTGAATTTTTATGTATTTTTCCTTATTTGTCGTTTGATTATCTTTTTCATCTTTCAAAATTTTCCCCCAGAATCAAAAGCTTAGCTTGCATGTGGATAACTACTGCTCATTTCTGTCCACATCTGTGGTAGCGAATCTGTACGTAATGATACTATAACAACAATTAAAATAGCTATATTGGGTTGGTTTAAATGTCTTGTATCCTATTATAAAAACCTATTTCTGTAACATTTAGCCTGCTCAAAGTCACGCTTCCGTGGATAAATCCATGGAGTCCACAAATATTTCCCAATAAAGTATGGTCTTTATCCGCTTTCAATGCTCGGTCAATATTTTCATGAAACGCTTTCTTGAACTGAGCGATTGTCACATTTCTTTGCTAAAATTTGTCTTAATACGTTTTCAGTCAAGCAACAGGCACCGATGCGATCATCGTCAGCAACTGCAATATTTTCGAGAGAAAACAAGGATCCCTCTAGTTCAGGATCAAAACCGTCTACTTCCGTTCCAACTAACTCGGTCCAGCCCAATATATTCAGTGATGACAAAAAAGCTGCTTCTCCGTTTACAGGATTGTTTAAAACACCTTCATCCACTACCCCTTTCGGAGGATTTGCGGCACAAACAGCTTCTGGTGATAATCAAAAACAAGGTGATTCTGGCTCGTCACCTAGTTCACCTGGTTTAACATTTTCACTCAAAACCACTCCTGATGTTTCCACCGCTTCACCGACCATCACTGTCACTGTAAGCAGTCAAGGTCCATCATTGACCAGCTTTACTAATACACCTAGCGCCACTCCACCACCTAGTATGTCGGCTTTGTCTATTGCACCTAGTAATAATACAGATACTACAGCAGCAACTACGCCTGCAAGCGATGCTAGTATTACAAGCACTGATGCAAGCGCTAGTGCAACAATATCCCACGCCAGGTCTAGTAGCTCTCCTCATCAATCGAAAACAGATTCAAAACAATCTACAGGTTTATTCGGTGGAATCACAAAAACAGGATCCGGTTCAACAGGAAACATTTCCGAGGCCAGTACTGGTTTCCTGAGATCTAACACAGATGCTCCTACTTCATCTACCAGCTTTGCACCTTCAACTGCCACCATTACCGGCAGTGGTGACACAAACGCAGCAACAGCTCAGTCAGTTTTTGGTTCAGGTGCTACTTCTTCTACAAGTGTATTTGGAAATGTGGGAACAGCTGGTAACAACACTCAGTCTTCCATTTCATTAACTGCTTTTGGAAAATCTCCGAGTTCTGATCAACGTGCCACTACTGTATCAACAACATCAACTGAAGCATCTGTGTTTGGGACTGTGACAGCAACCAGCTCAACTGAAAACACCACCACTCCGAGTGCTTCTGAATCTGTAAATGTGTCATCTGCACCAGCTACAACCACATCGGTGTTTGGGGCAAGTACATCCGCGACTTCGGTTTTTGGAAATGTCTCTACTGCAACGCCTGCCTTTGGTTCTGCCTCTTCTGTGCCAGCTTTTGGTGGTGCCACTACAGCTCCACCAGGTTTTGGATCTACTACTACTGCTTTTGGGTCTGTCACTTCCAGTGGTGAGACTGCCACAGGTGCACCTGGTTTTGGTGCGACTGCGACACCTGGCTTTGGGACAACAACAGCTCCACCTGCTTTTGGATCTTCCACTGCCTTTGGGGCTACTGCAACTCCACCTGCGTTTGGAGCTACTACTACTCCGTCTGCATTTGGAGCCACCACTACTCCGTCTCCTTTTGGGGTCGCCACAACTGCTTCTGCATTTGGAGCCACCACCACTCCATCTGTGTTCGGAGCCACCACTGCTGTGTCTGCATTTGGGGCCGCCACCCCTTCGACTGCATTTGGAGCCGCTACCACTCCTTCTGTATTTGGGGCTGCTGCCGCACCATCTGTTTTTGGAGCAGCTACAACAGCCAGTGTGTTTGGAACTGCTTCTAGTACTGGACCATTTGGAGGGTTTGGTGCAGCGACTCAGGACAAATCAGTTTTCGGGGGTGAGTTAGTATCAACATTTACAGTTGTAAACTTTTGTATAGTAGGACATCAATGGTCCAATAAGTACCGGTGTGTGTCTTGTGGGTTGGTTCAGTTGAAAAATCAACATTTTTATGAAGAATAATGTACCGACATTAATTGAATTGTCCTAAATGATGTTGCCGTTTTTATATTAAGATCTCAGTACTCATAAGTAACTGATACAAGGCCATATTTGATCATACTATTTCGTTGGCCAATGCAATTATTTATATATATCACTCGTAAATAATGCTGGTTAGTGTTAATGCTGTTAAATACCTTCCATTATCTCTTCATTGATTTATAATTTCAGCTTCTGCATTTGGGCAAAAGAAGACAACAGCATTTGGCCAAACTCCGTTTGGGTGAGTCAGCAATTTATTTAATACTTGTTTGATATACTGGTATTTTACTGTTACTGAAAGATTTCTCTCAATTCCTTGTAATTATAACCGTATATATAACCTAAGCAAATCTGTTGGAATGAGTTATAGTCGAGGCTTGATTGCAGAAAAAACTTTCAGCAAACATTTAATTTCACTAAATTAATTGTAATAAAATGTCAGTAAGCCATACAAAATTGAGCAAGATTATCTCCTTTGGATTTAACTTTTGTAAAGCAAGAACATTCTTATTTTAGTGGTGGATTTGCAAGTACACAACCAACCAGCACATCTCGATCAAGTCCTTTTGGAGGGTGAGTTTTGAATTTGAATGGATGCTTCCCCAAGTATCAACTTTCTTGTTAACTTCCATAATATTGGCTATCAGCAAGGTGTCAAAGATAGTAACAATTAAAACTTTCGCTCAGACAGGTTTCAAGGCGTCGTAAACATATTCATGGTTTTGGTAGCTATTTCTCATTTTATTTGTATTTCGGTAAGTTTTTGATTTTCGAAAAACTTAATGATCATTTATTCTACAAAGGAATTTTAATTTTGTAGTAGTAACCAACAACCAACAAGAAACTGTTCAATCTTTGTATTCAATTAAATGTTGTTATCTATTTATGAAACTTAACATGTTGGCATCACAGATTACACATTTCAGATTTCAATCCCATCCCCCCCCCCCTTCACCCAGGTCATAATAAATTATGTAGTAAATGCTGAACCGGGAAAATTCCGATCCTTCCAAGTGACCCAACTTGAGCGAAAAAATGTTGCATAACAAAGATTAATGTCAAAACTTCACAATTCACAACAGTATTATCATTTTAATTTAAAATAAATTTCAGAGGGTTTTTATCTGGCATCGGTGGACAACCTGGTACAGATGCTGCCAATAAAAATCCGTTTCAGATTGGTGGAAATGCAGAACAAGGGGATAATTCATCAAGTACGTTATTATCAAGTTTGTGTATTTTCTATCATATCCTGCCATGTAATAATTATCGATAGTATTCTTCTATACTCATCTGACAAGATTTAAGATGGGAATAATTTGTTTTATGCTTTTTGTAGCTTCTTTGTTTGGGAATTCTGGAGCAAAATCGTTTCAAGCAACTGGGCAAAATCAACAACAACAGAGTGCATTTGGATTCAGTAGTCCATCTGCTGGGGTTGGAGCACAAGGATTTGGCGGTTTCAATAAACCTCAGCAATCAGGTTTTTATTTTTAGATTGTTTTAGCAGAATCGAAAAAAATCAATGACATTTACAAAGATGTTATGACAATTTATTGTTTGTTTTTTTTTCATTCTGCTTATAAGTTGAAACGGTCCAATTGGAAAAACAATAGGACTACATAGACTTGTATATAATATTGCATTGTTGTTTGGAGACTAAGATCTGATTCTTGAAGACTAATTAGATAATGAAGTAATCAGGGGCGCAGCCAGGATTTTTCCCACTGGGGGTTACGGTGAAATTAAAACATTACACCAAAAGTGCTATTCACGACGACGTAATAATGCGTTTAATAAACTAAAATGCATGGTCGTTCACAGCGATATTCCACAGCTACGTGTAGCCCGCCTCTCTTTGCCTGACGGCGTTTGGTGAATATTTTGCAAGTCCTATTTCAAACATCGACCATTAATCCGTAGTCAGCGGGTACCAGCATTTAGAAATAAAACAAATAAAAATCGCGAAAATTTATTTTAGAGAAAACTATAACTTATATAGCTTATAGCTATAACTTATAACTAACTATAACTATATATAACTATAGCTGATGTCAGTAGCGTGATGATGGTTTATACGTACAAAAAACACGCTCGCATGTAGCGCCAATCAAATGCATGAAATGTGGAACTATTACTTGGAATTTATTGTTAATCGAGTTGATTTTTTATTGTCATTCAATGATTATTAACATGCGCCGTGATTAGTGGCGGGTAAAATCGTATTTTTTAATAGAGTTATTCGAATATTTTCAACGAACACCGAATAATAGGTATTGTTATTTTAAACATTAATTTGGATGTCGACTGCCTAAACAACCTCTGTGACAATGAATAAATTTTTTTTTCGGATTTTACTAGAAGACTGAAAACTCCGTAACAATGCAGGGCTTTTTATTTCATAGTTTTGTAATAATCGAAAGCTGCGAATAATCAAATTTTTTGTCTCCACTATTGTTTCGGCGGCTGACATTCCAATTAATGTTGTTAAGTTATATTAAAGCACTTTTTTATTCAAGTATTAATTCTCATGCAACGGCGGATATCGTAGTTTGGTTTTTATATTTCGGACAGAATTGCGAGTTCACATCGGCGGAGATGTTAGAGACAACTATTAGGGAGTGCATTCACAACACAAATCAATTTTAGTCTCATTTTTATCTTCTGTGTAGGAGTTGTATCACAGTTTGTAAATTACGGTCCCAATTTTAAACGAACAATATTATCATTACTGACCCCGGGAGGCGATTCGTGTTACTTTCGTATTGAATAATAACTAATAGCTTTGCAAATTGATAATCTCTTGAATACTCAGTGTTGAGTATTTACGTAACTCAGCTTTGGGTTAAATCACTGATACTAAACACATGAATAAATCGGCAATAATGGAATTTCTACATGGTCAAAATGATATATATTTCTTCCCAATATCTCGAGAAATTTTCATAAAATACATTATTTACCTGTCTTACTTATCTGGTTCGACATTTCTAAATTCACAAAAACGGTGTTCACACGCTTTATGCAAAATTAGGAATTGAAAAATATGACGCAAAGAGGCAAGGAAAATTTTTTTTTCACATTTATCGTTTCTACCAGTTAGCGATAGCCGTCGGTAAATTCTTACCCGTAACTCGTTGTAAATTATTGTTAATAAATTTTATTTTGCTTTTTAATGCGCTGTGCTTTGTATTAAAATAAAAGTGATTCAGTTGGGAAGAGAAAGTCCTTAAATTAGCTTATGACCCTTCTCTTCTTTTAAGCGCCCATAACGGCGGTTAAATTGTTTCATGTCTGTTTCATTGAGAGAAGGGAAAATATGCCTTTCGGAATTGCAATCAACAATTACAAATTCCTATATATTCTTATCAGCGCTAACTAAAAAAGATAACATGTCTTGAAGACGGAATAAGTCCGTAGATGTTAATTGCATTATGGTGATAACGCGCAGAATAATATCGCTTGGACCGCGAAACCATGACGAGCGATCGTAAAACTAAGTCGTTGCTTTTTTGTAGATGAAATTCACATCAAATTTTTTCTCAAACAGGGGTGTTACGACCCATGTAAAACAGCTGGCTGCGCCCTTGGACGTAATAATTATATATACATTTAGGAATCGAGGAACTTTAAGGAATAAGTAGATCTATACAATATAGTTGACATGAAATTATCAGAGATTAACACTGAATAGTTGAGGTAGCCAATGATGAGAGATTCTGACAGCTTGTCCTATTACTTTTATTCCATTGCTGCTGCTTGTTATATCCTGGATGCACTTAACATTATTGCTAATACTTTTAGGTTTTGGAGCTGCTCCTGCTTTTGGATCTTCTGCTACATTTGGTTCTCCTCCAGCTTTCGGCTCTACCTCTGGTGGAAGCACATTTGGAGGTGGATTTGGTTCACAGCCTGCTTCAACTGGTGGATCTTTTGGACAAACTGCCAGTGGTGGTTTTTCATCGTAAGTAAAGGGCATTGAAGATGATTCTCTAGTCTCTACTACCAGTCAAATTTGTGAAGCACAGTTCTTATATGTGGCAGTGCTCGTTACATATTATATTACAGATGATAAATGACACTTAATTCCCTTTTGGACATACAGATCCATGAATTGCAAAAACTAAATAAACTATTATGACCAATGTTTCACCAGTCCATGAAGATAACTTCTACAATAGTTAATAACTTGTAAGCTAGTTTTGTCATATTATGTCTTTTTTACAAATACTCAAACTCTTTTGTTTAGCTTTGCCAGTAGTGAAACTCCCGGTTTTGGTAATCTTGCGAATCAATCTGGAGGATTTGGAAGTCCACAGCAACAGCAGCCAAGTGGCTTTGGCGGGTTTGGATCGAACACACAGTAAGATGAATTTATAATTATGCAGTCTGTAAAGAATAAAATAATAAATAAAAACTCTGTCAGTGCATTGCACACATATAAAAGTTGTCCATAAGTCTTGTTTCCCCAGTGGAATTTTTTTGTATGGTGGCCAAAAATTGCACAACTACAGTATGGAAAATGTCTATTGACAATTTGCAAAATATAAGGGTGTCCGAGTTTCCGTCCCAATCAATAATGAAAATTTGATACTACACCAAATGTCGATGCAAAATTTTCAATTTTTTTTTTTTTTAATTTGTTTATGTATAGTTCGTACTTTCAGTATGTTGAATAAATAATTATTGATTAACAACACGGTAGCAGTTTTTAAAGGATAATTTTTATAATTTAAAATCATTGTTTGCTGCCTAATATTGATGTGTTTAAAAGAATTCGTGGGACTGTGTACAAACAATCATGTTTCTTCTTTTCAGAAAAAGCCCTTCTTTCAGCGGCTGGAGATAAATGATCAATGGAAATATGTTCATTATTTCCCTTGATGCTGAATTATGCCTTGTTAATGATGTCACTGGCTCTGAAGTCGATTTTCACAACCCCTGTTACTATTGCTCTCAAACCTGATTGCTACTTTATTAAAATGACGATAAAATAATGAGAAACTGTTAATTTTTTAGAATGCTATTCATTTGTATTTGCTGTAATTTGTTTCGTTAAAAACAATAACTTAATATTGTTGGCTGAATTAAGATTCAAATAAATATCATCGGAAAATGACTGGAACGGTGTGCAACTTAAAGTTAGTCATCCAGGAATAGTAACTCAACAAAACAAATTATGTACAAAAATTCACAATATAAGTATAGTCTTAATACTTAGACATAATTTTAGGAAACTGAGTATATTATAACTCTAGTCGTAATCTCAAGGGCTGACGGACAACTCGACTACACGGACAACTCACCAGAGACAACTCGACTACCTGGAGACCTGGTGAGTTGTCCGTCTTTTCGCATTTTCTACGGTGGTGACTGGTGTTTTAGGTCTATAGAAATGCGTTTTTGATATTTTTAGTGCTCAAATGTTGAGAAAAATTCTCTAGAAAGCATTTTTATTTGTATAAGTGACTTATTTTAATCATGTTGTATGAATACAAATACAGTCTACAGACGAAATTGGAGTAACGTTAGCGAAGTTAGACTGTTGAGGATTGGTCAGTATTCGACGTAGAAATAAGAACCAACAATCATCTGGAAGGTTGGCACCGCCATTTCAACAGTATAACTCGGAAAATTATGCCTTTTTACAGTTTAATCTCAACAATGTACGAGGTAAGTATAGGGATAGAGGCGGACGTTGTGGATATTTTGGAAGAGAATGTTGTGGGGTGTGTCAACGGCAGGCATGCAGAAGCCAACGAGAGGGTGCAACATGTTTGGGAACAGTTTAAGGGAGGAGAGTTATCTGTGGACTCTCTTCTTCGGAGGTGTTCAAGGATCTACGGGCCGCAGTATTGCAAAGAGTAAGTATGTAACGCAGCAAATTTCCCATAACGTTCAGTATTCAAATAAAATTAAATATTCGTAACGAAAAAGAAAACAAAACCTCCCATCCATTAAATTTCCCCATAACGTTTAGTATTTAAATATCATAATAAATTCATTAATCGTAACAAAAAGTAAACATCTTTTATCCATTCTTCGGCCCAGTTTCTCTGCCAGGCGCAGCGACAGTGCCTATCTGTTCCTGGTTTTCTTCTGCAAAAAGAATTTTCAACTCTATGACTGAAACCTTGCCGTGGTAAGTTGGCTTACAACTAATATCAGTCGGCACTAAGTAAATGCTATGCAACTATTGAGTCTGCGTTTTGCAAAGCAATGTCTTCTCCTCGAGCATCGATATCGCAGAGCGATTGCTCGACTAGTGAGGTTGCTCGGTAGTCGAGTTGTCTTTACCTCGAGCATCTATATCGCAGAGCGATTGCTCGACTAGTGAGTTGTCTGACTCTCGTTGCTCGGTAGTCGAGTTGTCTTTACCTCGAGCATCGATGACGTCACGTCGCAGAGCGTTTGCTCGACTGGTGAGTTGACGGGCGACTGCCGTAGGCGAGTTTAGACTACTGCAACCACAGACTACTGAGCTCACATTCATAAATATTTAAGTGTTACTGTGAAGTATAAAGGTTTTAATATATTCAAATGTGCTCATTCAAAACATTTAATACCAATAAAGTTCATAAAATTAAACGAACACAGTCCTATAAGTCAACAGTCTAACTTCGCTAACGTTACTTCAATTTCGTCTGTAGACTGTATTTGTATTCATACAACATGATTAAAATAAGCCACTTATACAAATTAAATGCTTTCTAGAGAATATTTATGTATTTTTCTCAACATTTGAGCACTAAAAATATCAAAAACGCATTTCTATAGACCTAAAACACCACCGTAGAAAATGCGAAAAGACGGACAACTCACCAGGTCTCCAGGTAGTCGAGTTGTCTCTGGTGAGTTGTCCGTGTAGTCGAGTTGTCCGCCTCCCATCTCAAGCAATACACGATTTGAATGTTGAAGTATGGTCAGCACTGGTCACATTTAGTTGGGTTGGCATATCGTCCTAATTGTTAGACCCCAGATTAAACTCCTTGGGTTCGAATCCTGTGGGGGATAATTATGTGCGAAAGGATTGCTGAACTCCTTACCGCCGAAGGGTGGTTCACGTAACCACTGATCGGCTACAGCTCCCTTCACAATCAAGCCACTACATCTGAAACAAGTAACTGGCTAAATGATTCTGTACCGACATGGACGAGAGGCTGTATCACACCATATGTTTAAAGTCGTGTTATCTTCTCTACTCGGCGTGAATGTGTAAATCTTATATTTGGTGCTGTGTGTCATAACTTAAGAATTTTCATGAAATATTTTGTGATTTGACGGGCAGTAAAGTCTCAACCCCCAGTGGAATGACTGGTATCGGAGTTTAAATACAAATTACCACCAGATGTATTATATTGTGTGGACACTATTTGTCTGATGAGACACAAGAATTGTTAGACATTTTATTGGGTCTTCAATGCTTATAATTGTTACATCGCAAGACACTTGTATGTATTTGAAATGAGCATTGATGAGATTACAAATCCGGCTTGATGATTGGCTTAATAACTTGGGTGTTATGGACACTGTTGCGCCCGCTTGTGTAATAGTCTCGTCCCCAATGAGGAAATAAGTATTTGGGGCAGCTCAATTATATGGAGATTGGATAATCACTGCCTCTCTGTTGCTATTTAACTTTTTCTTGCTACTTCCTCTAATCTTCTTGAACAAATTATGAATAAAGGGTGTGAAACCCCTCCAAAACAGCTTATGAATAAAATCGTCACGGCGGTAGGACCCGCTTTTTATTAATTCTATCAACTATACTTTGTTGCACGATAGTATATTTTATTTATCTATGCTTTCATGTATGTACAATAATTAGTTTTTACTTATTACCTAATACTACTACACTGGGCTATACACGCTATAAGAGTCGAGAGACGAAACATGAAGAAAGGTTTTGGAGGAACTGATGAGGAATAATTTAAATCTTCTCGTCTTCTCTGTGGAGATTCTCTTGTTCTAGTCAGTGCGATTCTACAATAAAATCGAAAAATGAACGCATATGCCGCATGGTTGAAACATAGCCGGTTGAAACGTCTAATCGACCAGGCTTGGCGGTGTGGCGCATTGTGATAAGCGTTAGGAATACGCTCGCCAGCGCATCTCTGATTACCCTTCGTGGAATCGCAGGTTCGAATCCCATGCGGGGATGATCATGTGCGAGAGGATTGCTGGACTCGCCGCCGTAGGATGGTTCACGTAACCGCTGGTCGGTTACGTCTTCCTCTACCATCAAGTCCATGCTTCCGAAGACAAATAACTGGCTAACTAATCCCATACCTGACCTGGACTGGTAACCGGACGAGAGGCCGTGGTTCGCCATATGAATAAGCCGTCTTATCACTTTCCTCTCCCCCGGGATAAACATGTAAATCCTATCCTATCCTCTTCCGGAATATATGCGATTCTAATTTTAACAGATGGGAACATATATATCCGTGTAGGAAAATTTTCAATAAATGGTTTGGTACTCGCGTGCGTTTATGTCGGGCCTGGCTGTTCTGCATTTCTAGATTTCTGTGTATCGTCTTGCGTTTTAGTTCGTGTGGTCGTTTTGAAATGGCTGGAGTGCTATTCGAAGATATTTTTGATGTGAAAGATGTTGACCCCGAGGGAAAAAAATTTGATCGTGTTTCTCGACTTCACTGTGACAGTGAATCTTTCAAAATGGACTTGATTTTGGATGTAAACACACAGGTGGGTCTTAATTTACAGTAAGCAATGCCTGGATGCAGGACTGGGGCTGAAATAACTAAAATCGGCTTGTGTCTGTAGCAGTCTAGTCATAGCAGCTCTTTTAAACAGCATTTGTAGCTAATTTGCTTTTTCGCTATGAAATTATTAAATACATTAATCGGGTCTGGTATAGTTTAGTACCACATGCACTTCTAGTTGGCCTGGCTTAACAACTTTGCATATGTCGATCCTAACCCCCACCTGACTACGTCACAGTGGCGTAATAAGGCCCACTAAAGTATGCGGATGGTCGTCCAAAACGCGCAGACAATCACCCGAAATCGAGCAAGCTATTTCTCTCAAGCTAGATAGGAGAGAGATCGTACTTTAGCGAGTTCGTCATCGGCGGCGCAGATGCCATTTCGGGCGATCATAATTATAATTTGACAAGCCCTATGATGTGATGGTGACGTCGTAGTGACATAATGTTTGGATGGCATAGTCAGGCGGTGGTTGAGAATAACATATGCAAAATTCGTTATGCTACGCCCACTGGAAGTACTTGTGGTACTAAACTATACTAGACCCCATTAATCCATATGGCAACTCATATTTTTCAACTTATGATACTTCAAGGCGAGAGGCCAAAAACATTTGGGCGAGTTCGAGTCGTTAATTTTCAGAGTGCTCGAGTAAATTATTGACTCGTTTATTTCCAACACTCGACTTGGAAAAATTTCGAACTACACAAAAATGCATGTCTGTAATCTCAGAATCTTCACAAGATTTAAATGTTCAGGTTTATCCAATGGAACTTGGAGATAAGTTTCGACTTGTTCTTGCAACAACTTTACATGAAGATGGGGCACCAGATGATGGAGAATTCAACCCATTGTGGGATCAGCAACCCACCCGTGCAGATCAGTTTGAATATGTCATGTATGGAAAGGTAAACTTTCTTAATTATTTTTCAGGTTCTTATGCGGGTAAATGATACTTATATTGTTGTGTAGTACTGTTAACAATGATGATTAGTGGATCATTTGTTTTTGTTGTGACATCTGTAGAACATCATTCTATTGGAAAAATATGAATCACCATGCAAGCACTGCTGGTGGTTGGATATTCAATTAGCGTTTGTACACGTACACATATAATAGTATTTTAGCTATAGACGCCGTAAACTCAACCATCACTTTGTGTTTCACAAAATTACCTACCAATCCTTTGTGTTTGTAGAATGCAAGGGTGCTGTAGCAAAATTAAAAGATGACTATTCTATTTGATTCAAGAGTTTTGCTGCACACTACACATATATTAGTGTTAGTGTGCAGCAAGACTCTTCGAATCAGACAGCTGTGTTTAGTTGGGAATTTATGCTGCTTACTGATTAAATTGATTTAGTAAATTCAACGATATTTCATCCTTTAAAATAATGTTATGAAGATTAGTTTCTAATCAAACATGGTATTATTCATATGTGTTTTCAATTCTTTAATCTATATTAAATCCCAACAAATTTTTAGGCATACAGGATAGAAGGGGATGACACTGGCAGCGAAGTTGCATCCAGACTTTCAGCTTATGTGTCATTTGGCGGTCTTCTTATGAGACTGCAAGGAGATGCAAACAATTTACACGGCATGACCGTTGATCAGAATGTTTATTTATTAATAAAGAAATTGGCATTCTGATCAAGACTGGAGCGAGCCATTTTGAAAGACTGTCAATTCAAGGACAAAGAACTATCATCTTGACTGGCGATACCTAGTTACAACATTCAGGACTGATGCAGCTGCTTTGTTTTCTCAAGATGTAACATCAAGAACAAATCAATCAGTTTTGTGTAAAGGTTACTGAACGGCAGCTCCCCTATTTCCAAGTGAAGAAAAAAACTTGCGACGGTTCAACTATCTCAATTTTATTCTGAAGCAAAGTAGGAAATAATATTTAACATCTGGCTTTGGGTATTGCGTTTGCACAGCAGCACATACATAATACTATAGGCAGTAATCGCAGCTTGGTCTCATCCTGAAACTTTCTTGGCCTCCTAATGTTTCTAGCCAATGAGCAATTCGTCAACAGTAAAAAATCAGCATGCTTTCTTCTCTCTGCCATCAGCCACATAGACATCCTTATGAATTGTGCGATTAGCTCTGTTACTCAAATAGGAATTCCAGAACAATGCGACTATTTGGCAGAAGAGCATTCTGAACAAATAATTAATATATCATTATTCATTATGCTCAATTCCCTTATTTTGCTACAAATTTTATATGCTTAATTTACTGGAGCGGCTATGAACTGTCGCACAGCCGCTCCAGTAAATTAACTCTGCCAGAAATCTTAATCGCTGCAGCTTTCAAAAAATATTCATTACTGAGTACTGACTAAACCCACCTGTATTGAAAAGGCACGATTCCAAAATTGATCGTTTGTGATGGAATCCAAACCTAAATTTAAGTAAAAAAAGTTGCAGAATAAAGAATTATTTGTTGAGTTTTTGGATCTCTGAAGGCTAAAATTTCACAATAATATCTGTCATATCTGAGTTAAGTGTTCAAATTCCCTGATAAGTGATTGCCATGGTTTTTTATCGAGACTCTTGGTTGGTTGTATTATTTAGCAGTTTTCCTGTTGTCTACGTATTAGGATGTTGTAAGATCCTAAGATAATATTTCTAGGTAAAACCTACCATCCAGTTCATTTTGATAATTCCTGGAACTTCATTTTTAATTCTACTGATTGCAGTCGACAAAGATTTCCCATTAAGTAAAGTTTGAACAGTGAAGAAGCCGCAGAGCAGTGGTGGTGTTATGACAAACTGGATAAACAAAAATATAAATACAGTATAATGGAGTTGCGCAAAATACTACAAAGAAGCGCAATCTAATAACGTCATCATTGAATTACTTGGGGAAAATAATCCGATTTACCATGGCATTCAAAGAGTTTTTAGCAAAAAACTTTGCAAGCAATTTTGGCCACGTGACGGCCGCCATTAATTTAGATTATTATTGAGACAAGCGTGGCGCGATATGATGCATCTGACGTGGTGCCAGACGCCCCTCGTTTGTGAGACACAGAGTGTTTGTTTTATTGAACCAAATGGAGAAAAATTCTTAGAATTTGAATAGTATGTCGTACTGGTATCAGCAAGAGGATGTAGCCACGAAAAGAATTTCTAGGTCACAATGACATCAAGCCAAAGTTATATAATACAATGATGCTAAAAACAAAAACCAGTGTTCACAACCATGATCTGAAAATGGATTTAAGTAAAAAATATAACCACCTGATCTAGTGCCACAGAAAAAATGACGGGAAGAGCCATCTTGTTTACTGCAGTGAACCAAGCGGCTACCAAAGGACCCTAAAAATAAATTCAATGAAATATTTAATTCAATATTCCATCCATGTCTATATATTCAAACGTAAAATATATTACAAAATAAAAGAATCCGCATGTCGACATAACAGCAGTTCGGCGGAAATCATACTTCTTCTTTTTTTCTATAGTAGTTTGTGCAAGTATATCACCAACTGTTACCAAAGTTCCTAAGTAAAAAAATATTTATTTCAGCAAGCACTTAGAAGCCTAACTATACAAATTCAGTATTGATTGGTGAACTGGTCAGTAATGCACTATTGCTTGTGGGAGTAATAGCCTAACAGTTTAATATAGGCGTGTTGCATATTTGAAGTAATTAAAGACACTAAAGAAAATGTAAACTTGGGTAGTATGCATTACAGAATTTGGCTACTCCATTACCAGAATCTCTTTCTTGCAAAACAGGGCACAAAGTTATCATTTGAACTGTCTACAGACTGTGGTGCTGTACCAACAACAAAATTCAAATGCTTTAATATGCTATCTGTAGAACATATTACAAATACATGTATAATAAGTAATGATATTGAGTATTGTCATTTTACGAAATAAGAATAATGTGCTTTAAAATTATAACAGCCTACCAGCAGTTACAATTTGAGTCAGCAAGGGTCGTTTGTCCACCAGTTCACTATATGCAGCAAATAATCGAAGAATGAGACGCTTCATATTTACGCCTTGAAGTCGTAATTAACTAATTCTGTGCGGTACCGGTACGGTACGTTATCTATTTTGCTCTATATTGAAAAATAATAGTAAACTGTTAATCAAATGCATGTAATTTTTATTTCTAAGTTGTAATGCATCGACACATGCAACTCGGATGATATCGCATCCAGCCATCATAATCACATTGCAGCAAGCCAGCAACCAATCCATCCAAATCGGCTGACACGTGGCCGACGTACAGTATAGTATTTGATATTGATAAGGACTGAAGGATGTTTCCCCGGGGGATTTACTTTCCTGTTTAATCATTTTTTGGACACGTAGTGGACATAACGATCGTTTCAATATTATGTTCTTGTTCTTTGACACGTTTTTAAAAAGTCGCTTTTCTCTTCGAATACTGGACCAATTGCTTTGAAATTTTCAGTGGTTAAAGATTAATTTTTTCGCTAGAAGGCTATTACTTTTGTTTATTCTTAAATTTTATATGAATCCTATGAGATATGATATTTCATACAAAATTTCGCGGTATTTATTTTTACTCATGGGAACACTGTTTTACACTTATTTCAAGCGGTTTCGCGATCGATTGTCTTGCTCAGTACTACAGCTACTGTAGGTCGGTACTGGTAAGTTGCCATACAGGTACCGTAACGCAGTGAAATTGACTTATTCCTTCCGCGGTATTACTAATGCTGCAATGCAAGTTTTATAGCCTATCGTATGCGGAACGGAATATCAGACCTACAGGTTTGGTACCGGTACTGGTAGCTCAGTACGTAAGTACGATACTGGTACTGGTGCCGGTACCGGTGTCTTACCACAATGAAATTACCGTAACTTATTCTTTCACGGTCCTACCAGTGCAGTAATGCAAGCGTTGTAGCACTTGTAGCCTACTATATTTGTTTATTTTGATGCGAGTCTACTGGAAACAACATAAAATTTGAAAGGGAAGAATTGTTCTGTGATCAAATATCTGTCCTAAAGTGTAAACAACATAAAATTTGCAAGGGAACAACTGTTCTGTGATCAATTACGGTACCGTATATGGCCTACAGTGTACAGGTAAGATGCTGGCTGACTGCTAACCGGTACTGGTAGCTCAGTACGTAAGTACGATACTGGTACTGGTGCCGGTACCGGTGTCTTACCACAATGAAATTACCGTAACTTATTCTTTCACGGTCCTACCAGTGCAGTAATGCAAGCGTTGTAGCACTTGTAGCCTACTATATTTGTTTATTTTGATGAGAGTCTACTGGAAACAACATAAAATTTGAAAGGGAAGAATTGTTCTGTGATCAATTATCTGTCCTAAAGTGTAAACAACATAAAATTTGCAAGGGAACAACTGTTCTGTGATCAATTACCGTATATGGCCTACAGTGTACAGGTAAGATGCTGCCTGACTGCTAACTCAGTACCGCTTGACACGTTTTTAAAAAGTCGCTTTTCTCTTCGAATACTGGACCAATTGCTTTGAAATTTTTAGTGGTTAAAGATAAAAATTTTCTCCAGAAGGCTATTACTTTTTTTTTCGCTATGACGTCATCAAAATTATGTGACTCTACGTGTCCATATATTTGAGCATAGCTCTCTTGTTTGAGTAATGATGCTTACTCGGAAAGCAGTTGTCAGATTTTTGATTTCTGCGTCAATAAAGATGACATACATCAGGCCGGCTAAAAACCTTTGTGTGTCGCGGGCCACTTTCGTATGACGAAATTTATCGCGCGCCGCAAACGTTTTTACCAAACCAATCACGGGGTCTAATGTAGTTTCGTACCTGAAGTAGCCTACTTCCAGTGAGCCTAGCATAAAAATTTTGCATATGTCAATCCCAACCCCCACCTGACTGCGACATTTAAAAATTACGTTACTACGACGCCACAGCGAAGTAAGGGCCTTCAAACTATACGCACTGCCATCCAAGAAGCGCAGAAAATCATCCGATATCGTATGTTAGTCGTTGTCCGAACTCGTTGTCCGAACTTGAGTTCGTTTTTCTTGCACCCAAAAATCGGTCCGGTTTTAACGATGTAGTCGCTAAGGCATGCATTGCTGCGGAAAAGACGACGATTAGTGATGGAGGATCTTATCTTGCCCTTTACGTTCTTCATACAAGAAAATATCAGGTCGCAAACATAACATAAGTGCTGCCAAATAGGAAAATGATTCGTGTTGCATTTATTTTCAACTTCGGAAACTTTTCAGAAGCCACATATTCGCGATAGAATCGATAGAATTCATCTATTGAAATTTCATTGAACTTTTTCTGGATAAATTCATCGCATTAGTTACATCTTAAATGTTGTATAACAAAATTAATATTTCGCCATAAAAGCGCTCACTGAACGTGTTTTGCAATTCAGAAATGCCCTTTACTTGTCAAGCTGGTGCTCGAATAGTCTCAGTTTAGCTTGCAATGCATTCACATGACTGAAAAGAGCGTTGATCAGTTGTTCTATTTGTTGTAGTTTAAAGTTAACAATGGCTAGATGAGAAGATATATCAATGAAAAATGAAAAATCTGCCATAAATTGCGGATTGTCAAATTCCAAAATCGGATTATTTTTTAAATTCGTGAATTCTTGGATTGGATCTTTTAAATTGGCAATTATTTATAGTACACTTGCACGACTCAACCAGCGTAGATTGCAGTAGTAACTCACCTCGCCATGATCTGCTTCCCATTCGGATGTTAAAAAGTTTTGAAACTGACGGTGGTTCAAACCCAATAAATTATTGTCCCAATAAATTTGACCACATTAATTATCACCTTCATAGCAGCATCAAATCTCAACGTTTTTGCACATTAATTTTCTTGGTGTATAATGCAATGATAATAATCCATTATACCAGGGCTTCCCAAACTAGGGGCCGCGGCCCTGAAAAGGGCCGCGAAACGAATTCTAGGGGCCGGGAAGAGAACACCAATTTTACACAAAGTACGATATCTATTGCACTTTTTCACTCTTGATTTGAAATACAATTATTAAAAGTTGTGTAAAACCCGTTTGGATGGTACCCGTTTGGATGAACAATGAGACCGACTATGATGCTGTCCTACCCACAGGATCTTTAATTGGCATAGCTCAACCATACTTTGTCCGTGAAACAATGGTGGCGCCAGTCTCTGAAACGGCGGAAGAATTCAATGAATTACCTGACCATCTTCAGGACTTGATTACATCGACGGAAGGACTTTCGGCTGATCAGTACCGACAATTGTTTTTTTGTTAAGAGAGTTTAAGGACATATTTGTCGGCCCCGATGGAGAACTCGGGCGTACATCGGTTGCTCGCCATTACATAGCAACTACAACACCGCAGCCTATTCGGCAGGCTCCGCGACGTTTGGGCTGGGCAAGGAGACAAATAGCAGAGGATGCTGTTGACAAGATGCTGGATCAAGGGGTTATTGAGCTGAGTGACAGTCCATACTCGTCACCCATTGTTCTGATACCAAAAAAAGACGGCACTACTCGTTTTTGTATCGATTTCAGATTACTTAATTCAATCACGTACAAGGACGCTTACCCTTTACCTCGTATCGATGACATCGTGGAGTCCCTTAGCGGGTCAAGTTGGTTCTCGACGCTTGACTTGGCTAGCGGCTACTGGCAGGTGGAAGTTGATCCGTCGGAAAGAGCGAAAACTGCTTTCAGTCTTCCGGGAAAAGGACACTATCAATTTGTAGTCATGCCCTTTGGTCTATCCAATGCACCTGCAACCTTCGAGCGGATGATGGATCGAGTGTTGGGTGGAATTATCGGGAAAGGATGTTCTAATTATTTGGATGATGTTTTAGCCCACGGATCCGATTTTGACACTTCATTGAGCAGTTTGCGGGAGGTTTTCCTTCGCCTTCAGGGTGCTGGTTTGAAACTCAAGCCGACTAAATGCCAGTTGTTTCGTAGATCAGTTACCTACCTGGGGTACGAAATTTCTGCTGAAGGGGTTCGCTGTGATTCTCACAATGTAGCAGCTATAGTCGAGTGGGAAACACCTCAGGGGGTATCAGATGTTAGAAGTTTCTTGGGAACTGCCAACTATTATAGACGTTTTGTACCAGGTTATGCCACTATAGCGTCGCCTTTAGTCCGCTTGACTCGAAAGAATGTGAAGTTTGAGTGGAGTGGTGACTGTCAGGAAGCATTTGAAATCATTAAGCGTCTTTTGACATCTGCTCCTATCCTGGCTTTTCCATTGGTTCAGGGAGAGTTTATTTTGGACACCGACGCAAGTGGCTCTGGTACTGGTGCTGTGTTATCACAATTGCAAGATGGGGAAGAACATGTTATTGCTTATTTTAGCAGAACTCTATCCAAGACGGAACGCCGATACTGTACCACTGAAAGGGAGTTGTTGGCAGTGATTCAATCCGTACGACATTTTCGCCATTATTTGTGGGGAAGGCACTTTTTGATTCGCACTGATCATGGTGCCTTGAAGTGGCTTTTAAATTTCCGAGAACCCGAAGGGAAGGTGGCTCGCTGGATCTCTACACTGTTCACGTATGATTTCAGCATTGAACATCGAGCAGGGACTAAACATGGTAATGCCGATGGTCTATCTCGTCAAACCAGACGCTGTAAGCGCCCGGACTGCCCAGATTGTGTGTCTACTTCACAGGAACCTGATATCAATGTTCGTGTAGTAGCACCTCTGTATAATGCTGACTTGCCTGGGATACCAACAAGCTGTAACTGGATGGACACATACACGGAGGAAAGGATTCGAACTTGCCAAGCCGAGGACCCTCATCTTTCTGCAGTTATTGCCTGGAAGCGCCGTTCATATCATAAACCCCAGCCACAGGATTATATGCATGAATCTCTAGAGACCAAGCGTTATCTAGCTCAATGGCATTTGCTTTATTTGACTGGTGAAATTTTGTATCGCAAGTGGATACCCGAAACATTGACTAGTGCTCCCGCCTATCAATTTTACATTCCTGGGGCATTGAGAAGAGAAATCTTCCAGCATTTACACAGTGCCCGTAACTCCGGACATTTAGGCTCTATTAAAACATTCAAGAGTGTTCGTGCTCGTTTTTACTGGCCTGGTTTTAAAAGAGATATTTTGCTCTGGTGCCGGTTTTGCAAACCTTGCGCTGCGGCTAAGATGACTCACGGGCGCAAACAGGGGGATCTACGACAACTGCTCTGCGGATCTCCCATGGAACGGGTCGCCATGGATTTCTTGGGACCACTACCACGTACCAAGAATGGAAATGAACATCTTCTGGTGCTATCAGATTATTTCACCAAGTGGGTGGAGTGTTATCCACTTCCCAATCAGACTGCAGAGGTAACAGCCGATGTGCTGGTCACCCAGTTCTTCGCAAGATTTGGAGTTCCTCGGATTATTCACACTGATCAGGGTCGAGATTTTGAATCTCGGTTGTTCACCGAGATGTGCGACTTGTACGGTATAGTCAAGACGCATACGACACCTTATCACCCTCGATCCGATGGACAAGTGGAGAGGTTTAATCGAACGATTCAGCAAATGCTCAAGCCTTATGTGAACGATCATCGAGACGATTGGGATGACCATGTTCCCTATCTGTGCATGGCTTACAGAGCTACAGTGCATGAAAGTACGCAGTTTACACCCAATCGTCTTATGCTTGGCCGAGAGATTGACCTCCCTATCGATGTCATGTATGGACGTCCGACTCAAACTCCTCTACATTCTTGTTATACCGAATATGTGGAATGGTTTAAAGATGTCACTGAGGAATCTTTTGTATGGGCCAGAAATCAGTTGAATCAAGCTGCCTTGCGACAGAAGAGAAATTTTGATGTTCATGTGCAACCACAGAAGTTTGAAGAGGGAGACCTTGTATGGTACTATTACCCACCCAAGAAGAAGAAGCTGAGTTCTCCATGGCAGGGTCCTTTCACAGTTAGGAGATGTCTCTCAAATCACACTTATGAGATACAACGGAATCCAGGCGACAAGACGCGTGTGGTTCATGTGGATAATTTGCGACCTTTTATTCATGAAGAGACCCAGGAACCAAGTGCTTACCTAGATGATAGCCCGGCGGATTCGGGGGAACACACACCAGAAGCGCCGGATTCGGGGGGACAGACATCGGAAGAGGCGAATTCTGCGGAACACACACCAGGAGGGGCGGATCTTCAGCCTTGTGAGGAAATAATACCTTGGTACGAGTTGCCCAATCCAGAAGGACAAACTTTAAGGATGTTTAAGCGTGAGCGTAGACAACCTGCATATTTTAAAGACTTTGTGTAAATATTTTGTGTTGACTACTGCTTCTTTCGTTGTTTAATTTTTCTAATGAAGATGAAAACATTCTGTCATAATGTTCCATCTAGAAAAGGGGGGTAATGTGACGACCCTTGTTTTATCTTTTAAATGTTGTCATGTGATAATATTGCTATATTTTGTATTTTAACACTGAGGGCGCTTTGACACTGTCGATTTGTTTTTTTGGTATCCTGTTAGCCTATGCTGTGGTTTGCAGCAGTGCAGTTGTGATTGTTTCAGTTAGATTTTGAGTGTTTAAGAGTATTTTATATCTGCAAAAGTGCCTCTAAGTCTCAAGTAGGTTATCAAAGATGTTTACTCTTGGTTTTATGACTATTAGATTGGGATTGTTAGATATTTTGATGCTAGACAGTAGGATGATATTATGGTTTTAGTACCGGTACAGTGCAATTACAGTTGTTTTGGCGTTGTATTTTTAGTTTATTCATGAAATTGGCTATCAACAGTGCTGTTCAAATCTTGTGCACCTGTGGAATTGTTTGTGGTTTTTTGTGCCCGTCATGGGTTATTCTCAGCCTATTTTGCAAATTGTAAGTAGCTGGTTTAGTGTACCGTATTATAGGGATTATTCTGGCTGCTATTGGAAGTTGTCTTTGATTTCAGGGTCCGTGTCTAATTTTTATTGTTTTCTCATATTGTACTGCCTGGTATTTGTTATTTTTATTGTATGCTTTTCGTTTCATTGATTTCATTGGAGTATTTGGTTGTATTAAGATTGTAATTAATAAATAGAACAAAATAGTATAAATTGAAGTGAATATTGGGAGGAAACTTGACGTCAGATCATATTGGAAGATATTCTGAACTTGGATAATTATTACATAGACTGCCGGTACGCTACAGTAGAAAAGCCTGCTTCATATAAATATGAAATCCCCATGGAGATGGGGTGCGCAACGCTTTTTGAACCAAGGAAAAATAATCGTTATCTACAGAAAACCGAATTTTCAGAATTAAACTTATTTATTATAACACCATCACAAAATTTTGCGACGCCCTAGCAGAATTGAAACTTCCACGGGATTAGGTGAACAAATTGCGCTATCGACGAAGTCTTTTTTCAAGGCGAGCGGTTGAATTAAAATCATTTTTCAAATATAGGCTTAGACTCATTTTGGGGGAAACACGGTAAAATCATCGCGCTTGCATAACAATGCATATTCTGATCGTTTTACCCGATTTGCTTGCTTGCATGACAATGCCGGCTTTAAACGCTAAGCTAGCGTTTCCGGAAAGCGATTTGCTCCGTGTGCCTCAAAACATATTACATATTATATTTATTCCAAATGTTTTATTGTTTCTCATTAAAGCAAATGATGTGTATATGAATCAAATTAATTTTACCGTTCTATATTATTTACTTTCTGTTACGTAACAGGTAAACCCTAATGCTGCAATTTCGTTGGCCGCAGTTTATTCATTTGCTGAACCGAGTTTATCGAACATGAGTGAGTTTTAAGAATTTTAAAGAAAAGGTAAGCAGAGTTAGGCCTACATGTTTTCAAAAGGCACAAAGTACATATTAACGATGACAAACTTGTGTTTTATTTTGCGGCAGCATATTTTTTTCAGTGGAGGTGCGCCATTAGTTTTTTCCTTGATGATTTGGTGACGCTGAAAACCGCTGCTTTAGGATATTAGGACCAGGTCGTCGGTGGGCAGACATCGTAATTTATCATTAGGCCTGCATAAACAAACATTGCGCCACGGCTGAACTTGCTATGCAGCAAGAAGCATTCGCACCCATTACATTGAATAATGAGTACCTACAGGTGTTTTTGTTATTGAGTAGCCCTATTAAAAGTTGAGAATTAGTTGTGTCAATAAAATATCGAAAATGCATATTTTGAACTGTTTAGCATTATTCGCGTGAACAAGGGCCGCGAAAAATTTTAATATAGTAAAAGGGGCCGCGAGCTCAAAAGTTTGGGAAGCCCTGCATTATACTGTATATGTCTTTATCAATTCCGTCCGGATGTTTTTTTTAGAAGGGCGACCAAACCAGTGTATTTCCCGATCATGGACGGCGCTCTGTCTGTATTCACGCCCGCAAATTTTTCTAAACGAAAATCGTATGACTCAATCTCGTTCTTTAGTGCTTTGAACATATCTTCGCCTCTCGTGCGGTCTTTTAATGAAGCTGTGCTCAGAAGTTCTTCAAATACATAGAAATTGCTATTAAGGCGGGTGCATTGCGCTGCATGTGTAATGCAGCCTTTTATGGAATCTTTATCGCTGTATGACTTCATATTTTTAGCAGTGTCTCGAACAATAAGATAACTTGCTTCGAAGTCATCTACCCCTCACATGTTTTATGATAGCGGTTTGCCTACGTACCGACTTACTAATATTTGATTTGATGAGAGCACATTTGAACACACGTACAATTGCACCCGTAAACTGCACCTAGGACATTCGCACCTTCATACTTTTGCACCACCGACATTTGCACCCAAACATTTCCATCCATAGATTTTAGCACCCACATATGGATTGCACCCGCGAACATTTGAACCCATGTGCATTTGCACCCACGAACATTTCCACCCAGGTACATTTGCATCCATGAACTTTTGCACCCACGAACATTTGCACACTGGATATTTGCAACCGCGGACATTTGCACCCGCGTATATTTGCACCCACGTACATTTGCAGCCATGTACATTTGCACCTATGTTCATTTGCATCCACGAACTCTTGTACCCATGGCATTCTCAGGCATATGCATGCGCCTCATAACAGTCATGTTCGCGATTAGACAAATTTTAATTGCCAAATATAAATATATTCGAAAAGAAGACGGATTACAAATTTTAAGTAGCCCTTATTCTTAGTGAGGGTATAATCCTTTCCCATTGTTCATGGGTGCAAAAGTATGCAGGTGCGATTGTACGTGGGTTCAAAGATAATGACAAACCGTTTAATTTTATCTTCACGTTGCCGTCTTGCGATGTTGTTATACTTAGCCGCATGTAATGAAGCTCTTATAACGACGTTCGAGATTACATTCTCCAACGACAGATATATTTTTACTATTCCTTTAGTTTCTTACTTTTGAAGAGTAGACTCAGTCTCATTAACCCAAAATGCGATTCACGATTGCTAGCAGCCAAAAGTATCTATTTTGATGCTTTTCTCACACAAAAGGGTCGCCACTAGTGCAAAATTGTTGACTGAGTATAATAAGTATAAGTATATTTTGATTTTCCCGCAAAAGAATCATACACAAAACACAAGCAATGAACACACAGAAGATTGGGAAAACTGACAAAACCTTTATAAAGGTTTAATACATGCGCCAGTTTACCCACGTTCAACACACAAACATATATTCAAAATAAAAAAGACAAAGGCCAGAACGGGTTTCAGAGTGTATTGATTAAAAAAAGACCTGATATTTGCCACGATTTTTAGGATTGTGGTCTTGCATGTCAAAGCATATTTAATTGAAAATTTTGTAATAAGCCTTAAAAAGCCCCAATGCTGGAAACCAACTGCATGAAAGATTAATGAAAACATAATATAAATCAGCAATTCAGACAAATTAATCTCGAGAAAATCATGGTAAATTAAACACCTGTGACATAACATAAATCAGTAATTCAGACAAATTAATCTCTATAGAACCATGGTAAATCAAACACCTCAATAGATGGGATAAACGTAGGACGGGTTGCAGAAAGCAACACTTTATCCTAAACATATTTATTTTGAATAGTCAGCCATCAGTTTACTTATTTTGTTAAGATTCTAAAAAATCATGACCTATTCAGTTCTGTGATTAGCCCCCTTCCAACGAAGGGGCGGGAACATATGCATTATAGTTTCATACAAAAGTGTGAACATTATATACTGCAAACAGAAGCATTCGGGTGAAAAAAGTCTCTGAAGCCAGAGTCACAGGTCATCTCAGAGCCTTGATTCAAATCCCAGAGTTGCAGAAATTTCAAAAATGTGGTCAGAGTCATAGTGGATTTCAAAACAAAACTGGAATGGATAAATATGAGTAATATTGACACTAAGATTTGTAACTTCCATTAAACCAACTTAATCATGTATTGACAACTTTTATATCGGTGCCAACAATAACTATTCGAGTTTGGTACTTTAATAAGATATTTCCAGTGTAACATCTACAACACAGCAAATAGTGCTTCATCAAAATTTTTTTTTTGAATCTCTAGTCAAGCCCTTCTGGCCAACTCTTTGAGACAAGTCAATTATTTTAGATGACTCGTGTCATGGAAAAGATTGGTAGAGTCTACACAACACTGGTTTGTATGGCCATCACATTAATTTATGGCAATTTACCAATGTATATTACAACGAAAGCAAAAAATAATAATTGGATAGTTAAATGATAAAATAACGCTTCCTTATGAAATTTAAATCATAAAATGATTTGTTGAAGAATAAACTTAGGTATGTTACATAAACAAGTTATCAGACGCTACATAAAAAAGTTATCAGACAACTTAAAGATCTGCGAGGCAGTATTGCACTTAGTTGCTTACAATAACAATTGAAGAAAATCTACACTGCAATGTTTAAAAGATAAAAATCACAATCCCACCAAAATTACATAGAAATGTCTGGTACCATACCAGAATACTCCAAATACACTTGCAATATTAGTTCTATATAGCATATTACACTAAGCAATGACACTGGCACTATAGAAGTGTTAGACTGAGGTTTAATACTGCTTCATAGGAATATCTGCTTCTGCCATGATCACAATTCTATTATTCCGAATATTTTTTCCCCTTTTAATACATTTGAGTCAGGAGCAATGTACTTGTTAATCCTCCATCCACATTATAACAATATCCACCCCCTTCAACCTTGTCTCACCTACATGACGCTCTCCATAGGTTGAATTCGTGTTTTGTTGTTAGTCCTATATGACAAGTAACAATTCCAAAAAAGTGCAATACTTTGTGAATACAACATCCTGCGAATAGGACACAAAATTGGTAAGTTGAAAAATGAAAATAAGTCATGTAATAAAAATAGTAAATGAAATCTTACCTGTATTGGAAAGGAACAAATTGAAAATTCACTATTTGAGCTGGGATCCATATCTTAAAAATATAACACTTTATTTACACAAAACAAAAACAATTCATGAGCTATGGATATTGTATATTTACCAGCCAATTAATCTTCAAAACATCAGGTAAATCATATCTGATACGATGTTTCATAGCCTTCGTTCCTTGACCAAATAATATGGTTTGCAAAACAAGGAATCCGAAAAGGAGGGGTGGAGACATAATGAACTAAAATAAGATAAAACAGTTTAATTTATGAACTCAAATATCATATGTATAATAATATAAAGTGTATACCTGATCCAAAAAGACATTGACTCCTGTTGAATATCCACGCATACTCAGAAACACATACCACATTGAAACTAAAGGACCCTGAAGAAATTTTAATTAAACCAATAAAGAAATAGCATAAATATCTGTGACTTATATTAAATATATAATATGACTAATTATGAATATTCTCATGATTCAGTTCAATTTGCAAACTAAGATGTGCACCATTTAAAAATTGAAATTTGACATATAATGAAGTTAATCGACTTTGAATAATACATAACAATAATCTTACAAGATACATTAAAGCACATGCTGCCATGATGGTTGTTCGTCGAAGGTCACAACCTTTTTTTTGCTCAACTAGTTTTTGTGAGATGACATCAGCAAATGTTGTGAGGATACCTTATATATGATAAGTAAAGCAGCTTTAAAAATACAACTTTCATGCCTGCATGCTGAGTGCAATTCCATCACTGGCACAACTGAAGTTATGAGAAGAAACAAGGTGTTTAAAAAGATCAACAATGAATATTCAATAACAAAAGAAAAAATATCAGTAGATCAAATGAGTAATATGCAATAATGAAAATATGACATCTCAATTCATTCAGACAATACACAGATACAGCGGTGCAATACTATGCAGATATGGATCATGCACATCTGAAAACAAGTTGAAATGTATGGCTGGATGGGAACTTTTTATTCATAAACCAATACCGGTAAATTGCACTGTCTATTCTATTTTCAGCATTATTTCAATATAACTGTATAAAGACTGAAAAAAGGAAACGTTTACCTGCTGTGCCTGTTTGAGTTAGTAAAGGTCGTTGTTCCACAAGTTCTCCATAGGCTTTTAATAACACGTCGACGGTGAGTGTATTCATATTTCCCAACTTACCGTACTGCAAAACTACACACGCTGAGGCAGCGTTGTTTGGACGATACCCGTAACCAAAGTCGCTTTGCCCGTAACCTCTTGACGAACACTGACTGAACACGAAGTGAAATATGAGAAACTTTACTTCCGCATCGTGTATTCACGAATATTTTTTTTTTATATTTATGTTATTAATACTTTAATAAATTTTGAATGTCTTTTAAAAATATATATACATATAAAACTATTGTTAATAACTGGTTTTGCAAAATTTTCGTTACGGTTCACCGGGAGCAAAACTGCTGAGCAATACAAGATTTCATGAATCATCATTCATGCGACGAGTTCCAGATCAGCGGTAGCTACCATATTGCTTAGTTTTCGTTTATTGATTTGTGCTGCTAGATTAGTTCTGTTAATCCAGTAATTGTTTGAATTTGCTAAAGATGGTAAGTTGTTAAGTTTAGTTAAAGATTTATTTATGTAGTAACAACACGAGTGCCATTTTGATAGCAATACATCCAGACATCTGTAAATGCAGTTGGAGACTATGCTCTATTTATGTGTCAAATCTTTTCCAAATAATTGAATTGACTGAATCATTTTAACCAAAATATTTGATTAATTATGTACCAGTGATAAAGATATTTTTGAGGGAGTCTTCATAATATCGATGAAAATTTTCATGAAATAAGTTACGGACTTTGTAGTTTGATATTGATGTTGTATTGAAAATGAATAAAAAATTGCCTTGTACAGCAATAAGCCATTTTGATGCCAGTCGCACATGCATTTTAAGCTGACATGTTCTCGTACAGCCGTATGAGCATCAGGTTTCCAAATTCATCATTACATTGTAGACTACAGTTGTATCTTGTATGTATACCTGCTTATCGTCCAGTCTGGATTTCATGGCCTTTTCGAACGAGAAATCGGGCGTGCAATCAGAAATTCCCGCGTGCAAATAAGAATTTCTGGCGTGCAATTATAGCTCACGGCGTGCAAAACAACTGCGCCCGCTAAACTGATTTCGAACCAAGATACCTCTCAATACATCCGCGTAAAAATAAGTTGGATCATAGCAAAAATGGACGTTTGACCTTTGACCCCCAAAACATCATTTCTATATTTTGTCACTAATTTTGAGAGTGTTTGTGCGACTTTAGATACCGGTACTGTTCAGTAGATCCGTGTAAAATTATTGTATTAAAAATACGCTGAATCAGAGCCATAACTGGCCAGCGTCGGTGAGGAGGCGATTTTTCTCACGGGATTCCTATCATTCAACACGATATGGTGATTTTTGCTTCGCATTTTTCGATCAGGCCAAATCTTGCAAGCAAGTATTAATCGACAATTGTAAAGTTATAATTTTTTGGCATCTTTATATTACTAGATTATTGATTTAAAAACTATTTAAACCGATTTACATTGGTGAGCAATTGCAAATTTTCGGCATGCAAAATTGAATTCGCTCGCGTGCATTTTTGTGGAGCGCTAGCGCCCTCGGGCGTGCATCTGCCATGGAATCCAGTCTGGCTTATCGTTGATAACATATTATACCTATATTATTATTTTGTTTCATAAACACTGCAAACTCGCAATGCAAAATCTTTTTGTTTTAGTTTCGAAATCAATATGACAATGATGTGACAGTTTGGAGCCCACAGGGACGTATACATCAGATTGAGTATGCAATGGAAGCTGTGAAACAGGGATCTGCTACGGTGGGATTGAAGTCAAAAACACATGCAGTAATTGTTGCACTAAAGGTAATGGGATTCAAGTGAAAGAATATGAAATTGAAATAAACCGATCACCGGTAGTATTCTTCAGGAGATAGGATAATAGATAAAGTTCACAGATTTTAGTATGATTGATATCAACTACCCCATAAGGTTAACTATCTTCCACAGGATTTGAACCTGCTTGGAGGATAGAAGTCATGGCGAATATATTTGTAACGCTTAGCACATCTGAATCTAAAAAATTTTCATAAAACTATTGTGGATTATGATCATAGTTGAATTATACTGTTGAAAATATATTACAGGGAATATACTATTTTCATGGTCACTGTGACTGCCGAGTTGCTCTTTAACTTAAACAGCTATCCACTTTTTTCAGAGAGCTCAATCGGATTTGACTGCACATCAGAAAAAATTGATCCGTATCGCTCCACATGTTGTTATAGGAATTTCTGGTCTCACAGCAGATGGGAGATCTTTAGGAAACTTCATGAGAAGAGAATGCCTCCATTCTGAATTTGTTTTCGAGCGACCATTACCAGTTTCTAGACTGGTTTCTACTGTTGGTAACAGTATCCTTTTGCAAGATCAGGGAAAAAAAAAGATTTTTGCTTAGTTCAATTGGGAGTGAAAAGAGCTTGAATTACAATTATGATCTTGTTGTCACACTCACAATACAATCATATTAGAGCACTCATATTTTGCATTGCGTAGAAATGTCACATTCGGAACAAGATTGGCTAATGGCTATTATCATTTTTCACATTTATAAAAAAAAACTTATCAATATTCATTAATAACCCATCTAACATCTTTTCTCTAACTTTAACTAACGTCTAACTTTTTAACAAGCTGAAATTATTTAGTTCCGTTTAACTTTTGGGGAAAAGCTTTTCTGTAATCGAGTCATTAGTCAATCTGAAATATTTTGCTTGATATTTATGGCAGCTTATAATATAACATACTCATAGGCTTTAAGATTGTTGGCTGAGCTTCACGGTGTTGCGAAAATTAGCATTGTGTTGTAATATTCTATTTATCATGTACACTTCCTTAATTATCATTATTAAGAAACCCAAATACCTACTCAGCGATATGGAAGAAGACCAGTTGGGGTTGGAATATTAGTTGCTGGCTATGACGTAAGAAATTTATTTTGTCAATTATTATTGGTTTAGATAGACTGATGGTGAAATTATCCAAAACAAGACAAAAAAATAACCAATCCTAAATATGTTGAGCTGCAGTTATGACGTATTGCTTGAATTTTCATTTACAGGATAAAGGCCCTCACATATACCAAACTTGCCCTTCTGCAAATTTTTACAACTGTAAAGCAATGGCAATAGGATCAAGGTCACAAAGCGCAAGGACTTATTTAGAGAGAAATTGTGATAAATTTTCAGAAAGTGAGTATAGTATACTAGTTTCTTATCATTCACATCAAAATCAACTTTTTCAATGAATTCGTTATCTAAAGGCTCAGCAGAAGAATTGATTGCACATGGCCTGCGTGCACTTCGTGAAACATTGCCTTCAGAACAAGAATTAACAATCAATAACTGTTCCGTCGCCATTGTTGGTAAAGGACAAGAAGTAACAGTTTACGATGATGAAGGGGTTGAGCCATTTTTGAAAAATATAGAGGAAGCAAAAGAACCAGCAGCAGCAGCGGAATCAATGCAAGATGTGGCTGAGATTGGACAGGTTGGTTGATAAGTGTTATCTGAAGGTTTGAAGTGTTCAGAGACCACTACTATATATATATCTATCTAATTGGATTTTTCCCTTCACAGGGCGAACTCTCTGGAATGGTTCCGCCTGTAAGTGGTCGTCCAGACAGAGAAGATGAGCAGCCTATGGAAATGTGAAATCTTTTGCCAACCAAGAATATTTATCAGGACCTATAAAGTTCAAGGCACATTACAAACTTGCATGAATAACTATTTATTGTGTTTAACAACATCAATCCATGCCAACTGCTTAGTCAAGAGCTTATGCCTCACTTTTGTGCATAGTTTCAAAACTAAACTTGTTGGCATGAGCACACGATAGAGATATATAGGTTATGAGAAGATCTTATTGCACTGTACTACATTGTACGAAAACATACAACACGGATTCACATGATGTGCAGAAGCATAATTTCCAGTCTCTTGAATGTATATAAACAAACGATTTTGCAATAAAATTAAAAAATAAATAGGATTCAGTCTTGTTTATTTCCGTTCTTTGCCGACGAAGTCCAAAGTTATCTTGTAGTAAACATACGGGTAATATTCCTGTGTGCCCATAGTGAGACTATGAACTGTGTGGTCATCCTGAAAGAGTAATGTGCATTTGAAAGGGTTAAAAAACTTGAGATCGGCTCAGATTTGTGCAACATGAAAAACCAGTTGAATTTCACTTTCCACTCCTATAATTGGTTGTAAAATCAAAGGGACCAAATCTCTCAAATTATTATAGGATATTGGACGTATGCATGCACCTTGGTATACATACCTCTGTCACATTTGAAAGTCCTGTGCTGTCTAGGTCTCTGTACAAATCTTTTAAAGTCTCTCGTAATTTCTTTTGTTGCTTTTTCTGTGGCTGAAGAACTACCGCTTGAAAATTGACAGGAAGACCATATCTGAATTTCACAATAAAAATTTAATATTATTGAATCATTGAACATAGATATAAGAAAAATAAAAAATATGACACCAACCGTAAAACAGATTCAACAAACACCCTCAGCGCTTTTACATGAATCCATGCACTGAACACTTCGCCAAAGTTGACCTTCAACCATCTTAATAAAGGTCCCTACAATAAAGAAAAGAAGCAAAAATCTCACAAATGTAAAACATAACATTATTAAAATTAATGACATACAACTATATAACGTAACCTACCAGCATTTTCTTTTTATCTGATTCAAGCTTACTCAGCTGATCTCTGTCTGCATTTAAATCTTGTTGATTATATTGAAACTCCCGAACAAAAAATCTGCAATAATAGTATTGCATGATGGTTACATAATGGAAAGATAGATGAGAATCATCTTAATTTATATTAACTTACTTATTTCTAGAGCATTTGTGTTTGAAATCATCCAAAACTTTACGAAATAATGTCACATTCCATAAACCATATTCATTGTCCTCGTATAGTAACCTGAAAAAAGTCATATTTGATCAAATATATATCAGATAGTAATTACAATGTATGATATGAGCATAGTTGACTGCAGGGCTGTGAAGCAGAGAAAAATCTACAACCGACTGAGGGCTATTAAAAAAAAGAACTCCAGAATACCAGTCTATGCACATTTTCCTAAATTAATGATCTTGGACTTTTGAAAAACTGTCTTCGAATATCACTATTGAAATTCTAAATTTTCAACTCCATTATCAATAGAAACATGCGAGACTGATTCTACAGCACAAGTTGCCTTTATACATATAACATACCTGCTTGATTTTGGCACGACATAATCGGTCAAAGTCTCATACGAGCTTGTCCAGTCTTTGTATAGTGCACTACCAAAAGATAAACATTATTTAAGTGCCATGATTTTCATGAAAAAAAAAATATTTCAAAAATTAAAAAAATACTTACACTGGAATAGCTACCAGAATTGTTACTAAATATTCAGAATCTAGAATAAAATCATCTTCTTTGACAAGATCATTCAGATTTCTCAGCAGCAAACTCCCCCTGAGATAGATACATTCATTAGGAATATAAGGAATGTCATCGTCAAACCCATATCAGATAAGTTGATACTTACGTCGTTTTTCTTTCATAACTTTGCAAATTGGTTTTTATAGCATTATAAGCTTGAGATTTTGTTTTCAAATCTGTTTCTACTTGTGATACATTTTTTGATATGACATCAGCAAGATTTTTTAATGATTGTTTTGCAGGATATTTTGCTAAATCCCACTGGAAATGACACAGGAACTCTGCAAGAGGTTCTGTAATATAACAAGTAGGAATGGTTAGGTTTTTAGTTTCATGTTGACCCTGGCATGCAGAACTATAATGTATGCTGACTTAAAATAATATATAATTTGTCCCCTCACAGCAATCTATTCAATACCAATACGAAGAATTTTAAATATCAACTGTATAGAACTGTTTTAAAAGGTTGACAAGCCAAAGATCTCAAATAAATCATGAAAAATATGTAAGTCACTGTTTTCTAAAATATTGGCAACAAAAAATTTAAGACATTATGTTATAAAAGTTTTACTGCCTATTGGCCTTGACATTCATCAAAAAGACCTTGAATGAGAAAACAGCAATCAAGTTCCATGGAATAGTATTCATGGCAGACGATGGAGCTTTGTATTACCTTACATATCAACAGAACAACTAAATAGGACTATACAAATATGTAAATCCTATAAATAATTATGACAATCCTATCCTATATCAACAAAAATATTCTTAAACATACTTCCATTCACAATGAGGTTACTGCCGAGTTTATCGCGCTGTCCCTCCAGAACATCACCCATGTATCCAGCAACTTTCTTTGCCACTCTGTCAATGTAACAATTATTGCTTTTGTTTTATTCAAAAAAATACACTCAAAATTAATACATACATGTATTCATCAGTTTATTTAAATGCAGGAAAGTATGATGATATTTTGTACTTCAATGTAAAGAATTTGAGAACTTGAAACCTAACCCATTGAGGAGAAGAAAACATTTTGCCAATGGTGATGCTACAAGATTTAAAAATACTCACAATTCAGAGTAGGAATCTAGTTTTCCTAGTTCATCAGAGAGTCCGATTAATGAATCAAGTGTTCCAACTTTCAATTCAGGAATGTTGAATTTGTAGTTTTGAGCCAATGGCAAAGATGTGTTTCGAATTGTTGCATTTACCAACTTTTCAAACGTTTCACGAGGAGTTCTGTCACCTGGTGCACTAATTAACCAAAATTCTTCCATATTTGATTAGTTTTAAAGTTTATGGTATTGATCTTTACAAAAAGTATACCTGAATATAGAAAAATATGGATGACTGGATGAATCAAAAAACGCATTTCCTGATTCCTGTACTGTCTTAGCTAACAGTCAGTATGTATAATAAATGCAGAAATGATTTTCTAAATCATTAGCTCGCGACGTTCAGAATAACTCTGATAAAGCAATGATACCCTGCCATATACCTAACCATCTCAGCATACTGGCATTTGCAACAAAAACCCAAACAACCGACTATACCTATATATTGATCTGCAAGCCAATCCTGAACAAGGCATCAATAGAAAATTTTTTGGTCACGAGACCGTCAATCAAAAATTCATTCATGCATATAAAATCTCGTGAAAGGTCACGATAAAAGACAGCTTGATCTTTTGCAACATGTCGCACAAAAAACTACAGAAATCATTTTTTAATAAATATTCATTTTTTTATATTTCATACAAATGAAAAAAAATGTAAAACGACACCGTTATGAAACGATTCAAACCTCATCATATTTGTCAAGAAAGCTTTTACCCGTCCTATCTTCTTTTTTTTTGATGGGTACTTTCAGTGCATACCGTACGTCATAATATAATTTTTAACTTTGAAAACCCCCCAAATAATTTGTGATTATGACGTAACAAAATCTTCATCAGCTGATAATAATTTAAGCGAGCTAACCACGTGACGCGTGTGCAAATTGATTGTTTCACTCCGAAACTCAAAGAAAATGTCCGAGCAGGCGCGCTCTTTGCCGATAAGTGGCGAATCAGCTGAGGAGAAATCGCAGAGTTGCAATGGATCCGGAGTTGAAATTACTGTGCATGAAGTAAGTCACAGCTTTTCTAATTTCCGCTTTTAGTTTTGGTGTTTGTGAATAACAATTAACACTGTCTGAACCTGCCCAGCCATTCTGCAAATAAAGGATTGCAACAAACCGTTTCTACATGTCAGCATGTAGGCAATACAGAAATAGATGGATAGGCTTCTCCTTGTTCAGTTGTTGGGTAACTTGTCCAAGTCTTGTTTGGAGTAATATTGGGAAACTACTTCCTAAGTCTGTGAGTACCGGTAGGTGTGGAATGATGACGTACTTGGAATAAGAGTTGGGAATACACTACTCAAGACAGCAAGGCCTTGGAAAAATATTTTGTTTGGAATGAATCAATAAAGATTCACTTACCCTAGTTTGTAGTAACCTGTAGTTGAAATCTGTACATGCAGACATGGACATACTTAAACATGACAATCTTATAATTTAGGAATTACAAACTGGATCAGAATATCAGTTGAATTCAAATGTTGCAGTGAAATCTGATCAACAATCTTTTGATGATTCTGTTTTCCTCACAATATCAAATAGAGGAGATGTTGAAGAAAATGTCACAGGTATGTTATATTTTTAACATGTCAGGTACTGTTTTATTTACTGTTTTGATTAGCAAAATAGGAAGTCCCATACAGTTACGTCGTTGCATTACTTTAAATATCTTCCAAGTAGTAGAGAATTGCCGCCATCTAGTTTTTCTAGACTGCCAAAGGTGGATTCCTCATTTTTTATTACTGATCTATGCAGCTCTTAAATGTGACACTTTCTTCTTATTGACTTATCGATGGAACATGTTTCCTATTGTATGTGAAAGCTCGCAAACGGACTGTGTGATAAAAAAAGTCACATGCAATTACACCATTGTATTGCTTTAAATATCTTCCAAAATATTCGATTCGATTCTGAAATCATCAGGTCTTTGAAAATACCCAGCTTTATTAAACACTGTGAATAATTTTCACTCATTTCTGCATTTGTATAGGCGAACAAGAATCTGCAGAACCAACAATAACAACTTTAAACACAGTCAAGAGTACTATTCAAGATGAGAATGAACCTTTGGTAAATATCATGAGTCATATTGAAGGATTGTATGTATATCAGTACTTGAATATTTCATACAAATATGATACACTTATTCTATTATTTAAAAGGGGTTTCCTGCACAATTACCAACTTTTTCAAATGATCAACCAAATGAACTCATGTAAGTTGTTGCTACCTAGGTTGGTGAAATCATATGCAGCACACAGAATTAACAAGTTTAATCCTTGTTTTTGCAGAACTCCATCAATTAATGTTTCAACCGCCTCATCAAACTTATCCACTGTCATTGAAGATGTCAAATCGAAACAAAGAAAAATTTGTAAGAAATTCCATGGTGCCGTTTAGGTCTGCGATCTCACTTGCTTAATGTGATCTCAATCGCATAATGTTATTCTCATGAGTCATGACATATCTCATGATTTCTAACCCTAACTAAAATCGCTGAGATCGCACACCAAAGTAGCATCAAATTCTCTTTAATACTTCTAATTTTTCATGTACCTGAAGCAGTTACAGTTGCAAATTTTGGAAAAAATATTGGCGCTCCCAAAGTATGTGCACCAAGATGGCGCACAACCTGAACCCTATCCTGGAACAACTACTATGTTCAGGTTGTGCGCCATCTTGGTGCACATACTTCTGGAGGTCCCAAATATTCTATATCTTACTTTTCCTCATTTTAAAATCTTAAAACAAGAACGCTTTAATGATTTTATTAGTTATTATTGTTCAAATCAATCAATTTCAAGAAGATAAGATAGATAGAAATAGTACAGATGTTCGCCACTTATCGTGGGGCTATTTTTCTTGGGAAAGGCTGAAATTTTTTGCCAGTTGGACTCCTATTTTCAAAACTAATTTTTGGTAATGTCCTCGATAACCAAAAGTTGTGTGAAATCACTGTGTAGTGTGTATATACATTTTTTAAATGGTTACATAACTCTAATATATTTGTAGTTTTAACAATGAACTTAGTATTTGATCAGTATTAGGATACTTTGATTAATATATATAACAGTTTCTATTTCATATGTAAAATAAAAATTACTTCGCATATTTTACTTTTCAGCAAAGCGTACTTTGATTAATTCATATAATAGTTCCCATTTCATATTTAAAATAAAAATTAATTTGCATATTTTTCTTTTCAGCAAATCCACTTGCACAACCTGAAGTTTCATTTACAGATGCTAAAGAAACTGAACTGTATTCAAAATTAACAGTTACCAATGAAATTCCAATAACATGTAAAAGAAACCATGCATTTCTGTATAAAAATAAATTGGGATCAGGTTCGATTTTGTTGTGTATTTTGTTTACCATTTCAATTAGTATATTTTTGCAAACTTTGGGTTTCTAATTGCTAATTTGAGTTCTGAAAATGACAAGCTTTTCAATGTTATTGGATCAGAAGTCGGCCTATGGATTGCTATGTTGTTGTTGTTAGTATTCTTCATATTGTTTGTGTGCAAAAATCGCTTTCTCTTTATTTACTGGTCCAATTGCTTTCTAATTTTCAGTGATTAAAGATTGTTGTTGTTGCTAGATAGATATTATTTTTATTATTTCGAAAATTTCTGTGGGATTCGTTTTTACTTCGACATTTTGACTGGTGGCATAAACAAAATTTAAAATAATCGTAGCGGTTTTGCGGATCTCTCTTAGTGAAAGTCTGAACATTTTTATGGGTACTGTAGACCAGGGCTACTCAACTGGCGGACCGCGGTCCGAATCCGGACCTTTCGGGTATTCGATTCGGACCGCGTAAAATTCTTTATTTTGGATCATTAGCCCCACTTTTGAAGTTTCCCTCTTGTGAAAATCACTTTTATAGATTTAAAAATATATATGAAAAGAACTATAACGCCATAATGAACAATCTTGACAATCTTATCATTAGTCGACCCGAGGAATTGCGTGTTTAAAGATGCCGAAATATAATTTCTGGGAAGTCCGGACCCAAATATGTTTGAAGTTTTGTATGCGGACCTTCGGTAAAAATAGTTGAGTAGCCCTGCTGTAGACTACAGGGAATCGTTGGTAAAAAAATTTGTTTTGCGATTTTTAATGCTTTGTTCATAATATATTGCTCTCTTGTTATTAAAACATTACCTATAAAATGCAGGTTAACATGTATATCCAATTTTGAACGCATTCCCGATTTCAATCAGAACGATTTGAACTGTGTTGTTGTGTGAACAACTTTCTACCTGATTGGTATCACATATCTTGTGTAGAATTGCCCATCGTTCATCTATATATTTGTACCTATGGCAGTCAAAAGTTTTTTTTTTAAATTCTTTGACATTCTAATAATGAATGTGGGCTATAGAATTTATATAAAATGAACTATAGACCAGTTATGTTCCCACAGGGTTACATTGAATTATGTATAAGGATCTTCTATCTATAACTACCAATCTGTCTTGAAATATTTGAGAAGACGCATTTTTACGCATTGAATTATGTATAAGGATCTTCTATCTATAACTACCAATCTGTCTTGAAATATTTGAGAAGACGCATTTTTACCACAGTAGAAGCTGTAACTACAACTACATTAGCTACCGAGTCTACATTCACAGTCACATGACCTATTTGTCCAAAGGATACCTATTTACATTTGAGTTTGGGAAACCCTGCTATAGATCATCTCTTTTCATGATTTTGATTTTATTTGCAATTATTTTATTTTTGCATTTTATTGTATATCATATAATATTTTAGGGAGGAAAGGGAAATGTATAAAATTTGCCAATGAATGGTACACCCCATCTGAGTTTGAAATATTCAGTGGTTTGGAAATGTCTAAAGATTGGAAAAGAAGTTTGAGATATGGAGGAAGATCTCTTCTGAATTTAGTTAATCGTGGATATCTTCGGCCTCATGCGGCAACATGTACTTGTGGTATTTGCAGTGAAGATCCATCATTGGTATGTTTCGTTTTTTTTCTTCACTGATGGTACTTTATACATGTTTAAATAGTGTTGTATGATCGATCAAATTCTGCTTTGTCTATTGCTATTTGAATACAATGAATGGATTCATTTGTTCACATTCCGAATCGATTTGAGAAGATATTTGGAATATTCGTATAGAAGAGTGGTTCCCGAACTTTTTAAGCCGTGCCCCCTTTTTAGAATTTGTCAAGTCTTGCACTTGCACCCAATTTCAAAAATAACTAGCTCTCAATATACTTACAAATTACAAATAACAGATAGTAAAGTAAGGCGAATATATGTTTTATTAAAAAAAAAACATTGAAAATACTGAATGGAACGTGAATAATGAAATAAATGAAATTTTTTTTAAATGTAACTACCCAAAACAAGGCGGACAAGATCAAAAATAACGAATATTTTCTTGTTGATTTGCTTCACGCTCCCTCGAAAAATTGTCTACAACCCCCTCTGGAGGCATTTGAGAACCACTGGTTTAGATTGTGCTTGATTGAGAAATTGATAAAAAACTATTTTTTAGTATATTCCATAAAAGCACCAATCATGCTTGGTTATTAGTTAAATTCAATACTAACATTGACAATGTTTTTGTGGAATACCTATATAATAATTTAGCAATGTTAAAGAATCTTTCATTTTCAAATCTGCTTATTTTGATGGCAAGAGTACATTATATAAAGCAATATGAACGTGTTGTACTTATTTTATACAATAGGTATTCATTCGTAAGTATTCTGATAGCGATTGACATGTCATTTTGCTTTTTTTGCTAGTTAAGACATAGTCATATATATTGTGAGTTAGTTTATTAAAATGGTAATTTTGTTTACATCCCATTCATACTTATTTCAGGGACTCTCTTTTGCTTATTCTATATAATGTTTTGCTGTTTTTTTTTTTACAAATTTTTTCAATTATTGGTCCTTTCTATTTGTTATACATCTACTTTATCACCTTCATCTTTTATTCCAGACAGGGCCTGTACTTTACTACACTCCAAAAATTCGAAGAAAACGTAGTGCAACTGCATCATTGTCTACTGGATCTTTGTCTGTGGAGCATGATAGTTTTCGACCGAGTACTGCACCACCAATAAAGCAATTTTCACAACCATTTGCGATTCCGAATCCAAGACTAACTTTTGGTAAATTGGTTTGTTATTTTTCTTATGTTAACTGTTTGCTGAACTCTTGTGTTCATTTTCAAAGTCAAGCTTGATATTCTAAATCAGTGGTCGTCAGACTGTGCGTCAAATGCGCGGAGTTTGACCCTCGAATGACCCCACTTTTACTGCATAAAAACAAAAATTGCTCATAAATATTTTATCTGTGTATGCATTTATGTCATAACAATGGCTGTTGTACTGCGATTATTTTGTAGTAAGTAGCGTAAACAAAAACTCATGTTAGTTGTATGTCGTTTACTTGCCGAACTTGCCTAATGTCAGTTGTAATATTTTTATTTCAAAGATTTGGCATTTAAATGTCTGAGAAACGTAAAAATGTTGGCGATGAACATTCCAAAGTGCTTTGACAGAAGAAAATTTCTTTGTTAAGCATTATCCAAACCAGTAGCGAGGTCGCCCTATTTTGAGGTTTAATGTGGCGATTGTTTATGGGGGAATATGAATGTCGGCCGCATGTGTGTAAACAAGTGTAAACCGCCGGCTCTGTGTGGAGGCACAGGTTTGAATCATGTGGGTTATTATTATGCGCCATAAGTTGCATGACCGCAACTTATACAATTTCACTCAGCTATCGAATCTGATAAGCGGCATGAAATCCTTATTATCCAAATTAGCTCAAATCTTCAGTTTTATGTTTTAGAATTGTGCAGTGGAAAATTCTGCATAATTCATGGAAAATAATTACCGGTACATGTTTATTTCATTTGGATTATTTTATTTCAGGGATTATATACAAGTAAGATTAAAAATGCATGGGTTATATTATGTACCTAAGGGCAAAATTGAGTCATCTTTTTCAACTCTATTATCAACTTGTATTGTATATGTGTTACAGAAAATGAAAAAGATCTACCTTCTCAACTACCAGCTGATATTGTTGATGTTTTGAAATCGACAAATCTGCCTCTCACGAAAGAAACGAGGCGTTTATTTCAAGCACTAGCTGAGGTTGCTATATGACAAAATTTTAATATGTGTCAGCTTAGTTGTGTTCATCTTCTGTGCTGTAAATACCTGATTAAATAAGTTAGCTGCTTATTAAGTGCTACCATGTGATTTCGTGGTGCTCCCGAAGTATGCGAACCAAGATGGCGGACATCGGAACGTAACATGGGTAACAGGTTAGGGTTAGGCGATAATTTTTTTTCCAATTTTCCTTATTTTAGTCCTATTATCAGTTCGAAAACTAGCCAAGAGCCTCCCGTATACCTAAAATTATGGCCTAACTCTAACCTAGTACACATATTACATTCCGATGTCCGCCATCTTGGTTCGCATACTTCGTGAGCCCCGATTTCGTTTTTGATAATTTTATGCAAAAAACATTTACTCTATTCCAATAGTGTGATAGTCTTCAAAATATCTTTTGCGTAAAATAATGGCACCTATTGTTTCTGTGAATTATAATAAATTTAAATTATGATATTATGAATCTATTTCACTGTTTGTACACTATTTCTGAATAACAAAGTGCAATTCGTTTAAAAATTTGAAATCTTTAATCTGTCAAAATGAATGTAGACATTTAAGCTTTTTACCTTGACTAGTCTGTGCTTTCATCACAGAATGAACAAAAAGACAGAAAGATTTGGTCAAAACTGGAGAAAAAAGCCGAATCCATGATGGAAAAGTTTGAACAATTGCAGCAAAGTATTTTTAATGCTAAGAAAGAATCAGAAGATAGGAGAGATAAGATTCTAAAAGAAATGTACATTGTTCTCACAGATCAGAATGTTAGTATAAGTTTTATATAAATTAGGATTGAATCCTTATTGATGCTATTTTTTTGCCTCCTATTTTATTTCAAGCTAGTGAAGATATTATGGTGGTTTGCAATAATTAGATGTTTTATTTTTTAGCAGTTGCAATAATGATATCGATTAATTTTTTTTTTAAATATACCTTAAGAGAATATGCAAGAATTGGCAAACCTGATGATTGTGACAGTGTTATTTGATGATAGAAATCGCTATGTCTGTACTTACAGTTAAAAAGTGTGTCCTGACCACTCTTGTTCACTCTGATCGCTTCAGTGGATTTCTTTACTTTTAACCGAGCTCAATGCAGATTCTCAAAAAAATTTGAATCACATCTTCCAGATAATTTTGGGATACACTTAATCCATTATTTTGTCAAATTTTATTTATTATCAACATACAACTATTAATTTTTTTTTATCTAATTTCTGTTTTCTTTCAGCATTATGTTCCGAATCACTCCACATCCCATCTTGTGAAGACCTTGGATGGTAGGTTTATTAACTTTTTTTGATATAGAGGTCAAATTTTGAATATTTAATTATGCATCAGGCATATGTCAATCAGTTGGTATTAACATTATTGGTCTTTATATGAACAAATGTTGAGTACTTTGAGCCGTAATATTTTTCTCTATCATCAAAATGTTGAAAATGTGAAACACGTCCAAACTAAAAAATCAAACTTACATTTTTGAGATGTTAAATTTTGGAGTTTGTGTAAATGTTGAGACCTAGTTATTTGATTCACTTTAATTTATTCGACGAAGGTTGATCTGCAAATTATTAATCTAAAGTGTATGGTATAGTGGAAGGGGCCATGTTGTATGCTTTTTACAGAAAATTACCATGTGACAGCCCGATAGATTTCCATTATGTCCTCTTTCATTTTTCAAGCAGAAAAAAAATTTTGTGAAGATATCCATGAAGAAGAAGATGACGAAGTACCTGAAATATGTGGTGCCTGTGGGAATCCAGCAAATAGTGAATGCACTGGATGTAGAAAAGCAACATACTGTTCTACGGAATGTCAAGAAATGGTGGGTCAGGGGTCATAATGATTTTTCAAACAATCTTATGCTGCTATCGAGAACATTGACATATTGCTGTTACTTGAACATACGACTTAACTATAGAATAGATTAAATCCAAGTATTTTAAAAACTAAATGTTTGCTGGAGAAGGTTAACTGATAATTTGAATGGTGTAAATTTGAATCCCAATACCAGATTGTCGAGGGTAACAAGAGTATGTTTTTGAGTCACCCTCTCCAATGGAATCATTGTTAGTTGGTTGAATCGCTTTTATTGTCATGGACTCATGACCAACTTCAAAAAGCAATTTACTCTCTCTTGGACTGATGGCCCCCGTCGTTCACAACAAATATTACTCTAAAACAATGGTTCTCAAACTAGTGCGGCTCCTTATTAGAATTTGTCAAGTCTCCTACCCAACCTGAAAAATAACTAGCTAACAATGAGCTACGAATAACAGATAGTAAGGCGAAAGTATACGGTATTTTATTCAAAAATACCTCGACAGTTGGCGGAAAGGTAAAAAACAAGATGGTGGCGAACCGATTCAAATAATTTACTATTTGATTAAATGCCCAGCCCTAGTTATCATATTATATTTAACTGTTTCAGGATTGGAACCGGGGACACAGAGATGTATGCAGAAGCCTTGCAAATCAAGATTCGAATAGCAGCACTAACACTGAGATACAGATGTGAATAAATAATGTTATCTTGGTACAATGAAAGTCAAGGGAGTGTTGAGTCGACTCCAGAATGTGCTAAAATTTTAATCACTCAAATGACTCTCTGTTCGATCAAAAACTGAATTTTTGTGCAAAAACAACGAATTTATTTTAAAAAGACAGGTCTTTCATCACAATAATATTATACAATAACTTTTCCCTCGATGAATAGTTACAATCAGCTTAGCATTCAATTAGCCATTTGTAATGAAGTGACGTTTTTTTCTTATAGAAATAGTCATGTACGAATCCCAGTAATAGATACCAAAGGCTTTGTTATATTTGCTGTAATCTTAATTTGTTATATCTGGATTCTCATCTCAATCATGTTGTAATAAATTGCATTACACTTTGCAGATAAAGATTGTGTGTTGTTGTTGTTGTTTAGTATTATTTAGTTGGATGTTGGAATAATATGAGTGGCTTTGCAATGTTAGCCCAATAGCAAGTCCGGTAAGAATTGTGCATTGTATATGTACATGAGCCCTCTGTTTTCTTAAGCGTGGAATACTATTTCCATAAGTAATCTCTCAGTGCTTTTTCTGAAAAGTTCACTTCGAAAATACATTTGACTTTAATTCTAAAACCAAATATATTTCTTCTTTTCCGACGAAAAAGCTCAATTCGCGAATTTCGCAGACGATGGTCTGCAAGCATAGGAAGTCTGTCGATCTTATCGACGCCTACAATAGGATGAGGGGTTTTTAAACCTTCTATAGACCCTAAATCAAAATTTTATCGACTGAATCAGATAATATTCAATAATAATCAACATTCGTTTCACCTAAGACGTCCCATGAATGTATGTTGATTGTCCCGCCAGGCTTTAGTTTAGATACAGAGGAGATATCTGGATGCCGGAAACAATTCCGTATGTCCCGTGATTGAAACAAGCTAACGTTGGTTGCGCAAACAAGGTAATCAACTTCAAAATAATTAATATATCGTATTATGAACTGATTTTCATTAGATTAGTCAAAGATCCAATTATTTTTATGCCTTTGTGCAGATGGGCAGGCTTGAAACAGGCAAATGTTATACAACGCTATCTTTTAAATTCGATGAAAGTCAACTGCTACGCAGCTCTAGTTTTTTTGCCAGTAATATTTTATGAACGTATATATATTAATATATTTAAAAAACATATATACTTTACTTTTACTGATTCTTCATTATTATGTTTAATTATTGAATATTTGGGTATACGGAACTGATTGAACGTAGATTAGTTTTGATTTCAAAAGAGATTATATTCATTCATGCTATAGGTAATGCACACCAAGTTATAAAATAAATAAAAGTATTGTATCCAACATTAATTGCATTCAGTCACGTAAAAGACCAAGTTGATAACGCTTCGAAATGAAAGTTCGATTTTTTGTGGAATCCCCATAGGGCCAGGGAAATAATTAATCGTCCACAATAGTGTGAAAGAAAAACGCAAAAGAGAAATTAATTGTCTGTAGAATACGATGGACGGACGAATAATCAAAGTCAGCAGTGTAAGTTTATTATTGTAAACGTATGTTTAGATATACCATCTTTAGCAGTGATGGTAAAGTTCATTCATTTTCATAGCGAAACCTAAGTGATTTACGCTATTTTATTACACTACAGATCATGAGATATTCACTCGCAAATAGAATAAATAGTTTAATTTGAAAGTTAGTAATCTAGAATATTGCCTTGGTAAACATTATGGAAACTACTGTACCTACTGATGATTTGCACTTGGAGGTAACAGAATGTTTGGTGTGCGATAAGCACGATGAACTACACGTCGAGGAAGATGTCCAGTAAGTAAAGGATAATAATATACGGTTTGCTTTCCGGCAGATTATAAGCTGGGTGCAACAAATACAGATTAACTACGTTATCCTTTTGTAATAGTATTAAGTCTTGTTTGAGATTTTAATTTTTTTTTTTTTTCAAGGATTTGTGGAAAATAAAGAGCAGTCTAAATGGAGTTTGCTAAGAATTAAAACAGGCTGTATTTGTACTGCAGTTAGTACATTACGACTCCTATAACCACCAATGGGAGGGCGTCTATATTAAATATTTGGTGCTCCCAAAGTATTCGTACCAAGATGGCGCACAACCTAAAGATATATATGTACCAGGTCATGGGTTTCAGGTTGTGCGTCATCTTGTTATGAATACTTCCCGAGCGCCAAATATTTGACTTGGTATATGACATATATAATTTAATTTATATATCATTGTACTTCAGCAAAATCTTACCGTGGGTGCTAGTGCCTCTCGCTCTTGTATCTGCTGGATTATTCATGCTATATTGTTGGAAGAAAGTAAGAGTCAGAGTAACAGGAGGGCAGGACCAAGTTTTAGCTGACAACGTTGTGGATAGCTTCAGGCCTATTTTACCACCCACACAACCGCGAATTTGTAATGTAAGTATTTGGAGCACTGGGATTTACCCAATTTTGCCAGTCTTTTGAGTATATATTAATGACACTGAGATACATGTGACATGCCCTGTTTATGGCCCATTCTTATTTATCTATTTATTCAATATATTTCGTCCAAATGTCACCCGTGTTTTGCTCTTGTAATAAATTAATTTTATTTCCATTCGCATTCATCTCTCATTCTTAATACTTGAAAAGTAGCCTCTAGTTAACCGTTAAGCATTATGATCACCCAAGTTGCTCATCATTTTCATGTAGTAACGGACACTGTTTGTCTATTCTTTATGTTTCATCCAACTATTTACCACGTGAGAACCGCTGGGTGACTAAAATAAATTTTCATTTCATGTTGTGTGATGAATATAGTAGCTTACCGTGTGTATTTAATATAGGCCTACTCTGCTCAGTTTTTATTTTATTTGTCTTTTTTGCGCATACACATTTTCTCCATATCCACTGTTAAAATGGTATTTTAATTTTACCTAGTTAATTCCATAGTATAAGTAACTAAGTGCATTCTTGGCGACCATGACTTATCGAGTGCGATATCTGCCCGGCCAGGTTATGACCTATGCGTGCACGCTCAATGCTCGTCTATTTAGATCCAATTTTTCGATCCAAAGATAGATATGATTATATGTATTTTCATATCAACGACATTGACAACAATCAAAACAATTCACTGACTTTCATATCTTCATCAACTCATTATATTTTCCAGGTAAAAGTTCATGAAGTAAATGAAAACGCAGTTAACAAATCAAAGCTCCAGAACAGGGAGTTGGCATCATAAAATCGACATCACGATACCTACGCTTTACAATCAGGATGACAAAAATGTTTCTTCGTCTGTTTAATTTTTCTTTTTTGTTCAATTTTTTTCTCTGCACTATAATCATTATACTCAAGTTTTTCTCATTGCACATTTACACACAGTTTGTCTGATGAAATCCCGAGTGCAAATAGACGTACCCACTTAGACGTACGAAATGTACATCTGGTTTGACATTGTTTACATTTTTATTGCGCACCCCATGTTTCTTGCAATATCTGATAAGCGACTAAACTAACCATAGTTAGTAATTAAGTGGAAATTGGATTGTTTCAGTTTCATCATTACAGTGATTTACATTTATGAAATATTATTTTTATAACAATGTATGAATTTACCTTTATTTTTCGATGCTGCTGTCTATTTATTTAATCTCATCGTTAACACGACAGCAGAAACTATCTTTGGAAATAAGAATTGAAAATATAAATGAAATCTTGTTTTACGATACAAATGATGATGTCAGAAAATAAACGATAGCACAGAAGATTTAGCTTTTCTTACGCCATATACTATAAAATAATTGAATGAACCGATGTCATCTTTCTGCGTGAATTTCCATATTAATACGAATGAAACATTATAAATAACTTGTCAATGATTGAGTTTTATTGTAATCGATAATACATTCTTTATATTTGGGGAAAAATTGTGGTCCGTGATAATTGTATTCGAATCTGTTTATTTAAACACATTTTAAAAGTTTAATTTTTTGGTAACAGTATTTGATTAAGTGTCGAATTGTTAATTATTTATACTTATTCTCTTTTCTGTCATGTTGTTTCATTGTATATCCATTTTTACAATATAATGTTACTTTATCAACTTCTTAGATGAAGTTTTGCGATTTGTCGTGAAAGTCAGTTCGCTATATAAATATAAGTTGAAATCCACGCTGCAAACGTTCGAGACCGAAGAAAACAGAACCATATTACAGAGCATTGAATCTGGCCCCTACATCCCTCTAGGACTTGCTACCGAATTGCCGTGTTTTTATCTTGAATTTTTGTTTATAAATTTCAACAAAATGGCCCAGTACATAACATAATATTGAAGAATTGCTAGATATGCATGGCTGACTACATTAAATGACTAATTGCACATAGGTCTAAAAAGTGTTTTAAGCTACGAAAAATTGATATGTATGATACAAAATATGTCTTTTTTTACACTTACACCCCCCTGACTACGCACCAGTCAGTGATAGACAGCGCAAATTCAAGTGATTAGCGAGTATCAATGATCGTTAGTTATTTACAATAGGATACCACGCACTGAACAGACACACGACTTCCTGCAATTGTACGTTCTTACTTAGTATTAGTCGAACCATATGTTGGCGTAAAACTGCTATCCAGCTGTAAACGTCGAGTACATTATATCGTGTTATACTGAAGTTTCAATTAGGTTTTGATTGTTGACGAAAGGGAACTGCACAATGGTACGAGGATTATTTTGTCTGTGGCTCGTGTATGCAATTTTTCTATTGCTAACCAAAGCTGATAATGATGGAGATAGAAAAAAGGGAGCCTACATGGAAAGTAATGCTTTTATCTTTATTACATAGGAATGGGAAAGTACCAGTTGTAAAAAAAAAAATACCCTGTTATAATTTCTATAAGATAACAATAAGTGATTGAAGTTAGTATATTCGCTCGGTAGGTAAATCAAATTTAACGAAAGTTATATTATCATCAAAATAGGATGTTTTAAAGTTATTCTGGGGAATGAAATCCGATGAGATGCAAGGGGTTCAACGGTGGACTGCTAAACCGCTTAACCTATGCACTGGGAAAAATGTAGAGCAATCATTTGGCATACAATCCTTCCCACGCGATTAAAACCTGTGAAATCAGATGAAATAATTGAAAAAAAAAATGATCTTCATATATTGTTTGAGCGTATGTTGTTGAAAGGTTATCCGCTTGTTTCGATTCATTTTTAACCCGTTCAAGTCAACACTGTTTATTATGATAACAGCAATCCGGAATCAGTTGAAGACCTACGTATCACCTTCATCGGTTGACTTTTTCTCCGATATTTTGGCTAAAAAAATATACACAAATTATGAGTTCAAAGTTGTTTTGCCACCGAAAGGTACACAATGCTATTTTCAAGAAGTGAAGAAAATGGTCTCATTGCAATTCGAATTTCAGGTTAGAATACTATTAATTTCCAGTTTTATCTGACGTATTTCGAGAGTCGATATTATAAAAAGTAATTTGAATAAAGACAAGAGAGCTATGCTCAAATATATGGACACGTAGCGCCACCCAATGGCAATAATTTTGATGACGTCATAGCGAAAAAAAAGTAATAGCCTTCTGGTCCAGTATTCGAAGAGAAAAGCGATTTTTTAAAAATGATGGAGACAAATAATAACAATACCAACATAATCTTGAAACGATCGTTATGTCCACTACGTGTCCAAAAAAGCATCCTGCACCCGTGCTTTTGCGTTGTATTTAGTTAATGGATGTTGTGAAGACAATGAGATTATGAATCGAGTTATTAATGTACGTTGGTTGATGATTATACTTCTTGGCCGATATGGAAATAGCGGGATTAGTTGTATTCATCAGCTCAAATATTACAATACACATTGTTTAGGGAAGAAATAGCCTATTTTAGATGCAATGAATGTAGATGAAAGTTGCGAGAAATCGCTGGTATCTAGTGTTATGACAATAAATAATTAACATGGCAAATAAAATTGCATATTTAAGGAGTTTGCATTAAATCCCACTTTTCATTCTCAATATCATTTTGACTGACATTTCATCTAACTTTCCAGTGTGTCTCAGCACCTAGCTTCAGGGGTGAACCAGTAGTATCCGCATGGATTTCTCATTTACAAACAGGTAAAACGGTACAAACTGTCGACGAGCAGAGAAAGGGAGAAATGCAACTGGCTGTGAAGGAAGTCGGTTAGTTATTTTACCTATTCGTTAAAAATCAGCATGAATTCATTCATTCACGAAAGATGTGCAAAATGCAATTCGATACAGTGTCTTGTTATAACACGTTTTATTATTAAGTTTAAAAATAATTAGATGATTTCAAAATCGAATCGAATATTTTTTCGAATTGATTCGATATTTAAATTAATACAACGACGTAATTGTATGTGAATTTTTTTGTTGTAACTGGTTTTTCAGACACTTAAATTACTAATAACATAGAATGCATCGCTCTGTCAGTTCGCTCTGAGTTGTCACCCACAGAAAGAAATGTTTCAATAACTCACGAGGAACAAAAGAGTGATATGTCACATGCATTTTAAAAATATGGCTTCAATAAAAAATTTGAGTAGTTTACCTTGACCTTCGGCGGACAAAAAAAGGCGATTCGAAATTTTCGTCTGAACCGATTCGAAATGCCTAGCCCCAAATTTGGTGATCCCGAAGTATTCCTACAAAGATGGCACACAACCTGAACATAGCATGTGTAACAGGTTAGGGTTGTTCAGGTTATGCGTCATCTTGGTTCGAATACTTTCGGAGCTCCCTAAATTTAATAGGTAAACGATATAGCGTATAGCCTACAGTACAAACTATAAATTTGAAGGAAAAATACGGCATAAAAATGGTTGTATTTTGTTACATCTGAAACTATATAGGAGTATCTTTTAAAACAAACATTTAGCCAAGTGCTGGTATAATTAAAAAGTACTTGCAGAAGCCACAAAAACTTCTGTATTTTGTATATTTCAAAATTGCACAGAAATATCTTTAGTTTCCTGCTTTTACTGAAAGATTAATTATGTTTTAGACGCACGAAAAATGCGTGATAGACCTTCATACCACCACGTCATATTAACAAAGTTAACAATTTGTTTTAAACCCATGTCAGGTACTTACGGATTTTGCGTGGAAAATAAGGGGCGAGATCCTAGATTTGTACAACTCTCATTTGAAATGCTAAACACGGGTGATATACCGAGATTTCATTTGGAGAATCAAGCTGGGAATGATTCTATGTATCACATATACGTGAGTAGGAAATAATAGTTGAGAACATTTAGTTTGTAATTTGTAAATGAATTGATTTACATTGAAATAAGGCTTTACCTTATAATACCTTATTTTTATAAAACAAAAATGACGTATATATTTGGCAAGTTTTGCCCAATGTTTTAGCATAGTAAGAAATGTAAATACTTTGGTTAACGAATTGACGTTGTTATGGATGTATTCGGTCACCGTAGATTTAGTACAAGCTACCGGTATGTAAGAAGCTACTATATTCTTAGAATAACCTGTTTGGCTTGAATAGCCAATTTATTACACTATGAGCATGAGATTTGAACACGAGCTATCAAACTTGTAATGCCAACATAGCCAAGTCCGACCTTTCAAGAACCAAAATTTTTCCAGTTATAGCCTTTAGCACAGCGGTTCCCAACCTTTTTTATGTCGCGGCACACTATTGAGCTATTCAAATATTCGCAGCACACCTATCACAAAACAGGAACATTTCCTACTCATGAAGTCAAACTACCCCGTATTTAAAGTGGATGGTTAATAGTTACCGATATAATAACTGATTTTTTAAAATATTGTACACGAGACCCACCTTCGGAGCACCTCACATTATTGTAAAAGATGCGCGGCCGCACGGGTAAATACGTGACGCTAATACGCATTGATTTTTTTCTCGCCCTTCCCCGTTCCACGTTACGCCCTATTATTATAACAGGTGTTCTCACTCTTGCACAACCTATTTCAGAGATATGAAAGTGGCAAACAAACCGTATTTCATTATGACAATTAATTATTATGGCTAAAAACACTAAATAAGTGTTACCGATGGACGAATCTTTTCACGTTATGAATTTCGTGCAAGGCTCGAGCATAATTTGATGGCAAAGATCGTAGCATTTACTATGTCGAAACGCTTATTCGACTTTTCAGACCGCAGAAACTATCCAAAAAATAACCGTTTTTGTGTTCGAGATATGAAATAATCGTTAATTCCACCACACATTCGTGAAATAGTGCAATTTAATAAATTAGGTTTTATTATTAGGTTTCATTGCATCAGTGTTTATGCTACCACGCGTTTCGCCAGACTACTGGCATGGTTACCGATCGCAAGAGTGGGCAAAATAGAATATTTCTATCCAATCGAATAATTAGAATATTTTTAACGAATTTTCGAATATCGGGTATTTTTAATACACATACAACGTGCATCCAGAATGCTTGGCATTCTAATGTTGGTGAGCTTATTCCGCCCGTCCTCTCTATTTTTACAAAGACTCCTTCTTAGGCAACGTTTGGTTTTATATTCCTGGGAGAACTGTGCGTTCATATGGGCGACATATGTTAAAGACGGCTATTAAATAATGAATTCAGGATTTTATTCTAATTTTTAACTTTTACACCGTTTTGATCTCTCAACCAACCGATTGTAAATAGTCATTGCGTGAATTCCTTAATATATTGAGTTTAAATAAAAATTCGAAAAATCACCAATAATGGCAAAATTTACGATTCTACTAGTCAAATGATAATTCCTTGGTCAAATTTAGGAAAATTTTGCACAATAATTTGTTACCTTGTTTGACTTTTTCAATTTTACGAAACGGTGTTGGCGTGCATTATGTAAAACATAAAATTGACAACAATATCCAAATACCTGGAATCCGTCTCCTCAAATTTGTCGTTTCTCTCGTTAGCAAGAGCCTAGGGGTAATATTTGTGGAATTCAAAGGATTGGAAATTGGAATCACTTGAAAAAAATTTAAAAATGAAATTTCTCCGCGGCACACCAAAATTTTTTTGCGGCACTCTATTGTGCCGCGGCACCCTGGTTGGGAACCACTGCTATAGCGTAATCCATATTAAATTCTTACAGTAATACGTATAAGCATGTGATGATACCGAATCAAATAACAGTATCAATTATTCCGAAATGAGGAACCCCACGAAAAGATTCGTTCCATCGAATAACGTTATTTTTATACCGCAACAGGACGGGCTCTTTCAAGTAACGCGTGATGTAAGAATAATGAGATCAGCAATGATGCATACACGGTCGATTGTCAGATATGATTACTCAATGACCACATCGAATCTCAGTATGGTCAACAACTTTTCAATCTTGTCACTGATATTGATTTTTACAGTCTGTGGAATACAGGTTGGTGAAAATAAAATTCAGGAGATATATTTGCATTAAATTTCGTAGGATGTAAAAGACATTGCTCAAGTAGATAGCTATATGAAGATGATATATATATATATATCTATTTTTAATGACTTGGATTTTTGAACATTATTTATATAGACATTAACAGGTTTTAACATATACACATTGTCTGAGTGCAAACGAAAATGCATAATTAATCACCATACATAAAGCATAGAGGTTTGGGTAACTCTTCTATAATTATGAAAATTAATCGTAAGCATCGAACCCGCTGTTTATGTAGAGGAGGAGGCCATTCAAATGGCGATTGCGGCCGTATTCCTAACATAATCTTGTGTTTATAAACGAATGTATGACTTGTAACATGAATTGATATGATACCTCGTGTCTCGCGTATTCCTAAAATACAATTTACTTCACAGATTCATATGGTAAAGAAGATGTTTGGTACACCAAAAATCGGCGTTTGATAACTAACGAAGCTTTGCAGAAGTCTGGAGCAACAAATGTACTTTCTCTTGTCATATTTTTAAAACTCGAGAATAGATTAACCATATGGATAGTGACCACTGATGTTTGATCGTTAATATTAAACTTAATATTTGGTTTGCGACATGAGACTGAGATTTATGCATCAATGCGATCAAATCAAAGTTAAAAAGCGTTCTGAAACAGAATATGGGGGTAGAGGGGATTTTAATAAAAGCGAAGTTATTGTTACGTGAGCTCTAAATATTAATTATATATGTATGTCTACACGTCTTTTCGTTAGATCCATAGAGGGAAATTCTTAGCCAAACTTACCAATACGGTTCGTTTTATAATATGTATATTGAATAATCGTAAATGAGCAACGAAATCGAGCCCGCTGAAAATATCACACTTTTGATGGCTCCACAACCACGACTGAACATCCGATAACTTGTAACCGGACGAGTGTCGCTGTTCCTACATGATTAAGCCGTCTTATCGGATTTCTTCTCCCCTTCGATAAATATGTCCTAACCAGATGGATGAGTGTACAGCGGGTAAGGTCAAAACAAACTTCTTTTTCAAAGCGAACTGTGATAAATATCTGAATAAGATTACAAAGATTTCAGTCATCCCTTCAAAATTTCAGGGTATCAACTCATATTTTCCCTGATGTCTGCTTTCTCTCATGTACTAACAATCGAGACAGTAATTCAAAAACCAGCATTGGCATTATTTCCCATAAGCAAACAGTCGAAACAAGGAAATGGTAAAAATGAAATAGACATAACAAAACTTTTTGTCAAAGCAACCAAGAGTCAAACAATGACTACTAACATAAAAAAGCAATTTAAAAAAAATGAGCAATAGAAATTGGAAAAGCAGTGACGTCTGTATTTTGTATGTGGTCAAACCAATATCATAATTAGTTTGATACTGAATACCAGTAGAAAACTTTGCTAAACGTTTGCTTTGCTATGGCGTGGAGTCAAAAATAAGCGTGTACATGTAATCATCCTGGATTCACAGATTCTACTTCTGTCGCAGTCATGAGCGAGAGGATTGATGTCTGCTATCATTCTGCTTGTTGGTTGCGGTTATCTCCATTACACATCCCCAAATTGAGCTTGTAGCCCGATAAAAATGTTTTGCGTAGACAATAATAAAGCTGAATTAAAAATTCCTCTCCGCCCAGATAAACATAAATATCCAATCAATCATATTTTGAAATTCACAATAAATGTGAAAGTGAAAAATTCTCAAAAAATTTTTTAATCTCGAGTGGAAAGGTGGAGTGAGAAATATTAAATTTTTTGAACAAAGGTCCAAATTTTGTGAATTCTGAGTCACAGACAGAGTCAGTTTTTTAATGGCCCAGGAACTTGTCTCTGTCGGGCTGTGAAATGTAAAAACTAAGTTCAAATCTCACTAATGATTATTGTAAATGTAAAAAAAAATTTTGAAATCATCAGATGAATCAGTGAAGCATTAGTCAGTTTTCTCTCAAGAACATTGAACAGCTTCTATCTAAATAAACCATTAATTCTTATGAACCATCGAGACACCATGATCAAGAAACCAACATGAAAAATCAAAAAAGCATCACTGAAATGAAAAGAACTGGATATAGACAGAATAACTGAAACATGGTAATTAACGGCATATTTGCTCAATGTTTATCGCAGAAAGTTATACACAAGTATGTTCGGAGTTCCAAAATATTTTGTAGCAAATGCTCGACCATCAGGAGTAGGATCAGAGAAAGCAACCTGAAAATAATAAGCGTAAGAGTGTCAAATGTAGTCATGTAGACAACTACCTACTTAATATCAGATAGATAAATTGCAGCAGGAATTTTTCGTACGAAATTTAAGGATCTGTGTGTAGTTGTGCAATGCAATGTGCATCCATGTAGGATAAACTTTCGTCAGTCAAAATGGGACAAATTTTAAATCGCAGAAGCCAGAAAACTTGGATTTTCACGAGTCTTTAGAGCAGGGGTCACCAACGCGTCGCCCGCAGGTCTGTTCCAAACTAAGATTAATAACGGCGATATAAGTAAGCTACATCAATAAAATTTTGTCCTGCTATTCTTGTGTAAATCACACTTATATGGGAATCGGGAATGGCACTATAAATTATTGTAGCCATCAACCTGATTTTTATTTGATCTCAGTAATGTGACGGGACAATTAACACTCTTGCAATTATGACATCACACTGATATAATTTACCACGAACCCGCGCTTTTTCTTGTCCGTTGGTTTGTGGAGCAGCAATAATATATTTATTGATTCCAAAGAAAAATGGCAGAAAAACCCACCATTTTCACGATGAATGGGGGTGGATATATTTTTACCACCATGAAAAGAGCCTGCGCGTGTCTCATTTGTGGGGCGATTGTAGCGACGACAAAGCGAAAAGATATTTCACGGCTAGTCATGCAATCTACCGCGCTAACTATCCACTGGTCAGCGCAGTACGGGCAAAAAAAGCTCGCGATTCAAATCATACAGCAATTCTATTTTACGAGACCCTTGTTCAACATTTTTGCCATAAACTCAGGATAGGATGGGATTTACATATTTATCCCGGGGTCGATAAGACGGCTTAACCATATGGCGAACCAAGCCCTCTCGTCCGGTTACCATTTCATGTCGGGTATGGGATTAGTTAGTATTTGTTTTCGTAAGCATGGACTTGATGGCGAAGGAAGCCATCCCAACGGCGGCAAGGGGTCCAGCAATCCTCGCGCACATAACTATCCTCGCATGGGATTCTTACCTGCGAACCTAACGCATAGCACACTAACGATGGCCGCACAGCCGCGATTTTTTAGAAGTATACATTGAATTGGTAGTCCGCGGCTTAATCTGTACCCAGAAAGTAGCCCTCGGCCTCGAAAAGGTTGGTGACCCCTGCTTTAGAGTCTAAAAAGCGTTTCAAGCCACAAAAAACTGCTATGTATGATATGGAGAAATACCTTTTTTACATTTCGAAAAGCCAGGGAGAGGGAATTGTCCTGACAAGGAAGATGGGTGTATCAGACTCAACTAAAATACCACTATGATTCTATACAGCAGTTCTTGGCATTTTGGTGCTTGCCCATAACCTTTCTCAGAGATAACTCCTTTTCTTCCTCTAAGTGAGTGCCTTATTCCGAGCAACTTCTTTTAAAAAAGGAACAAACCTGAGATTTATCCAAACAAGACCCTAGTACAAATGACGAGCGGACTGCATCAAGCAGACGAGTTGCAATTTTCTTCCTACGCATTGGACCATATGTCCATATTCTCGATACACCACATACAGCAGGTGTAAGTCTGTGATCAGTGAAACACAACACATTTTTGGCAGATGACTCTTCTGTACTTTTTCCAGGAATTAATCGATGCGCACCTGATATTTTTTCTGCGATCAAGCATCCTGCAATCTGAAAGATATTTTTTATGAGTCTCATGTAATACTTTCGTACAGCTTTATCTTTGAATAACAATAAATCTATTCAAATTCACACAAATAAATAATATAACCGCTTGATTTGAATATGGTTGGACTCCTCTTCATCACACCAATCATTACCCTGCGTGGATTCGCAGGTTTGAATCCTGTGAGGATGATTATGTGTGAGAGGACTGCTGAATTCCTCATCGACATAGGTTTGTTCATGTAACCACTGGTTGTGACCTCAACCATCAACTTCATGCATCTGAAGCAAAAATCTGGCAACTAACCCCATACTCGACAGGGACTGATGACTGGACGAGAAGTCGTGGTTCACCACAAGATGAAACCATCTCATCATCTTTCCCTCGGGATAAATATGTAAATCCTATCATATCTGATACAGACTGGTGATAGGGCATGGGCCCAACCTATTATAAGTTGTCTTGTCGGCTTTCCTCTCCTCTGGGATAAATGCAAAATCCTTTACTATTTGGATTTCCAAGTTGTTTAATAATGAGCTAGAACAGTCTTGACGTAATATAGTTTCTAACCTTTTCAGTATCAGAAATAAAGAAATAAGCAATTCTTGATGACACGAGTCCAGTCTTTACAGTCTTGAAACCCAAATCAATGTCAACGATGGTCAGAATGTCAGCAACCTATTTAAAATATTCAAAATTGAAATTTATTCAAGTTGTTTAACAATTATATACAAGCAAAAGTCAAGAAATTTTTTCTAAAAAAACGAGAAAGCACAGTATTTGTTGATAAATGCATTATATCTAAATATTATGTCATGATAAGATTCCTATATTGAACACATATTCTCATACAGGGATGTTGATTACACATATTAAATTGGATTTGACAGCATATGCATAAGTTGTTTTAGAGTTTGGAAGCAAGTGAGAAATAGTAATTTTACCTTTTTAACAGCGTATTTTGGATCATTTGGTGTAACTTTAATAATTCTTCCATCCATAAAACTAGACACAATTCTTTCATTTTTCCAACCTAAAAATCTGCAAAAAAATGACAATATGGACAACATAAAGTGTTGATTCAGTTATTTCCACAGATTAGACAATGAAAGGTGGTTTGTGCTATATTCTTGATAACTCAAACAAATACAGGGATTAAATGTCATAGGCTAGAATGAAGCCATCTTTCTTTAACAGTGACAGTATATATTTAATAAATGTTTTTATTGAGTTTAATTGTTACAAGACTGAGAAAAGTCTATAATTTGCTATTTTGCTTTTAAGCGAATTTATCAAAATAGGAAAAACTCACTTGACAAAATTAAGGAATCTTTTGTGATAATTGATATGATCCTTTTCGTCATCTGGATGATTAGCTGAATATACCATTCCACACATTGAACATTGTGTTGCTCCAAACCTTTTCTGACCTAGGAGTTTAAAAGTTGTTTAATTCAAATTAAGTTAACATGTTCAATTACGATTGCCTTATGAGTAATCAACTAATCATTATTCACTAATAAAGGCTGAAACATTCTTATTATGATTTCCATTGAAAGAAAAAAATACACAAATTCAGTTTCTCTTGTTCGAAGAGCTGTGGTAACTGGTAATAATTTTTTTCATTCTCATTTCCACATGCATGTGAAAGCAACGGAGCTCAAGAGTAAAAACCATTTTCTTTAAATTTGGTCTATTTTCCTGATATATCATTTTTTTTAAATGGAGTAAAGAAAAATTTGTTGAAAACTGAAATGGTGCATGTACGAAATGTTAAAAAAAGTTTCCAGACTGGTATTTTTCAGAAATAATATTTGATATGATCCAGCCAGAATTATTGTTTTATTTCATGATTTGATCGAAAATATAGAATAGCAAACTCTATAAAGCATAGGGTTTTGAACAAGATCCTCTAGTTCTTCGAAAAAAATCGTGATTCATTCAGAAAAAAGATTGTATTTTACCTGCATCTATAATCATTTGTTTACTTGGAGGACTGCTCTTTTTCACGTTGTTTTTTGCTTTATGATTACCGGCTAATGTAGATGACAAGTTTTCAGGTGTAATGGGAGAAACTAGGAGACAAATCAAAAATTATCAAAAAATAATTAAATATGAATCGAAATTTGACTGACATAGATAACACTCGTGAGTTTATTGTTCCAGACCTAAAACATAAAATCAAAACTAAAGTTGGGGTTTAAATAAAAATTAGGGATTTACGTTTTATGAATGAAGATAAATGGCAAAATAGCTTATCCACGTTTGCCATGCAAAATAATAGGCTATTGAACAAGTTTCAAATAATTTAAAACAAAAACATAGAACTATCAATATATACATTGGTTAAACTAAGCCACAGCCCACAATACATTTCATTGTAGGAAAATTTTTTAGAATTGTACAATTTATGATGACATGGCTAAAACTATCCCCAAAATAGCAATGGTTCACATAACGCTATTCTGGCAGGGCTGGGCATTTAAATCGAATAGTAAATAATTCGAATTGGTTCAGATGAAAATGTTGAATTGCCACCATCTTGTTTTTTATTTGGCCGACAAAATTCCAGGTGAATTTCTCATTTTTTTGTTTTGTTCATTGAAGCCATACTTTTACAATGCAATTCCGACATGATGCGACTCTTCTCTTTTAATAAGTGAGTTATTGATAAAACATATTTCTCATTGTGTGAAAGCATTCGCAAACTGTCTGAATAATGGATTCTATGTTTTCAGTAATTTATGTGCCTGGAAGCCCATCACAATAAAAAATTCACATACAATAGAATGTCTTCCCAGTTCCCAGTATTCGAGATTCGATTCTGAAATCACGAGGTATTCGAAAATGCCCAGCCCTAGTATACACAATATTCGTAACCCAAATTAATACTCAAACTTAGTTTAAGTTTCCTACTTATTTTCTTACTCAATTGACTTTTCTCATTGTCAGTTTGATCACAATTTTCTGTTTGTTTATTTTCTTTTACACTATGCTTGTTGAAGATTGGAAAAAATTTGCTAGTGCTGTTTTTGTGGTCCAAACTCTTGTCCTTCTGTGTCTAAAAGAGTAAGATGTTGAATATTATCTATTATATTTCAATAAAGTTTTGAAACGAGACTATATCAGGTTGCAGTGATGGATCTATGTGTAACCGCCCTTGATTCTGTTAGAAGAAAATTATTTCGAAACTTTCAAAATTATCAGATACAATGCCAAACTCATTACTCTTTCAGAATTTGATCGCCATTTTTTCTCGGCACTGACTGTGTAGAGGCCCCCAATGCATTGTTTTAATGTTAGCCATGCATAATATTACATTACCTAACATTTGCAATTGACCAGCCTGGATGTTGAAATCACAATACATTACAAGGCTCAAGAGCCGGAACTGGAGCCCAGCTCCAAGGTAAAAAACAAATCTCCGATACTGTTGCGTATGAGCCAGAGCCGAGTCAGCGTTCTAACAAACTCTGTACAGTGTGATGAAAATAGACATCTGTTCATGTCAAAATCAACCAATAGCATCATGAAAAATTTGACACAATTTGAAGTAAAAAAATAGCTACTAACTTTCAGTTGCTTGATTTCTTCAGCTGGTACTGAACGTTCCAAATTTATAATAGAAGTAGTGTCACGATGAACAGTATCAATTTTACGCATTTTAGCAGGGGGTTCAGCTTCAATCTCATCACTCACATCATCTTTAACACAGAAAGATGAACTTTTACAATCATTATCATCTTGTGGATATTCATTTGAAATGTTCGGTAGGCTTCGGTTGAGATTATCATATGATAAATTCATTATAGATTTCAATTTTGGAGATTCCAAAAAAATTTTAGTTTTCGAAGTTTTTGATATCCAATGATCTTTAAAATAGCTCCTGCCAAGGGACTTAGGTGCCCAATTGTACTTTCGGACTGCCATTTTCTTGGGAGTCGATTGCTTGTTTTCCTTTGCAGTCTTTGTGGTTTTTAGATAAAGTCGACGATTTGTACTTTTTATTGAATTTTTCTGTGTTTTTATATTTTCTTTGTCATCTTTCATTGGTGTATTATCCAGAAACTTATTTTCAAGTTCAATATTCCTGATATCTCTAATTGCTTTCCGCTCAAGTGGAGTCAAGTAATGCTTCATTTTTCCGTCACTCACAGTCGATTTATGATAAAATGATTTCAGTGGTTTTTCATTCAGCATATCTGCCATTATAAGCTTAAATGTACCTAAATAATTAGAGAAAGAGTTTATTCAATTCGTCAAACAACATACAAACATATAACATTCAATACATGCAATCATATATGAATAATAAATAGATATGATGGTTAGGTGTATGACTGGGAGGCAACGATACGACCTTTTGGGGTCATCAAGAGTCTGTTGCCCCTCCATACAATTATATTCTTAGTAATAAAATGAGTCAACAGGTTCAGTGTTAAATTCTTCAATACCTTTCATTTATTCACTATATACACTTTTTACAAGAAATTCCTAATTTGGAAGCATTAAAAAATATTGGTTTGTCGTAAGATATTCCATGCACCATTTATCCAGCTGCCAATTTGACATGTATTGCATATCTACTGCATAAAACTATGCAAAATATAGAAATGGGTTAGCAAGGATACCAATTATTTGGACAATTTGTCTATTAATAATGAAAGAAACATGGACATGGATTTTGAATATGTAAAGATGGGATAAATTTTATTATAATATACGCAAAATCAGTACAATAAAATCAGGAGCACATGTGGGGCTGACTAAACAAATATGTATAACATAATATATTTTCACAATACAATTTATCAATTCAGACCAGTTAAGCAAATTTTGCGATAATTTGTGACTTTGTACAATTGTATTAAAGGTTGAGCATAGGTTCAATGAAGAATTATTGGTTCGAGGGTTGATGGAAAAAAGCTAATTAGTTGGCATGGCAACTTTTAAAGCTTAGACATAATGTAGAAAAATATAGGACGTAACATTCTTTAACAATGTACCTATACATTTTATTATTTATTTATTTGGGCCACTTTAATTATGAACATTATGAAATTCCTTGAGACGGTTCTATAGAACCTGTGCGAGCCGGCTGAATCCAACCACTGGATGTAGTGTTTAGATCTCACTACAAATTAATTGTTGATTGGTTGGTCGGATAGGTTGCGTCTGAACCTGAACCGTCCATCTGTCAATAGTCTCCGACCGTAGATAATAGTCAGTTGAAACACCTTATGAGTTTTTATTGCAATTCCGACAATATAAGTTGATTAAGGCCTATAGGATAGGGTTCATCCCGGTGGAGAGGAAAGCCGATAAGATGACTTAAACATATGGCGAACCACAGCCTCTCGTCCGGTTACCATTCCATGTCGGATATGGAATTAGTTAGTTATTTGTTTCCGGAAGCATGGACACGATGGTGGAGAAAGCCGTAACCGACCAGCGGTTACGTGAACCAAACAGAGTAATCAGAGGTGCGGTGACAAGCGTATTTCTAACGCTTAGCATGATGAGCCGCACCGACGCCAATAACGTTAGGAACATAGCAGAATATATAAGTTTCTACAGAGCAATTAAAACATGATCAAGAAACAGATTTTTACATTAACAATGAAAGAATAACAGGTTATTCCGGTTTCTGAGCAATTTTCGGTTTTCCTATAATCATACATTATTAAAAGTATTTTCCGAAAACTTAGTACTTGCAATTAACTTGTTATTGTCAAGTCGTAACGATGAGAATGTGTATTTGGTCACGTCCCAACTCAAATTATACAAATTAAAAAATTGTTCCCAATTAGATAATCAGTCTTTACAGACTGTTTCGAATTTACGTTATTATAATTTTACTGGAAATAAAATTTATCTTTACATTGAATGGTACCCAAAGGCTATTAAAACTTGAATTTGGATTTCACGAAACTTAAATTACAATTGCTGAATTGTGGGAATAATTAATGCTGTTTTTCATTAGTTTCTCACGAATTGGGTCAATTTGGTGTAGGTAGTTTTGTAGTTGCATAACAACTAATTGGCTACAATGAGACTTGAGTATCCATTATTAGACTAATAATATCATTGCATTTGCCTTGCCGTTGTAGTAAGGGCGATTAACACGTTATAATAATCGTATTGTTATGTCATAATGAAATTGTAAATCAAGACGTCCACCCTCCACCATGTCTGCACGTTGGCTTACGCGCTTATTTTTAGTTAGGCTGACAGGAAAGTGAGTTTTGGCTATCTGCTTACACAGTAACAAATTCTATTCAATCATCGATGCAAAGTCCATCAAACTAATCTAGTAATTTGCATCTTCATGGCTCTGTGAGCACGAGTTTTCTTCTCTGACTGAAATGAAAAGCAAAAAAATGAGCGACCGACCCTCGTTTCAATTATGTCTTTAAACAGGCACAATGTCTGAATGTCAACATCACATTAACATTTGCAGAACAATTTGTTTAAATCTCACTTTTTTACAAGTGTGCCGCAAAACCTCTTTATATGCTTAGTGCACGGCGAGCAAAAAAGTTTGAAAACCACTGCACTAGACAGTACCGTATGCGTCAACGAAAACTAAGCAAGTTTTCGCACCTACCGTACCTGTGTTAGCCCAGTACATTTCTACATTTGGTAACGGAGCAATATTTTGTATGGCATCTCATCATTCTGTCCTTGTTATCCTATCCTTGTATAAACAGCGCACATCGCAGATGCTGAAATGTTAATTCCGCCAGCCAAAACCAAAACTCCCGCCTCGCGGAGCTGAAGCCAACCATGACGAAATTAGCGAAATCGAAAAAACTGGGGCTATAACCAAGATTCGAAAACTAATCAGCAAAATAAAGGAAAAAATTTAATTCTGGATATGCGATGCCCTTGTAAATTGTCCCGTTCTCCTCATATATCTATTTCAATTTTATAATTTTTGATTCTTTCTGTTCTTTTTTTGGCAGTTATGATCACTAGATGTTATGCTTGCTAAGTTGATTATTCAGCATTTTTTGTTGAATTGCTGTTTATTGGTGTATTACTGTACTTGTTATGTTCCAAGAAATTGATAGGTCAGAAATACAGTTAAAATAAGATCTCAAAAAGACCTAAAATCCAGGTGCTGAGGTAACAACAATTTCCGAAACTTGCGTTCTGCATGGTGTAAAATGCAAAGGGGAAGCCTGGAATTTTCACCTATATTTCAAACAATATTCAAATACAATACCATAAGAATTGTAACAATGAGTATTTATAGTATTAAGAAGTAACTTTCATAGTAACCGTTATTGTAAACCATTTACAATTTAACCTAACTAATATCATAAAAACATATTGCAATTTGTAATACATTATTAATGATCTACTAAAATTATTATCAAAGAAATAGCCTAATAGTTATCTCGGTATTTACATTATTTGTGAAAAATGTTAACACTTTCTGATATTTGCTCGGTAAATAAAAAGTTATCCATTGCGGAGCGCGATGGAGTAGGGTGCTTTGACAAAGAATATTCGACTTCTATGGAACGGCGTGGTTGAATAAACCAAAACAGAAACAGATTGTTCATATAATGACTTAAACATGTATTTATGTATGTAGACCGTGTGGATGTTCTGCGATACCCAGTTATCAGTATAGGCTGCATCAGTTTTGTTCAACTTATTTTAGAGATTTATTTTTAAGCCGGATTACCATGTTGAGCTAAAAATCAGAATACATATTGGGTAAAGTTACTGAATAGATTTGTTGTGAAAAAAATCTCTATTTTGCCAACTTAATGAATATAAAGCATCTATTGATTTGGGTAAATTATCAGCTATGAAGATAATATGTGCGGGACTCCAGAAAACTGGAACGAAGTCATTAGCTGAAGCTTTACGAATACTCGGATATAACGTACATGATGTCTTTGAGCAATTTTACTACGAAAAAGAGTTATGGAACAAGGTATTTAACAAAACCAAAAGTGTATCACTCTGTAGTGTCCTGAACATCTTTTGACTATTGCCATTGATTCAGATTCTCCGTAATACAGCTGTCATTGCTGATTATCAAAGAATTCTCGAGGATGTAGATGCTGTAATGGACTTCCCTGCAGTAGCTGTATGGGAGAAAATTATGGAAGCATTTCCCGAAGCCAAAGTAAGCTATTTACATTACGTCATAAGCACACATTACTACGTCGGTACTTTATAGTTTTATACATGTCGGTATTTATGCAATATAAATATGCATTTTATTATAGACTGGAGAAGCATAGTATCAATGTTGGGTCTTTAGGAGCGACGTGTTCAATTATCTATGTCAATTGTATAGGCCTATATATATTGCGTTATCAATTTGAATTCTCTTCAAGCCACATTGCTTTTTTTAGATAATTTTAACAATCCGATCCAACGAAGATGATTGGTACACAAGCATTAAAAACCACATCGAAGTCATTAACCAATATATTCCGTGAGTACGTCTCTAAAAATAAGTTAGATTTTTCTGATATTACACTATCGATAGGGCTTTGTTGCCATACTTGCAGCAGGTCAAACTCTGATTGACACCGATTGCCACATGCCTCATTGATAGAACATGGAAACGCTTTCTCTCCTCAGGCAATGAGCATATATACAATGAGTGGAAACTTGCAAAGATTTGCTCATTTTGGTATTGTTCCCTGCATTTTTTACGTCGTCCGGCTAAATGGTTCGTTGCATATTAAGAAAACGCATTGCTCGCTGCCAAAATCCATTGCTTCAGCCGAGTCGGGTGCGAAATTGGCCGTATTGAGGTCTTTAATTCTTCAATACATATTTGGTTTTGTGTTTCGAAGTATGGTACGCTGGAAGCATACAACTATGAGCATATGCTTATTGGGAATGCATATCTATTAGACAGAAAACGTAGCTACAGTACAGAATATGAACCAGTCGCCCAGTGGGGTGCGGTTATTTATGTATTTATTAGGATAATGAGGATAAGGATTTACATATTTATCCCGGGGGAAAGGAAAGCCGATAAGATGACTTATCCATATGGCGAACCACGGCCTCTCGTCCGGTTACCATTCCAAGTCGGGTATGGGATTAGTTATATTCTTTGTTTTCGGATGCATGGACTTGGTGGTGGAGGAAGCCGTAATCGACCAGCGGTTACGTGAATCACCCAATGGCGGCGAGGAGTCCAGCAATCCTTTTGCACATAACCATCCCTGCATGGGATTCGAACCTGCGGACCCATGCAGAGTAATTAGAGGTGCGGTGGCGAGCGTATTCCTAACGCTTAGCCCGTTGAGCCACACCGCCGCGCATGGATTTACATATTTATCCAATGGGAGAGGAAAGCCGAGAAGAATGCCTAAACATATGGCAAACCACGGCCTCTCTCAATCATAGCTCTGTGCTCCATATGAATCACATGGCTCTGCGAGCTATTCGTTTACTTATTAAAAATACTGATTTTAACTATTTCTCTGGGATATCTTGCCATTGAAAACAAAAGCCAGAAATTGGAAGAATAGCAGAGAATGAAATGTGTGTATTATGTAATGGAGAACCTGAGTTTGTTTCACATATTTTCATGTATTGTAAATTTACAAAAAATATTTATGAAGATTTAGTTTTAGATATATTAAAATTGATTAGAATACATTTTGTTATCAATATGATTCTTGCATATTATTTAATTTCAACGATCCTTTATATAGTCATATAGATACTGTTGATTTGGATGCAATTATACTTTTGTAATCAATAGTGAGATATAAAATTTTGACCATGAGAAATTCTATTATATTCGAAAATAAAACACCCCATTTTGCCTTTCTCAAAAAGCAGATAAAAATGGCCATAATATGTAGAAAAATATAGAGAATTATAGAATAAACAACCCATTTGAGAGGGAATTGAAAAATTTATGTAAAGCGTTATTTCAAAAAGAAAATTATATGTTTATGATATGTATTTTATATTTACTAATTTCATTTTTATTGTTTTACATCAATGCATTTATTAAAATAACCTAATTATGGTATGGATTACTACTGGAATTGAACAAAATAAATACTGAATCATGGATGCAAAATGGAATATGAACTTATTTATATTATATATAATTTTTTATATTAACCATAATCAAAATCACTCATTGAGTGAACGAATGAGCATACTGTAATGCTTATTGGGAATACATACCATCTATTAGGCAGAAAACTTAACTACAGAACAGAATATGAACCAGCCAAGTGGTGACCTGGGATATTGTATTCATTGATATAGATAGAGATAATTTATTTTGAAAAGTCCACAATCTGACAATACAAACAAATAAAAAATGGAGAATTCTGGAGAGCGAGCAAAACCTTTAAAAAAGTTTAAAACACGATGAGTATCATGTGCCCGCCGTGTTATAGCAAGTAGTAATGAATTTAATTCACTGTGGTAAATGAATTGCTATCTTTTTATTTGTTATGAGCACACTTGCTGAAACTCCATAATCTATTATTTTATTTGTTAGTAACAACTTTTATAAAAATATCAAATTGTTTATCATACTTGCATCCATATTTCGCCCTAAATTCTATGACACTTTCTCTGTATCCAAATAAATATGTACATGACCACATTATTTATTTTTTAGTAATACTTCATTTAAAAGTATCTTAATGTTTATTATACTTGCTATTCTGGTATTTAATCAGTTTTTTGCCTTGAATTTTATTCTATGATACTTGCTCTGTATCCAAATATCTATATGTATATGAGCACTTTATTTATTTTTTAGTACCGGTAATACTTATTTAAAAATAACCTATTGTTTATCATTGCTATTTCAGTATATTATCAATATTTCGCCTTAAAATTCATTCTATGATACGTGCTCTGTAGCCGAATATAGATAGGTACATGAGCACTTTATTTCATATATATATCTGCTGGAGAAGGGTCAAATCCTGATCATGTATTATTGTTTGTCACTATCCTCCAAATCACTTGCCAGTCATAATCAAGTATTATAATTTGATGTGTTCAAATTATAGTGTATAAAGAAATATACTCATGATTTCATTACTATTATCAAATGTTTATAATTAAAGTGCTATAATAATAGAATTTTCCTCATCTTTGCTCATAAAAAACCCATGTCCTATCACATTCATTTTTAGTAGACAAATTTTCCAAATAATAGGTATCCTTGCTAACCCATTTTATGCAGTTGATATGCAATACATGTCAACTTATCAGCTGAATAAATGATGATCTTAGGACAAAACATGATTATTTAGTACTTTCCAAATCAAAAATTCTTGTGAATAATGTATATAGTGAATACGGTATATGAGAGCTATTGAAGAATTTAACACCGAACCTGTTAAATGACCCCAAATGTTGTAACGTTGTCTCCCAGTCAAACACCTGAGCATCTGTTTTTTTTTATTATAATTTATATATGTTCATGGTTTGACGAACGAAATAAACTCTCTCTCTCTATTAGTTTAAAATACTGTCTTCTGGACTTGGCTAATTTTATACATATCAAAACTTGTAAATATTTGCATATCAAAACTTGTCATTTATTTCGTTCCATCCATGTATTTTCAACTGTTTTTCCAATAAAACGTACTTATGCCTTACTGTTACTACTGTTATTTGTAGCTTATTATTGTTAGCTAACTATTTTGAGGTGGGGCGCAAGACTTCACAAATTCTAAAAAGGGGGTGCGGCTTGAAAAGTTTGGGAATGTTTGTATGTAGTAGACCCTAACCTGGTACACATGGTTCCGGTGTCTACCAACTGGGTTTACATACTTCAATTTGAATTACAGTGGTAAAACAGAAAAAAGCTGAATGTCGGTCTTATTCCATCTGTAAATTTACCAAAATCTCCACAAAGAATGAACAATGTGCCAGACCATGTGTATTATCGATGAAATGAAAAGTGACATATAAAAAATACAGAAGCTGTAGAAAATATTTTGCATTCCAAAAAAATTAGTTCACATATTAAATATTTTACATTACAAAAAAAATGGTGCTCCAGAAGTATGTGTATCAATATGAAGGTAACTAATTTTGTTCGCCTATTTTATATCAAGTTGTGTAAATGGACTAAATTCTATCGGTAGGGGATATTCACTTGTGTAACACAGACAATTCCCGAACTTTTAATAGAACAAAAATAAGAAAATCGTAACCTAACCTGGTACCCATACTACAAGAGTACCGAAAAAACAGCCCACATAGTAAAAGCAGTTATGGAAATACTTTACATTACAGAAAAATTAATTCACATAGTAAATAGCAGACGCAAGATGTATTTTGCATTGCAGAAAAAATAGCTCACATAGTTAATAGCAGTCCTGAAATATTTCTCACTATTGATAACAAAAGTATAATTGCATCCAAATCAACAGTATCAGACTATATAAAGGATCGTTAAAATAAAATGATATGCAAGAATCATATTGATAACAAAATGTATTCTAATCAATTTTAATATATCTAAAACAAATTCTTCATAAATATTTTTTGTAATTTACAATACATGAAAATATGTGAAACAAACTCAGGTTCTTCATTACATAATACACACATTTCATTCCCTGATTTTCTTCCAATTTCTGGCTTTTGTTTTCAAAGGCAAGATATCCCAGAGTAATTTATAGTTAAAATCAGTATTTTTAATAAGTAAACGAATAGCTCGCGGAACCATGTGATTCATATGGAGGACAGAGCTATGATTGTGAGAGGCCGTGGTATATTTAGGCATTCTTCTCGGCTTTCCTCTCCCATGGATAAATATGTAAATCCCATGTTATATCAATGAATAAATACATAAATAACCGCACCCCTCTCGGCGACTGGTTCATATTCTGTTCTGTAGACGTTTTCTGCCTAATAGATATGCATTCCCAATAAGCATATGCTCATAGTTGTATGCTTTCAGCGTACCATACTTCGGAACCCAAAACCAAATATGTATTGAAGAATTACAGACCTCAATACGGCCAATTTCGCACCCGACTCGGCTGAAGAATGCGTTTTCTTAATATGCAACGAACCATTTAGCTGGACGACGTAAAAATGCAGGGAACAATACCAAAATGAGCAAATCTTTGCAAGTTTCCACTCATTGTATATATGCTCATTGCCTCAGGGTTATCCATTTAATAAAGGAAGAGTACATATTTCACTCACCCACAAAATCTGCACCACATATTGAACACAATTGATCAAATTTAAGGGTATAATAAAGACAAAGAGTGTCAATTTAGGCTATTTAGGCGAAAAGTTCTTTTTATTGCAATTCGCATCAAATATATACAATCTATAAATTCTTTATACACCACAAATTTTATTCTGTTATTTCAGGCAAAGTGAATTATTACAACAACTTCTTCATGTGATATTGGGTCCCACGCGACAAGAATTTATTCGATATGAATCTGGATTTATACCTGCTTGCATTGGAATGGCAAGGATGTGTGGAACACCTAAAGAGCCGATTCTCAGGTAAACATAGGAAAATTGGTAAAACCTATAGATAACACGTACGACGTCATTCAGATTTGCAAGTTGAAGCTTCGTCACGAGATTAGCAATTTGGCACTCTATATTTAAATTTAAAAGTTTTTTGGCAGTGAAATAACTTGAGAATTTAGATTTTCATCTTTGTTGTTCAACAGATCTCGTTATCGACAGCATAATTGCTATGTCAAGTCAGCTTGCGAGAAAACGAAACTGTTGATATATAACGTAAAAGATGGTTGGGAACCTCTTTGCCATTTCCTTAACAAGAAAATACCAGATAGACCTTTTCCAAAGAGGAACATAAAAGGCGGAATGGTTCATGAAGTTGCCCAACAGAAATGGGAACACGATTGTGGTTACGCCAAAGCTGTGAACAGAGAAGCGTTGATCAGAATTGGATTTTTGATAAGTGTGTTGGTTTCAATATTATCTGTCATCTTGTACTTTTTCACAATATAATATTCATATATTATAATATAATATTATCTGTCATCTTGTACTTTTCACAATATATTATTCAGATGCAATGCACGTACACGAAACACTTGTCTATGGTAGGCTATATATAGACTTGTGTATTGTTCCAAGATTGCTCAGTTGTACCTGCTAACCTACAACGCCAGTAAAATGACTTATTTTAAAGATACAAGGTATTTTACAAGAAAAATAAAAGTTTTAGCTGGAAGTATACAATTGTTACACACTTTGAAGGAACCGTGCTATGCAAACATACAGTAATCGAAAGCCTTGGTGCACGTATGAAAGTCACTGAACTGAAACAAAGTCTTATTTGTCCAGGCGTCTTGTGGAGATGAGGAGTCCGTGAATCCTTTTGCAACAAAACTATCTCTGAAACGGCACGAACGACCGATTTCTCTGAAAGAATTACATATTGGCAATTAAAGGGCATAAGACTAGTCTTGGAAAACAAAAATAAATTAATTATACTTAAGTATACTGAGAGCGATAATTCACAAAGTGAACACAGGAAAGGATTTGTTCGGAATGTTGATAGCTCAGAACATCGGGACTAATCAAACTGTGTTGGTTAATATTGTTGATGTCGCGTCTGGGAATTATTCTATCCAATAAAACTGCCGGTGTGCGTTGACTTGATAAATGTACAATAGACACCAGTCTATGAGGTCATACCCGACAACAGCACATCTTTGATAATACGATAAATGTGCTACTCAATTAACAATACAGAGTACAGACTGTAGGTACGCATATTTGAATAAACTATGACATAGCTGTAATGAATATTTACCAATAAAATCACCCCACAATGTTTTTTCCTGAATTCATTGTAAGATTAGTTCAATTTGGTAAATCTAATTTTTTTTTCGAATAACAAATATCCAGCTTGTACCAATAACGATACAAACGGTATATCCAAGTGCTATATCATAACATTACTAAGCCTACACGTCCCATAAACCAAACTTGATTTTCAGTGCCTCTATCCTTTTGTTTTCAAATATTTTTTCATCGGTACGTCGCATGGCCGGAGAGTTTTTGCAAAGGCGTCTTAACACAAAAATTTGAGAACCACTGCTTTACGACGTCTAAATTTCCATGTTTTTTATTTTCCATGTTTGTTGTATATAGAACCTATTTCATTGCATTTCCAAATTTTCCTGTTACAATGGTCCTTGCATAATAAATGACATTTTCAGTTAAATTTTTTATTTAACAAACTGATAGCTTCTAGCTGAATGATGCTCATATCATGGCATATTATTTCATCTACTTTACGCTAGCTGCAAGTCCTTTTTCATATTTCAATCAACAGCCGTATAGGAATTTCCGTAATACTCCAATTCGTCAACGAGTAGGGTCTCATTCTATAAAAATAATCTGGCGATGCTTTCTTGATTATTCAATATGTGACGTGAGTAATATAGTTTGCACCAACTTTAATTTGATTAGTGCGTCGACGACTCGACTTGTTATGCGCAAGCAATATGTAAAGGTTTACCGCCGAATGATGCTCATATCATGGCATTTTATTTCATCTACTTTACGCTAGTTGCAAGTCCTTTTTCATATTTCAATCAACAGCCGTATAGGAATTTCCGTAATACTCCAATTCGTTAACGAGTAGGGTCTCATCCTATAAAAATAATCTGGCGATGTTTTTTGATTATTTAATATGTGACGTGAGTAATATAGTTTGCACCAACTGTAATTTGATTAGTTCGTCGACGACCCGACAGTTTACTGCCAATAGCTAAAGAATAGTCCCATGAATAGCGATTCTCACAGTCATCGTTGGCAGCAACATATTCCCCATGTTATCACAATCAACTGTTGTGGGGTTTTATCTTATGGCATCATAGATTACAACCTATTGTATGTATTCATGCACCACGAGCGTCTGACATTGTACGCATCGTCACGTACAAATAAGATGTAGAGACTTACCACTGAATGATGCCTATATCACAGTAATTTATTACATAATACTTTTCACTTATTGTAAGTAACTTCTATCAAAAGCCGTTTTGGAGTTTCTGAGAGTCATTTTTAACGCACTCATAATATCAATATGACTTCCAAGCTTGCGACTTCTAGATGTAACCGAACCGCATCGGTACTTACCGTAATATGCAGAAAGTGCATGAATATGAAATGGATTGGCGGTGTTTGGACATCACTTAAATGGCTTTATATGTATATTGAGTTGGTTATAAGTACATAATACATTGGCTGTATATGTACATTACTTGGATGTCTTCATATGTATATTAAATGCGTAGTATATGCATATGACATCGCCTTGGACTATACATACATATATATATGACATTGGCTTATTGTGTACAGTACTTGAGTTGCTGTATATATGAGTCCATATGAGCGTACTGCATTGGCTGTGAATGTGCATTACTAGATTGGCCGTATTTGTATATCAATTAGGCAGTATATGCATATGATATTGATTTTTGTATGTGCATCCCTTTCACATGTCTTTATGTGTATTGTGTACATTAACTGAATGGCCCTATATGTATATTTAATTGACTGTATATACATATGACATTGACTGTATATGCATATTTGGTTGGCGCCATGAGTATATTTTTTACTGTATATGTATATCACGTTACCAACCCCACTCATTTATACTGGAGACGCCTGAAGAAATTACACCGCAATGATCAAATGACGTAGGTTATCAGTTTATTAATGTTGTTTCATATGTATGCATTTTTATATGGTCTATGATTTAGGCTAATTTTGAAATAAAAAAGATCATAATTTGCGATAAACGTAAATAATTGCCATCAGCTTATTTCCAACTGAAAATTCCACTGCACAATGCTGCATCAGTTTTTCTTCGATTTTTTCGATTTCTGCTTCTTTAACAAGTTCGTCCAATGTCTTTTCCATTCGATATTTATATTCATTTTCGTGATCTGTATGTCGGATGTTCCACAGAGCATATCCACCTGGTTTGAGTGCGCGAACTAATGGCTGTTAACATTAAAAATGAAATTCATTTTTTAACATGTTTTATAAAACACCATTGATACTGCATGTTATCATTCACAAGACGGTGGATGAAATCAAACTTTACCCGACGGCAACTTTGTTCGGGTTTTAACTTTATAGATCTGTGGTTGAAAAAGTTTGATTCTCACTTCAATTTGAGGCGGCAATACTGAGATCTCAGAATTTTCACTACAAAAACGTGGGGGTTACTATTAAACATTCAACTATAGGAACTATCGAATATGCACTCTGACGCTAGTATACTCAATAAACTGTAGGCTCCACAGCACTGGCTTATCAATCATAGTAGCATATACATATGAAGCATTTAAAACATTTCTTCTTGTTTATACTAATAGTATCATAGTTATGCATACCTAAACGATATAAAGACGGTTTTGATTTTTAAAGAAAACGCTTACACGAGCCTAAACTTAGATCTAGTCCAATATTAGGATCAATACCGTGACACATTCAGGTTCCATGTGACCACTCATCATTGTTCCCGCACAAATTACTGCATCGTACAGGCCATACTCAAGAGGAATTGGTTTGTCAGGGAAAACGCCAATATTATAATGTCCCCTGTTGAAAGCGTAAATAAACTATTAAGAATGGTTTGAAGTGTTGTTTTCCTAGGTAAATTAGTATTTGATGGATTTCCCCCGCTGACCGACCCCAGAAAAAATATCCCTATACATAAGTATTATATTAGATAGTATTATGGTATTTGACACGTTTCTTTAAAATTATTACTTTGTCGGAAAATATTCAATTTTTCATCATTGGATATGAAAGAAGTCTCCAAAACGCTGCTACTTTTATTCAATTATTTCCGTGTTCTGTGGTGGCCAATATTTCAAATTTTGCTGTTCTTATTTAATTTATGGAACACTATCCGGTACAATTATTTTAATATTTGGCTGCAATTTTGCTGAAAGTGATATAATTCTCACCTATATATGAATTTAGATCTAGCAACGTCCAACATAGCCCTATTTATATCCAATGCGTCTATGATTCCTTTGAATCCTTGCTTTTTCAAGACCTCTCCACATTTTCCGGTTCCTAAATCGAATGATATCAATGCTGTGTGATGGTTTGTTCTACATTTACACATTCTACCAAATTAGTGACATATGCTAATATACATTGAATTGTTAGAATATCTACAGCACAGTAAAAGTATATTGACTTATTTATACTACTGGGATATCATTTGACCGGGCATTCATTTATATTGCGATTAATACCCGTTCAGAATAAACGTAAGGGATATTAATATCAACATTTATGTACTTCAGAAATAAGGTTGTTTTAGAAGTTATAGTAACTCTGGCTACATAGCCCATATGAAAAGATATAGAAAAGGGATGTCGAAGTAATGAGATCAGCCCCATTGAAAAACAAAATATATATATAATGTGTTTATCAACTCAGAGATATATTCTACGATTGGTATGAAGTAGAGATGTACCGATACCACTTTTGTCGCCGATACCGATACCGATCCGATACCAGCTAAAAACGCCGATACCGATACCAATACTATGAGAAGGCCGATATTACCGATATTCCAATACCGATACTATGTAATTATTACTTAATTAGGGGTGCTGTGTAGGGCAGACGGGTTAAAACAATGGTCTTTGAGCGTTGTTCATAGTACACATTATTTCAGATCGAAAAAAAAGACATATCACATAATATGAAATTAATGTTTGGAGTTTGCTTTAACTGATTAAGATACATTGTACAGTAACGCTAGTGATCTCGGTGTTCAATTAAAAAACTCATAAGCCGGGATGTCAAATTTGAATTTAATGTTGATATCGCGACCTTCGAATATCGTTATTCGTGTTTAAAAGAATATCGAATATCACCCACATATTCTAGCGCCGCCGTCCTACGTTCAAATTAAAAGCCTTTTACAAATATTGTATTTCGTGGCTAATCGTAATCGTCGACGCAATAAGTCAAAGGCAACATGAATAAAGAATATCAATCAGCACCAACAAAAAGAAGGCCTACCTATAACCGTCGAGAGGTTTTTTTAGTAAAAAATAACATGATCTCTTTCAACGAATAGATTTTATAATATTTTACAATTGCAATCATATATTTTGAGACAGTCTAGGGCTAGGCGGTCATGTCACAATATATCTATAAAGTAGTTGTGTAGTTAAACAAAATTAAAATTAATACCTGCGTAGAGAGATAATTGTGTCGGAATTTAGTTTATCGATGTCCACGGACTAAATGACACTCGTACTTGACGACAAACAGTCAGAATTTATACCCGTGCCAAAAGGATATGTGCCGTTAATAAGGACCCCAATTCCACTGTATGATTTAAAACCGGACGCCTGATTGCTTTTTGTTATGTGCTGTGTTGATATATTTCTTCATAATTACTATGTAATATTAAAAATGTCAATATAAAAATTTGACAGCGAAAATATCTAAATTAGTTGAGCTAGTTTGGCTGATAAATAGCTAAAAACACGTGAATATTCTCTCACGGGGGGTGGGAACATGTATGGCTCATAGCTCACAATCTCTCCAGACAAAAAATAAATTAAAAAGTAGTATTCCAACTAATCTTTTAAAACATTCTGGACCATATCAAAAAGGTAAATATATCGGAAATATCGGCCTTAATCTAACCGATACCGATACATGGCCGATACCGAAAAAATGGCCGATATTGCCGATACCGATACATCGGTACATCTCTAGTATGAAGTCCACAAAAACAACGAGTCACAGCGATTTGGGAAAAGATATTTCTATTATGAACGTACCGGAATTAAGAGTCATTCATATATTTTTAAAGATATGATCACTCCCACTTTGTAATTGAGCTATAAAGTCAATGCCATAATATTTTGTGTTATTCAATAAATATGTCAAAATAGACAACTCGACATTACCTGCTCCAATATCCAAAATTTGACTAGTCGGCGAGTTATTGACGTATTTCATCATTTTCCCGACCAGATTATCAGGAGTACAATATCCCGTCGTAATAACATCGTCGTCATACACCTTTGACCATTCTGTGTAAACCTGATTGGAATGAACGAAGCGAGTTGAATCCAAGTATCATTCATCATCATGGCTTGCCCCCAGACATTCAGATATTATTGCACGATAAGTGCATGGTCTACCCCAGTGGTCGGCAACCACCGGGCCGCGGCTCATCGCCAGTCCGCGGAAAGGTTACTGCCGGTCCGCAGAGAGGTGACACAAAAACGGACAAGGCCGTAATAAAACCTTTACAATCTAATCACAAACCCTACGACTAAAAAACATTGATTTTTAAAATTTAAAAATGTCTGGGAAACGGAGCGACGAGGGTCGTGCATTCCCAAGTGCTTGAACGGAAAAATATTTTTCTCTATTGCGCATTCCAAAACCGGTTTGCTCGATATGCCCAGTCAGCAGTTAGCATCGCAGTTGTTAAGGGTTTCAATGTTAAACTCGTTACGAAACGAGTCGTCGAAAATTCGACCCCGAGACCCGGGACTGCGCGACAGCTCAACTGTGCGACATTGCAAAACGTGTAATCTGCACGTTCGGAAGAGAGAGAGAGAGAGATTTATTGATTCGTCAACCAAAACAAATATAAATAAACACTGATTATGGTAAAGATCGGAGGGAGCGATACGACCATACGGTCATCCAAGTCAGCTCCCCCCTATATTCACTGTTATGCATAAGATTCACAGGTATTGGATGACAATGTGTGTAACGGCTAATTATAGAGTATGATACACTTAAATAATTGTAAAAAGGCACAATTACAAGGGGCTAATGATTGAAGTTAGTTATCAGGTTTGTTGATCCATGCATATTGAGAAAAAGTTACTAGGGGTCTAAGAATTAATAATATGGGAAACAAATTGTGATAATTATACCCAATGAGCGTATTTGAATAATTTTTATGGTATATGAAAAGGAATATAAATGAAATAAATAAATAATTAAAATATTGGATTTACGAAGATAGGATTAACTTTGGTTTATGAAAATCCATTATAACACAATGTGAATATGAAGATCAATTTCAATTACTACCGAAAGGGATTTTTCAAAGTACAAGAAGGGGGTTTGTAATCAAATATATAAATAACTAATATCATTAATTAACAAAGGATGAAAAATAGAACTTTGAAACCAATCGGGGGTCTGTAGAGATCTAAGTTCTAGTGTCTACAGAGCGTCAAAATTTCCCAAAAGTATATAGAATCAAATTCATCAATAGCGACAACAACAATCGCTAACTGCAAATTTCAAAGCAATTGGTTCAGCACTAAAAGACGATTTTTTCACAAGAAGAAAAAGAAAAATACCAACAACATAATACAAGATGGAAATGTGCAAATATAATGGGCACGAAAACTAAGACGACGTAGCATCAAATCTCTTACAGTACTGGTATAGTCTGATCACGAAATCACTGAAATACGGTCACGGAACCACTACACGGTGGGCATTTTTTTTATAATTTTGATGACATCATCAGGCCTAAATTAAAAGTGAAAAACACAATCCATAGCCTACTAGCGTAGTTGCAGTTGAAGAGAAAGGCGATTTTTTCACAAAAACAACAAGAAAAAGCAAAATGACAGCGCGTTCCATTTTGTGTCCAAAAAAACGACTTGGGTCCAATTCGTGTCGCATTATTAGCGAATGAAACGCTTTTGACGTGATGTCTTCACTACGCAGATGACTGAAAAACACAATCCATAGCCTACTAGCGTAGTTGCAGTTGAAGAGAAAGGCGATTTTTTCACAAAAACAACAAGAAAAGCAAAATGACAGCGCGTTCCATTTTGTGTCCAAAAAAACGACTTGGGTCCAATTCGTGTCGCATTATTAGCGAATGAAACGCTTTGACGTGATGTCTTCACTACGCAGATGACTGCTTCATCATTGGACAATTTCAATTTGCGCTCGATTTCTGCTACGTTGACTTTTAAAAATTTGAGTCTCGCAAATTAGGTCGATTTCATATAAACCATGAACCCCAAAAAAGTTATGTAATAATTTTCATTACGATAGTTTTTCCGGGATCGTTAAAATTAGCGATGTTCTACGCCGCATAAGTCACGCAGAGTTAGTCTTCTACGTTCGCGTGTATTTGCACCTCGGGTCGAAAAGAGAGATCAGCATTAACGAGCACGTAATATCGGCGACTGATTAAGAAGTCGTCTCTATTGAAAATCCCGACATATTTACTTCAAAACCATAACGTATCAATAAAGTTACTTACATCGTCGATATGTTTATTTGACTTCACATTAGCAGCTTTGGCAACATTTGCCCAGGCCTTTTTTTCTGCTTCAGACATTCTCTTCATAAGCTATTAAATAAAAGTCTGTTTGAAATAAAAATTTGAACGTTTATACAGATATTTATTCCTTTTTTATCATCAAATACGTTAAAATAGTTGAGAAGTGTCGTTTGCAAAATTGCGTTATAAATGAAAACATGTTATAACTATTCATGATATCATAAAATTTTTCAAATTAGTATGACATAAATTAAAGGCTATAGAAGCAAAGCGGAAACTTCCACTGGTTGCAAATTCAATAATGCAGCTGATTTCAATATCAGTGTTATGTCTACAATATATATCAATTGCCCAAATATAGTTATTACTGTAGTTTTTGCAGAAGACAGACCTTAGTACGAAAGTTCGCTGACAAAGCTGTAATGATAAAAGTTGCCTTGATTTTGGGACAGTGCAACCAATTTATTTGCAGTATTGACACTATCAAACGACATAAGTGGTTTCGCCTATTAAATAAATGACAAGTTGTTAATATGCAGCGTGTCTAAAATAAACATCCACGCAACGCTGGAGGGTCACGTTACATGTTCGTTGAATTGACGTGAAACAATGACCACGCGTGAAACTTGTGGGCGCGCAGGCTCACCGCGTTTCCCCGAAAATAAGACCTAGCCTGAATTTTAAAAATGATTCCAATACAAGACCTTCGCTTAAAATAAGACCTAGGCGATAGCGTAAACTTTTCTTGACCTAGCGTGTTGACGCAGGGGCTACGCTCATTTGCTAATTAAAGCGATATCATGCACACTAGAAAAAAAGGAAAAATGGATCTTAAATTTTGTTTAAGGCTTCCGCAAGAGATGAAAACGATAGCTTGGGTCCTATAAATCGCAAAGATTTACGCATTTTTCTTAGTTAGCAACAAGAACGACACCATACACACTGAAAATGGAAAACTCTAACTCCGCGTTCAATGTAACTTTTCATCTTTTGTCGGTTTCAAACGAGTCTTTTCAAAATTGGCGCCACCAATTTATGCCGGATCATGACGAAATGAAATCTAACAACAAGTTTTAATATTGCAACTAAAAAGAAAAAGAAAGGCAATTTGAATAAATTTACACAAAAAAGAATCAAATTCAATGTCCATGTTGCAGCGATTCACACTTTCTGTAATCTCTGCACACAGTTCAAAGATAAAGGCACTAAACAGCGTAAAGACCTTGTTTGAGAATGCAAGGCATGCTTCAACTGTCTGCGTGCAGGGCACAAGATGGAGGATTACTTAAACATGTCAAGATACCAGCTGTAGAAAAAAACATACACTTTTTTATGATGGAACTGATAATTCTAATGTGAAATCCTGCGGCTCCATTGAACCAGGGTTGAGGAATGTGCATGCAACGATGCTTGTTTTTCATTTGCATAGGCTTTCCTTAATTGCCCCACCTTGATGCACCACCGAGCTTCCTAAGAGATTCTGCATTTGAGGTGAGACAGAGGAGTGTACGATTCACAATTTTCCACCATCAGTGGTTCCAAGCCCTACACAGGAAAATAGGATTTTTCACAATTACTGGTATTTATAAGCCTAATGAAATATGCATGGATATTGTTTTAACCTTTAGTGTAATCCTGATTTACGTGACTCTATCCAAATCAGAAAATAAAGAAGCATTATGCACATTTACATGGTTTATCTTTCCCTAAAGTGGCACCATTGAAATGCTGATAGGTCCGAATGTATTGGGACAATACCCCATCTCAAACACCTATGCTGGCTAAAAAAGACGATCTGATCAGCGACATGCATCAAAGAAATACAGGTTACTCTGGAACTCTTCACGTTCTTGCATCAGTCAAAGATTTTGGATAGCAAGGGGACAATCGGTTGTTAGGACGGTGATTCGAGAATGTATATCATGTAGATTGTAGAAAAAGGAATAGGAAACTGGAATCAACATGTGATAGACAAAGCATTGTCAAAAAAAAAACCAATGGCACTTCTCATTCCAATGAATCAGCAGTTGAAAAACGATTGGTTCGAGAAGTCAAATAGGATTTTGAAGTTGGCAATTTTTAGTTGATGTTTGATGACAGCTCCCTTCGCTGTCATTGGCAAAAGGCTATTGCTGATGAGACATAACCAGACAAGCATGGTATTGTTAGAAGATGGAGGTCCACTCTGCCAATTCAACTATGTAGGCTAAGGTATTTTCGCAAGTTGTGCTTGTGTTAGAGGTCATATAATGAAACGCACATAACATACATGTTATTTTACATAACATGCACCTGATCAAACACACATCTTTATATATAATTCAACATGGTACAACAGAAAATACTCATGAATTCTCGTTTACCATGTTTATGTGTCTCTTATGGTGCTAATTTTTATGGATTATTTATCTCCGATTATTTTTATCGCTCAATATTCTGATATAGTAATAGCCCCAGTTATTACCTACATCCATGAAAGTGGTTACAAAATAACAAATGCAAATATTATGGTGATGCGAATGTGGAATAGTTACTATGGATTCAAGAAGAGCTGTGTGCCAACTTTATTATTCTGGCTTGCTTCCTCGTTATTGATCGATCCGCGCGCGACAAGCTTACAAGCAGTGTCACGATGTCTGTCGAGAAGATTGACGGCGTATTTCGGGCCTTCGCACAAGAGTTGAGAATAATAATGTTTTGCATGTTTTTCTTTGGCCGGTTCCGATTTGGATATCAAGCGTATATATACTTGTTTTAAGACAGCGGGTCCCAAACGGTGCGCTGCGACGGTTTGCTAAGTGCACCCCCAAAATTATCAGAATTGTGTTGAACATATATATCAGGGGTGGACAGCCTGCTTTCAACCGCGATCGATTAAAATCTTCAAAAAAGATCGACTGATCTGTAATAAGGTCCTACACAAAAACGAATGGGCACTGAATGTGCAGATAACTGCACACACACATACTAAAAATTCCCCCGCTGCCAATAAGAAGGCTTTGTGGGCACATTGTTATTGAAATCGACACAAAATTCGTATTTTTTATGTTCCATTTGAGTTGTTGATTTAATTGCACCCAGACTGAATGTTTCATTATTTATTTAAGATTTATTTAAATCGTACAATTCAGATAAAGGGCGTGCCTGATTTTTAGTCGTAAGTGTTGAAAATTCTTCAAGAAACCTTGCTAAGTCATATTCAAACAGCGAAAAATAAATATTCTCAAACCATGAATGTTACATGACTTACATGTCAAACTTCAGTATCTAATTTACAATTTCCTCCAAACGCGATTCTTCGTTGCTTAGTATTAGAACAGATTGGATATTTTGATGCTACTGCTACCATTGCGAATAAAATTTATCACACTATTCTTGGAGTGAGACAATAACTTTCGCATAGTGCGGAAGTCATTGTAGGATCGTGTGTCAGTCTAGACACGCTATATTCGGCACTTCATTTTTAAACCTTGGCAGCAGAAAAACTTGCATTTGTTACGTAATATATGCTTTATCGGCGTTGAACAGACTCAAATACTGTATGTGTATATTGTATTATGCACATGTAAAGTACTTTATTCTTCCTGTTGTAAAACAAACAACTGGTTCGAGGCAATTTTGGGAGGTATTTCAATAAAATTCCCTCAACATCAGACGCGATCGACTGCTCGAGACGTGGCTATCGACCGGTCGATCACGTTCGACGTATTGGCCACCCCTGTCCCCTGATATATATGATTAAATATTTTACATATTGTATTTATTGTAAATGTTTCATGGTTTTTATTTCAAACGCTGTGTATATGAATTAATTGATTCATTCCAACTTTTTATGTGGTTTACTTTTTTGTTACGTAGTATCTTCCTCAATTGTAACTCTGATATTTGCTGCAGCCTCGCGAGCTGCAGTTTATTTATCTTCTGAACCGAGTTTAGCAAAATCGATTTAATTTTTTTAGTATTTTGAGGGTAAATCAGGCAGAGAATTGAAATATTTCCTTTATTCTTTAGGCCTGCATGGTTACAGACTGTAAAAGGCATATAGAGTACATATTAACAATCTCAAAATTGAGTTTTATTTAAATGTAGACATTTTTTTGTGCAAGTAGGCCGTGAGTTTTTCCCTGTTAATTTGGCGCAGCACGACCAAAAAGTTTGAGAACCGCTGTATCAAGGGTTAAGTGTGAAACATCTACCTTATGGCATGAGTCCACGCAACGTTTCGAGTTCGCTATCTCTTAATATTCTATTTCTCCGTAAAACGTACGATTAAAGTCAACAACGATAGAATCGTGAAGCATAAAGGTATACAATTGTAACTAGGATTGAAATTGTCAGGATAATAACAACATACCTCACTGGAATAATTAATATGGTCAATAAAATCTAAAATACTTTCGCTGCCCTCTCCTTCTGTTTCTGATTTATTTTGTTTAGGTCATTCTATTTAAATGCGTTTAAGATTTCTCCGTCACGTGGATAAATTATTTCTCTTTATTTCTGATTTCTTTTGTTATTCTATTCAAAGGCGTTTAGGATTTTTGGTGTCATCGGCAAATAGTTTGGTCAATAGAACGGAGCAATTAGCAATATCATTAATATAAAGAAGAAAACATTAATGATCCTAAGCAACTACCCTGAACAACTCTTGTTTCAATGGGGAGCACCTCAGAACGGTTAGTATCTAGTTCAACAAATTGCTGTCTACCCGTGAGGTAGTCTTTGAATAGGTTGTCTGCACAACCGCGAATTCCATAATGATGGAGCTTATGGAGTAATATATCTTGGCTAACAGAAAGCCTAACTCTGAAAGCCTTCTTGAGATCTAAGAAAACACAACATATATGTTCGCCACTATCAAATTTTTCATAGATGTATTCGACAAAGTTAATAGTTGCATGATTTGTTGAATGATTGTTCTGAAAGCCGAATTGGTGTTTATTGATAATGTTGTGATTATTACAAAAGTCAATTAACCTGCGATATAAAAGTTTTTCAAAGATAATAGCGATGGATGGCAAAATAGAAATGGGTTATAGTTAGATGGGTCTGTTTTGTCTCCAGATTTATATGATGGGATGACACGGGCCAACTTGAGAGCTGCTGGGAAGAAATGAGCAATGACTGGAGAAATAATGTCAGCAATAATTTTAAGAAAGCAAGACGAAATGTTGTCAGCCCCAACAGCTTTTCCATTTTTCAATGCAAATTCGTGTTGAAAACCTCATTGACGGTGACTGATCGAAGGTATATTGATTCTTTGGTGTGTGATTAAAGAAATTTTTCAAAAGTTTTATTTGTGGCAGGCACACTGTCAACAAGGCTTTTACCGATTCTTGTTAAGAAATGGTTGAGTTCGTTGCAATTGCACGGGGGTCAGTGATTTTTGGACCATTTTCAAGCTCGAGTTCTGAAACTGAAATATTTCACAATATCTTTTATTGTTTGCCAAGTGTGTTTAATGTCCCCTCTGTTATTTGTACTATTACGAAGTAATAATTCTGTTTCGATCTTCGTATAATGTGAGCCAGAGTATTCTTATATTTTTTTTTATAATCCACTCGTTGGCTCGGGGTCCCTAGTATGTATTGTTTATTGTGCAACATTTTTTTACACCTTTTTGATACTAGAATGCCTTTGGTTAACCATGGCTTAATGGCCAGCCTAGATATCTTGCGGGAGCATTTTCCCATTGGTGCATGCCTATCGATTATTCTTTTTAACAAGCCAATAAAAGAGTTAAACGTTTGATTGAAAGTGGCATTTGATAATTCCGTTGTTATGGGATTATCAAAAGCGTTTTCGGCATCTAGTCTGAAACTTTCTTTACAAAAGTTTAACATTCTACGACTTATGTAAGTCTTAGCAGATGTAATGGTTGGATTATTATTAGAAACAAATACACGTGTAGATCTTCTCATACAATCTTGCCATGTTTTGTGTAGTAGGTATTTTTCTTTTTCATAACTTTCCTTTTCA